GTGAAGAAAAAAACGGTGTGGTGAGGGATGGAGGAGTGCAACTGGAGGATGTGAAATTAATCCAGTTCGACATGTTTATCTGTTCAACGAATTTCCTTTTTAAAATCATTGTAATTAAATTCTCCTCAAATGTTTTAAGCTTCGAACAAAGGGTTATTAAATATTTTGACATTACAAGCAGCACAATTTTGACCATTAATATTATGATATTGATTGAAATGCAATTAATATGAAGACATATTTCCAGCAATTCAGCAAGGCAAAAAAAAAAATCAACAAATTCTCAAAACGTCAAAAAAACACATTTGGTTATCTTTTTGTTCCATAATGTATGTAGTTATAGCTACAGTACTGCTATTATTATATAAGCAGCCATGTATTTTACATATAGTCCATTTAGAATAATATAGGGCCTCTAGTTTTGAATTACTTGACCAATCACAGCATTCCTACTTTGAATATTTGAGTGATCTATTAACGTTGGTGCTGTTTTGTGTTGCTTTATAGATTATTTTTGTGACGCTTACTGGCAGTTCGACCCTTATTAATTACTGTTTACACATGAAGATGGAGCTAATTACTGTTAATCCGCCCATTGCCTGCACTCCTACACATTGCTGCTATTCATCTTAATGTGTGGCTGTTAGTATAGTGTTTACATCTCTGACATGGTAATTATCTGTGGGTCTGTAGTAATCATTCAAAAACAGGATAATCAGATTTATGAAACAACAACAAACTGAAAGAAAAAACATGATAGAGAGTCATTGCTGTTTCAAAGCATATAACATATTTGTTTTTTTATTCCTATCTCTGTGCGCATCTTTGGTCTGACTGCGACCTGCCCATTAAAGTAAACATACATTACATCATTTCAATTATACATTTTTGTTTTGGTCTGGGCTGAAGTTAATATGTGTGTAATTCCTAAACAATAACAAACACAAATGTCAGTGTCTTCTCTGCAGCTCAAAGAGAAAATACTAAAAGTATGTACTGTAGGCTCTTTCTGTATTCTTTTATACCACAAACAATATGCTCCTGCTAAAATATGATCCATGGCTCAAAAATATTTGTATTTGTTGTAATATATTAATTTGTTATTTACTTTACAATAATACTATGTAAATATGCTCACATGGTGTGTCAGAGTACGGCAAAGTTTCAAGGCTATATGGTTCTGGAAGTTTCTGTAAATTCTCTTTCTATTTGGTTCCCAGCTCTTATCATTTGTCCCTTGGTGTTTCTGCTGATCATCTCCTGCTGCTTTGATGCAATGGAGCAGTTGCTATGGGAATCTCCTACTTGAAACACACATCTCATCCATCTTCACATGAGGAATTTACTCACAGCTAAGCAAACGTGTCACGATTGCTCTGACAGATGACTGTGCTTTGGTAAACAAAAGTTTTCGTGAGAATTTTCTAAGTTTGTATTCAGGTCTGTAATACAGTAAGTTCAAATAACCCTGAACTGTAGGAGACCGCAAGATTCAGGCTGTTCAGGCTGTGAAGGAGTTTGCAAAAAACATACTCAGTCTTTCTAGTAACTTTGTCAACAAAGTACAAGTTTGGTCAAAAACTGTTCTCCAAAGTCAAGATCACTCACACAAATGAAAATTGAGGGTGAAATGTTATTCTCTTATAAGGTTGATTTTCAGAATTAAACACTGAATTTGTGCAGTTCCCAATTAAATAACATTGAATCTGGGTTCATGGTGACACATGATGCATACATTAGGAAACACAATAGCCAACTGCCAAATAAGCTCTGTGATGAATTCTGATAGAAGTTTTATTAACAAACTTTAAAAAAAAACATGTACTGGTAGGCAGAAGAACATGTGGCGTGTACATGTTGAGTGAAAGTGAAAGGTCACTTCATGTGTCTGACAGTGTTGAAACTCATATCTCTTATCTTGACATTAAAACACTTAATGCCACTGAAAACATGGCACAAAAAATCTCTCAAGGGACTGCAGCTTTAAGTCACAGGAGCTGTCTAGGGCTTCAGGTTTATATCTTTCATAATAACTGTATTAAAGGGATCTGGTTCCCATATAGCTCAAATTTACACACCTCAACCCAGCCACAGCAAACTCTATCAGTTCAACTTCATAACATGAGACAAGAGTAGACAAATGTAGACAAGAGTAACCATGCACATATTCTCTAACCACAGTGACACAGGTACAGGACCTCGGGTCACAACAATATAGCTATGAGTAAAAACTGTAACACTAGAGTAAGTGTGTGTGTGTTTTTTTTTTTTTTTTTTGTATTACATTATTCTATATATGCTGGTGTGTGTAACCAGAAAACCACATTCCAGTTGACATACTTAATAATTAAATTTGATTAGCTATGACTTGCTCAGTTGGCAGCAATCCAGACAAGAAAACAAACAACAACAAAACCTCAGTTCATTTATTGTTTCAGTGTCGACACTGATTGTAGACACTGTGGCGTCAGTATATACTGCCTCCACAATGTCTATCTGTAGAGGGGTTTGATGCCAACTAACACCAATGTGTAGTGTTGCTGTGTCCTTGGGCAAGATAAACATTTTCAATATTACATTGACTTACATTCATTTCCAGGGGAATGATGTAAAGATTAACCATTATTAGTACTCGCAAAACCATAACCTAAACCCTTACAGTAACTAAATTAACTAAGTAACTAAACTAGCCCATAATATTGAAGGCTTTCTAAAACAGATTTTTGGTTCCAACTAAACAAAAAGTCCTCATGAAGTACCCACTGTGTGATGAATATCCTCCCACTTAATCTTAATCTAGCCTTCCATTTTTCCTACACTGTTGAGTGAATGTGTGTTAACAGTTAACATAAGGTTTTGATTGTTTTTTATGACTGCTTTGTTTACATTTTGTTTCTTCAGATCGAGTTGCTTGGGACTTTCAGTTGCTTTGTGTGACCATTGCGAGATAGGGACATCTTCAGTTGATAATTTTCAGAATTTTCAGAGAAGCTTTTGAAGCTAAACTATCCTATGAATCAGTAGGAATGGTTTATTATGGTGCCTGGCATTAGGACAAATGTAGCCTCGCTTTACACTTGGTTGAGCCTGCGTGGGTAGGAAAAGCATGAATAGATCTGAACAAAAGAACATACTTGTAATGTGAACGCTGTCATTCATCATGCAATCCACGATAAGAAAGCAAAAACAACTCTACCACTCTCTAGTGAACAGTTTACGTTACTACAGCAGCCAGAGATTTACCAAAGTGAGAACCTAGTAAATAAAAAAAAAAGTCTTTCACTGCCCTCTAGTGGTGATTATTAACACTCATAAAGATGGCCTTGCACTGCCCTCTAGTGGTTATTATTAACATCAATGAACTGAAGAAGTCATGTTGCTTTTCATTTTATATAGTTAGTAACATGTTGACCTTATTATAGCCTACGTGTTCATTATTCATACGATATTACTGAATAATGAAATAGATTATGTGTTGAACATTTTACTGTAGTCTGATATTGTGATATGATAAACTGCCTCGCCTACATTTCATTCGGTGGACTATTCTAAAAGAAAGCATCCTTCTGAATTTCTCCTCTCTCTGGAATGCTCGTGTCTGAGATTACCTGCCTGCACTGACATGAGTAACATACATAACCCCGCGATAAGGCTGTTGATATTGTGGACCGAAACCTGCTGAGCCTCATTTGCTCTGAGTCACTCTTGGGACCAATGCAAAACACAGGGGGCACCATGGGACAGTGCACAGAACTGCGTGCAAAACACTGCAAAGAACAAACTACTTTGGATCTTAAAGCCACGTAAAGGTCTTATTAACTTATTAGGTCAGAGCAAAGGCTAGACAATTCAAGAAGGTTAATATATAATAATATGTTGTAGGCCTTTCTTTGTTTATTTTTTATGAGTTGGCTGCAGGGTTAAATACATACCTGCTTTTTCTAGGTGTAGAACCTTGTCATCTTTTTAATCATCGTGCTAACACTCATGGAGTTCAGAAATGCAGCTCATCCTGTTCTGAAAGGTCAACACACCTATTCTAATCCATTCTTCCTATAACATAATTTTCACTTATTTAGCAGATGACTTCATTCTACATGGACACTAATATGTGACAACAAACCTACATGTTTTCAAAAACTAAGAGCAGGTTAAATGAGTTTCCTAATGACCTAATGGTGGTGGTCAGATTCTAAAATGTGATTATGTCATACTCGGTTAATTCTTCCTACACTGAATTGTCATAAGAGATATTAAGAAAGAAAATACACAAATGCTGAAAGAATCGTTTATATTTTTTTAACTAAACATGATAGAGGCCAAACCTACAGTATATAGCATTGCCTACAACAAATTCCTACATAATAAAATTGGAGTATGCCATCAAACCTATTTATCTTCATGGAGACAGGCAGGCGATGTGAAGTCAGATCTGTGAAGAGGCGAACCCCTACTAAACAATAAGAATGAGAATATTATCGTAGGTAGACCTATTTCAGCCAAAAAAACAAACAAAAACAAAACAAACAAACAAAAACAAAACAAAAAAAAAAAAAAAAAAAAAAAAAAAAAAAAAAAAAAAAACAACACTTGTATAAATGCTATATAGGCTAGATGTTTGAGACCATACTGTGGAAACAGTCCAGACAAAATAACATCGCCATGGACAAAAGCAGGTAGCGTACCCTTCACCCACAAAGTTTAAATGACACACCTGCACTTCAGGCATATGAAGATCAAACACACGCCTGCCTTTTAAAATGTAGCTTGCCACACAAAAAAACAGTCTGTGCAGAAAGATTTGTGTTTACATATGGTTAACGCAATAATGGTGAATCTGAGCATGACAAAACCCGGTCAAAGGGTAAAGAAGATCGTCCTGTTTGTGCCTCTGTGCCACTTCAGACACGGCGCTTACCAGTCGGGCCCGGTTCTGGTTACCATGGAGATGACGTCATGCTGCAGCAGCCACAGTCTTTGCGCATGCGCTTTGAATAGACAAGGCGAGACCGCAGCCACAGCCTCAGCGCCACTCTCCTCCTCTTCGCCATTCAGCCTCAGCTCGCGCCCCTCTGAGCCGGGACACGCAGACCGGACCAGTTCAGGACCACTCACCGAGTTTACAGCTCCAAATCGGACAAGGCTAAACCACACACCGCGAACATGCGTGAGATCGTGCACCTGCAGGCCGGCCAGTGCGGGAACCAGATTGGAGCCAAGGTTTGTCAAAGGATATTACGCACGCGTTATAGATAATTAAACCAGCTTCATGCGCCGGGTTTTACGCGATTAAACGCCAACCGTCTCTGTCTGCACGCGGATGATGTCTAGAGAAACTCTAAATAGGTCACTGTAAAATGAAGGGTTGTGCAAGAATGTGATGCGCTCAAACAATGCCCTGGTTAAGGATGGGCGGTGGCGCGGCGAGACATCCCCACTGTCCCCGTCGTGTACTGCCATTTACGCATCAGACAGTGAGCGCAGCTGTGTCTTCTTTGTCTGTCCCATGGGAGCGATGCGCTTTTTGGCATTAATGTGTGGGCGCATGCATATGTCTGTGCGCGTGAAAAAGCCAGATTGGGAGAGGGGTGTGGCACCGAAAGCACTGGAAGACCGGTTGCACGGTGACATCCTTATCACCCTGTGATACAAATACGCACACTATCTAAAGCTATTAATGTAGGCTATAACAAGGATACCCTATAATCTTCTAATGTTTTGCATCTTATTATTATTATTATTATTATTATTATTATTATTATTATTATTATTATTATTATTATTATTAGCATTAGGCATTACCTATAAGCCTACACATAAGCTATATGGGTTGTCTGTTATGTGTTTGTTTTTTTGTTTTCCTACATCCATTTCACACATATTCTTTACATTTAATTATGTATGTGTTTCTGTGTGTGTAGTTCTGGGAGGTGATCAGTGATGAGCATGGCATTGACCCGACTGGAACCTATCATGGAGACAGCGATCTGCAGCTAGACCGGATCAATGTCTACTACAACGAAGCTTCAGGTGCAAAACCATTATATTATAATAATAGTATACAATGATTGATAACTTCTCACAGTTGTTTAATTTATTATCTTTTACTTGATATATTTCAGGTGGGAAGTACGTGCCCAGGGCCATCCTTGTGGATTTGGAGCCAGGCACCATGGACTCAGTCCGCTCTGGCCCCTTTGGCCAGATCTTCAGACCTGACAACTTTGTCTTTGGTAACAGGGATTTTCCCTCTTTTGCAGCTTATTTATTCATTCATTCATTCATTCATTCATTCATTCATAATGATTTAATTCATAATGCAATAACAAATCTTAGCTGAGTTGATCATCTGACCAGAATATGACAGTAACTGTGATGAATCTTTTGTGTCTAGGCCAGAGTGGTGCAGGGAACAACTGGGCCAAGGGTCACTACACAGAGGGAGCAGAGCTGGTGGACTCGGTGCTGGATGTGGTGAGGAAGGAGGCGGAGAGCTGTGACTGTCTGCAGGGTTTCCAGCTTACACACTCGCTAGGTGGGGGCACTGGCTCTGGGATGGGTACTCTACTCATCAGTAAGATCCGGGAGGAGTACCCTGATCGCATCATGAACACATTCAGCGTGGTGCCTTCCCCCAAGGTAATTCACCATTCAACAGCTTAATTTATGGAGTCGCTTTAGATACTAGAGAAGTCTTTGGGCAAGCAACCTTCATTAAAGGAATAGTGATGGACAGATATATACAAAATATCAGTATATATCAATACTGTCTGAAGTATTACAAAGAACTGATTCTCATGAAAAATTATCAATACCTGAAACAAAAAACATAATTATTATAGACATTGTTTATTTATTTTAGTTATCTACAGCTATATTTTAGATCAACTAAAGCACGGGTGGAGATAATGATACCAAGGTGGAAAAAAATCTTAATAGGTAATATTTCAGTGCATTTTAATACAAAGATATAGCCATACTTGCCACTGTATTACAAGGTATGTTAAGGGCTTTAAAAAAGAAAAAAAAAGACTACTGCACCTGTTCACATTATTAGAACTAATGCCATAGTAATTACATGTAATACTGTTCTCATTCTGCAGGTGTCTGATACTGTAGTGGAGCCGTACAACGCCACTCTGTCTGTGCACCAGTTGGTTGAAAATACAGACGAGACCTACTGCATAGACAACGAAGCTCTTTACGACATTTGCTTCCGCACTCTCAAACTGACCACACCCACTTACGGTGACCTCAACCACCTCGTTTCAGCCACCATGAGCGGGGTCACTACCTGTCTGCGTTTCCCCGGGCAACTCAATGCCGACTTGCGTAAACTGGCTGTCAACATGGTCCCCTTCCCACGTCTGCACTTCTTCATGCCCGGTTTTGCTCCTCTGACCAGCAGGGGGAGCCAGCAGTACCGCGCTCTGTCTGTACCTGAACTAACCCAGCAGATGTTTGATGCCAAAAACATGATGGCGGCTTGCGATCCCCGGCATGGTCGCTATCTCACGGTGGCTGCGGTTTTCCGCGGCCGCATGTCCATGAAGGAGGTGGATGAGCAAATGCTGAATGTCCAGAACAAGAACAGCAGCTACTTCGTCGAATGGATCCCCAACAATGTGAAGACCGCCGTGTGCGACATCCCACCACGCGGTCTCAAAATGGCTGCCACCTTCATTGGCAACAGCACAGCCATCCAGGAGCTGTTCAAGCGCATCTCCGAGCAGTTCACCGCCATGTTCCGTCGTAAGGCTTTCCTCCACTGGTACACAGGAGAAGGCATGGATGAGATGGAATTCACTGAGGCGGAGAGCAATATGAACGACTTGGTCTCCGAGTATCAGCAGTACCAGGACGCCACAGCCGAGGAGGGCGAGTTTGAGGAGGAGGGAGAAGAGGAAGGGGCCTAGAGCTGAAATTGTCATTCATGGTTTTATCAAGAGCACCCTTCACAACTCCATCCAGCCATCACTGCCACTCCACTGACTTCTCTGACCTCCTTATTCTTTGCTCTTCTCTTCTGCTATCTCTCTCTCTCTCTCTCTCTTGCTATCTATCTATCTAGCTATTGATCTATACACTCATCTCTATTTTCTGTCACTGTCAGAGGAGCCTTCACACTAAACCAGTTCTCATCTCAGTGCTGCTTAGAAGTAGCTACACAGCTGTGCTTGTGGTCTTTTGTCAGTAGCTTTTTGATAATTGTTCATTTTATCATCACTTTCATATATGGGTCAAAATAAACTCACATATAAATGATGTTATTTGGCATTGATATTATCAAATAAATATGAAAAATCTTACCTTCCTGTGTCTGTGTTTTTCTATGACACACTGTTCAGTAGTCTATTATAAAAATTTTTCACTGAATTGTATATTTGAAGGAAAGTGAATATTTTGCAGGTAATATCTGTTATAAAAGCAAAAAGAAGCGAATACATGTTTAAAAAATAAGATTATGTTTTTTTTCAGTTACACTTAGTATTGAATTATATCTTTAGTACATAATAATTTTACATTTTGTTAATTACAAACTGCAATGTTGATCTAAAAGTAGAATAGAAATGGGACCATTTCTATGGTTTTATTTTTGAAAAGTGTCTGTATGACATTATAGAACCCAACATAAATCTCTTCGACTGTTCATTTTTCAATGAATTGCAAATAAGCACAGATCTAAGGACTGGGATAATGGGTCGGTAAAAATTGAATTTTTGACCACTCAACTTAGACAAGCTAATGATGAGGAAAACTGTAGACAGCTTGAGTTCATTTTGCATAATATATCTCCTGAGTCAGTGTTTCTTCAAAAAAAAATACGCAGTGTTAGAAACAAATTAAACACACACACACACACACACACACACACACACACACACACACACACACACACACACACACACACACACACACACACACACACACACACACACACACACACACCACACACTTTTGTAGATTTAAAAGTCTTATATTGTGCAAAATTCATCAACATGTGAACTTTTAGTAGTGTTATAATGCTGTCACCACATCAAAAACATACCTGGAGTTGTTTTGTTTCATTCACATGTTTGAGTAATCCTTTATCTGTCTATATCTCAAAAGCTCAAAATGCTCCATTCCACCTTGTGATATCATGAAGCAGTAGTTTTCAAGTTATAGCAGCTACCTTTTACCTTTAGTTCAGTAGAGATTGGCTATTCCAGGTCTGAAATTATCCCAGTGATTCTAGTGATGGTCTATGGAGTCTAAAAACACAATAGAGCACTTCTTGTATTACCACATGACATCACAAGGTGGAACAGAGTGTTTTCTATATGAGAGAAGAACTCAGCTTGCAGGGTTTGCGTGTTAAACATGAGTGAAACTAAACACAACTCCAGGTATGTTTTTGATGAAGAAACAGCATTATATCAAAGATCAGAACACTGAATTATATAGGCCCTTTAAACACAAATGTATGACGTTAGAGAAAGAACAGTGAAGTGAGAGGCCTTACATTTGAGGCAAAGCAGGAAGTGTGTAGCTGTCATTGCGGCGCTGATTTTGCACAGTGGAAGTGTCTGTGCCCTGCTACAATCTAGTCATGAGATTTGTGTAAAACACGAGCACTTCCCCGTACTTCTCCTCCTCTGGTCCTATGGAGGCAGGCTGTGCGAGCCGGCAGCATGGGCTCAAGACTCAAGTAAGTGCTTCAACACATATCCATCATATTACTTAGAGCTTAAGTCTGTTCTTGTGGTTTTTATTACTTCCTCTTAGCTGCACAGGAAGCTCCTTTAAAATGCTTTCCGATTAATATGTCTGTCTCTGTTTAATTTGTGTTTCTAATTTATTTCATAAGCCACATATTATTACTTGTAAGCTTGAATATTGTGTTACTGAAGCTTTCAGTCCAGGAAGTGGCATAATCAAAGCACAATAATGTTTCAGTCTTTTACATTAGACAACACTTTGCTTATAACATATGCCACCGCCTGTACAAACACATTCTAACAGCTGATACTTTTTAACCATTATCTGTGAAACTGAATGATTTAGTGAATCAGTGGTTACTCTTGATTTAGAATATTTGACTTGAAATGTTGTACTTTGTAAGAAGCACTTAACATTTCAGTGCAGACCAGTTTGACACAACTTGTTCTAAATTGGCAGCTAATATTGCATATTGTTTCATGATTGTTTTTGTTGTTTTAAGACTAAATCCTGAGCGGACCTTTTACTGGTTCTTTGAAGCTATGTGCCCAGTAGCCAGAGACAAAGGTGAGTGCAGTCACAAAGTAGAGATACTCCTACCACTTTTCCACTGACCACAGTTATGTATTTGGTTTATTTTCCTTTTTGAATAAGCCTATACAAGCTATCATGGTCTCAATTGTTTGAAAATATGACTTTATTTTAACATAAGAAAGAAAGCAAATCACTATGTGCTCAAATGTTTTTCAATTTCTAGAAAACCAATTTTTGGTAGGCTACAGTTTTTGAGAACATAAATCCAACAAACTCTATTTAGCTCTGTTCATCATACGATAGAGAGAAGTTGAAGTTCCTTGAATTATATATCTGCATGTTTGGTGAATGTAGCTTCCTGTGACATGATGTAGAAACCCACATAAGGTGGTATGAAGATGACCTTCTTTTCCTGTCTTTTTGATAATACTACTTCCTCTTTCTTTCTTTCAAAACAGATCCCAGTGTGCAGTTTATGTTCCCAGAGGACTTCGCAGATGAGGTAGCCTACAGAATACTACTCTAACCTACTAGCTTTAGTTTGAATTGACAAGTGAGCTTCAGTAAGAGAAATAGGTGGCTAACGGAAGAGCTTTTTATAGACATTAATGTAAGATATTACCTCATTTAGTTTCATTTCAAAACGGTGTTTACTCCTTGTTTGCAAACTATCAACATTTGACTGCTATAGAGTGACTCAGATATAGGGCATTCTGTTCATTTTTTTTTCTCAGCTTAGCCTATTATGCTTCGTGGTCTGCTCTAATTCCATGAATATTTTCTGAAATTTGTAGGAGTCGTGCCAAACGTTACCACGGTTTTGTTTCCCATATGACATACAAAGGTGAGTTCAGATAGCCTACCTCAGTTTTGTCATTGCTGGCCTGACCCCACTGACCCTTCCTCAATGGTGCAAATGCCTTCCCCGCACAGAGCCCGGGATGGTGTGGCGGTCCAGCACTTCACCTTCGCTCTCACAGACCTCGAGGGATGCCAGCGATTTGGATTTTGTCGGCTTGCAAACACTTCACAGACCTGCCTCTGCATACTCAGGTACAGGTCTATACACACAGTCAACAAATACGTGAAAATTATTCAGAATAACTGATCTGACTTGGACCATACCGGTTTCAGTTTAAAAATGTTTGTATGTGTGTTTTAGTTATCTTCCCTGGTTTGAAGTGTTTTACAAGCTCCTTAATAACCTGGCGGATTACCTCGCAAAAGGACAAGTGAGGAATCATTCATACATTATTAGTCATTAATACAACACACAATACAACACAGGATCATTTTATGTACCAAACCACTGAGTCTTCTTGTTTTGTGCACAGACCAACGAGGCGAGGACACTGCTGAGTGAGCTCTACAAGCAGCCTGTCCCACTGGTGTCTGGATCAGTTACTCTCAGCATGGTAAGTCTTGAGTTAGAATTTATTCATCTATCAATTTTGTCCTGTTATTTCAGCCAGCTGGAATGGTAAAGAAGAGAAAAGTATTTGAGAAAACTAAAAATCTAAATGTTATTGCGTATTTATAACAGCTGGTTACTGCCTACTGCAGGTTAAGTCTTGTGTTTTTCCCTGAGGGAGAACAGGTGTTGGTCAATGAGGTGTCCCTCAGTGTGGGGCACCCAGAGGCTCCCGAGGGGGTGAGTCCAACTCGGGATGTACAAATTCAGACAAATCCTAAGAAACTAACCCAACGCAGCTGACACTTACCCACTTACTCCTCTAACCACTCTTCTCAACATCATATGATCATTATGTGTCTATGAATCAAGACAAGTTTCTTTCTTTTCTCTTTGGTGGAGTTTGTCACTTCTAATTATTTACCATCTATTTCTAAACTGCACAATTTGTATCATGACCAGCAGTTGATAAATCCAGGCTCATATCTCTCTGTATTTTTTATACAGACTGATATCAGTTTGGTTCCCACGCCCTCCGTCACATCTCAATCTTGGCCAAATGTGTAATCAGATTTATTTTTTTCAGTGGTGCGTGGAAGGAAGCTCATTTGTTATGTATCATTTATAAACAAAATGACATCCCTGACCTGAGATTACCTCAGATTAGTTTAGTCCTTCACTCATTATTATGCAGAAAAAAGATTTTTCAGTAACTTTTGTTTTTTGTCTGTATAAGCAGCCATGTTTGTTTTGATACAGACACATCATGTGTGTCCTTGATTGGCTAATCCCCCTGTCAATCACACCTATTTGAATTTGGGGAGGCTCACCACTGACCAGCCTCAAATCTTAGTAATGTATTAAAGAATTGTGTATTCTGGATCCCAGTCAATTTGTGTAACGAGTTAACTGAATCTGTGTAAAGAACAAACCTGTTGAGCTCTTTAATGGTCACAGTCACAAAAATATTGGAGAATGTTAAGATGTACAAATGTATTTCTATTATTAACCTCCACAATATATAAAAGAAAAGTGATCAAAAGATAAAAGAAAGCTGCGCTAGAAAAAGTCAATGACCTATTTGGTCAGATCCGATTAAGAGAAATGCCTCTACAGCTCAAATAGCTGAAGGGTTTATGAATGCTGGTCATGTAGTCTGCACTTTTGTCTGTGCGCTGATGAAACATAAAAGGGACTTGTTTGAGCTGTGAATGATCTGATGTTTTATCTTTATGTAGGTACCTTACTTCATTGCTCCTGACCCCAGAAGTCTTCCCTCTATCCCTGAGAGCGTGAGTTTATGATTTTGTTTTGTAGCTCTGTCATAATGAGGTTCAAACCCGGTGTGTCTCTTTTCATATTTTCACCAGAGGAACTTGACTGAGCTCATTGTAGCTGTTGATGTTGGGAATCTTCTCCAGCTCTACGCCAGCATGCTATTTGAGAGACGCATCCTTATATTTGCCAGCAAACTCAGCACCGTAAAGTCACAAATTTACCTTTATCTGTTATCAAAAGTTTTGTCTTGAGTACACTAAGATGACTTCGACACTAGCAGCTTTTGTTTTACATTTAAGCTATCCTCAGGGCAGCAGGACTATGAACTCTTTGGGCATTCTAGTATATGCTTATAAGTCAGAGCTGACTTACTTTTACTGCTTTAAGCTTTTAAACCTAAAATACCGATGCCAAGCCGCACAATAATACAAACCTACCTTTCTTTCATTGTTTAGCTCACATCTTGTGTACATGCATTGACTGCTGTGCTGTATCCTATGCACTGGCAACATATCTTCATCCCTGTTCTACCCCCAAACCTGCTGGATTACTGCTGGTAAGACATTTTACTTTACATGTGTGTGGTTTTCCGTTTTTCTAAGTGACCTTTTGATTGCAGTGCTCCCATGCCGTACCTCATAGGAGTCCACACCAGTCTGTCAGAGGTAAGATACACAAAAACACGGTACCACCAGAGGGCGCTGTGGTACAGTGAGGGGCAATCACATATTTTACAGATAGCGCTTTTGACAGTGTTTTTAATGACAGAAAGTGAAGAGTCGAGGTTTAGAAGAAGTCGTTATTCTGAATGTGGATACCAACACAGTGGAAACTCCCTTCGACGACTTGAAGAGGATCCCCCCTGATGTGGTAATAATCAGAAAATGTAATGTGTTAAAGTCCTAAAGCCAATAGACTGTATTCATGTGGTGTCCTAATATAATTGCCCTCAGTTTAAAAGTGAGGAGAACAGCAAAGAATGGTGCTTTTATTTATTTTTTATTTATTTATTTGTATTCATTAATTTATTCATTCAATCAAGGGGAAGTAAAGTGTCATTATTAAATTACAATGGGTGGACATCTGAAAGAACGCCATATGGATTGGAGCCAAGATACAGTAACCTGATGCAACGTTTGTGGATTTTCTATTTGGATGTTTCTATCAAATGTCAAGAGTTATATAGGCCCCTGTCTGTTCTCCATCTGAGATTAGGACATCATCAAATTTTAGAATGAATTTTAGAATGAATGTAGCCTATTCATACGCAATGACAGAGATATTTGTTGAATGAACTCCCCCTGACCCTGAGTGTGTGTATGCAGATGTCCCAGCTGAAGATGACTCTGAAGAGGCAGGCTGTGTCTCCAGGCTGTGGGGTCTCCAGGGCCTTTTTAAGGGCTCAGGCGCTACTTTTTGGAGGATACAGAGAAGCTCTGTGCACACAGGTTAGACACAAAATCATTTTAAACATGAACATACTGTGTTTGAAAATATATTTTGTTATTTGTCACTATAATGTATAATATAGGGGACAATTTATATGTTTTTTAATTTGTGATAAGTCTTAAAATTTAGACACTGGGTCAAACATGTGGTATTTAAAATTGTCACGTATCCAGCAGTAAAAACTTGAAAGTCTGCTGCCTGCTACAGTGAGATGACACTGTGAAGAGGCAGGGCCAATCAGTTCTGCAGTTTTCAACAGGAAGTTAATAGAGTTATTTCTGTTACTAAGCCATATTAGGTAGTATTGAGATTTACAATCAATGAAATGTAAAATCATGATCTACATAGGCTATTGTTTATACTAAATACCACAAAAAAGGATCATATGTCTTCTCTAATTGATGGGTTTCAACTTCCTTTTTATAGACATTTTGAGGATGTTTAGTTTGATCATAATAATTTTGTAACTTGTTATGGCAACAGTGCAACAGTGTTTAGCCTATGGACTTTATTTTTCAATATTAAAGCTCTGTAGCTTAACATATTTTTGGTCATTGTTATTAAAGAATGGTGAAATTAGTTTTAACGAAGACCTTTTTCTGGATCACAAATCCAACAACATGAGGCAGTTCCTTCAAAGTGCAGTACATTTGCAGTTCTTCAAACAGGTAAGCACTGTTTATAAGTTTATGTCTACTGCCCTCTGCTGGTAAAAGATCACATACCAATGCTATTTGTTATATGTCATAATTTCATGGGCTACTGTCACATTTCGGTTTTAGTTCATTGACAGCCGTTTGGAAATTCTAAACAAAGGGCAGGAACCTGATGACCTTTTTGAGGAAGAGATTGAAAACTGTGAAGCATCTCCAGGTTTGTTTTTTTCATATGTTTTCTGTAGGATTATTATACTATATTTTGTAGTAATTTAACCGTTTGTGCCTTGCTACAGGGAAATCCAGGTCTTATCAACAATTTGTTGGCAATATAAGAGTGAGTCACTGAAAATTTAATCAAACACAATTTTGTTTATTTTAAAATGGAGATAAAATTGTTGTTTTTGTGTGCTCTACAGAAGGGAGGGGGAGCACTTATTCTAAATGTGAAGTCAAACATGAAGGTGCCTAAGTAAAAAAAAAACTAAAAAAACTGAAGACATCACTGTGCTTCTGCACATCACTTAACAATATTTGAATTTTTTACAGGCCAAAGGTCTCACAAAGTCTGGACTGAAAAATTTGTTGAATCATAAGGTAAAAATATTCCATGTAGTTCAGGCATCAGGCATAACATTTTGACCACTGATCACCACAGTTTCATTGGATTTACAGAAGGAGACTCTTAGCAGAATGTGCATTACAGGTAGTTTGTTTATATAAATTGTCCACATAAAATTGCGCTGCAAAAGTTTTAATAAAAACATTGGTGACACACGGGATGAGAAGTGGCTACGCAGAGACAAGTCAAGATGTCAGAATGCACACATAAATGTATTAGTGGTGGTCTTAATGTTTGCCTGATTGTTTTTCAAAAGTACAATTATATTCTAGAGTCTAAATGTGCTGTTACAGCAGAGCCACAATGAAGAGGCCAGTCTGCAGAGGGGAGGCTCTATGTCCCACCGGCACACTGGCGGCCTGCAGGCCCGGCTAGCAACCACACGACACTTTGGAAAAGTATGTTTATATTAAATGTCCTCATTCATGTTTATCATTAATACAAGCTAATCTGTTGTGTCCATTGACTTTTTGCTGCATGCTTTGCTGCTCTATAATGTTTTGTGTGGCCCTGTTACATTGTTTGGCTTTACATTATCACTGTCGCCTCATGTCAGTCACGTCCAGTTCGACCCATGCACAAGTATAGGGTTCTCAGAGATGAAGAAAGCATAGAAGATACTCATGAAACTTGGGACAGGTGAACACAAATGACTGGGTGTTATGTTACTTTAGTTAAACATTTTTTTCTCAACAGTAAACCTGTTTTTGTACCTGCTTTTAGTTTCCATAATAACATCAGATGCCCTTCCAATTATATATTTTTTAAAGGCTTGTGCACCCAGGCCTTATATTTTTTTTTTTTAGAAACATGCCATCTAATTCTGTAAAATAGTTATTTTCTTTACACCTGTTCACATAGAGGCGACATTGTCCAAAGCGTTCCTGTTTGTGCCTTTGTGTATGTGGTTTTTGCTTGTGTCAGGGTTGAGTTAAAACATGACGATCATGAAGAAGAAGAGGAGGTGGAGGACCCCCTGCTGTGCGACCCAGAGGAGATGGACCTTCTCGGGGAGATCTTCGACACCCTCAGTTCCCGGAGCTCCCACGAGCGCGGGCTCCTCTATGGCACCCGCAGCCTCGACCTGTTTGGGCCTGACAGCCATGACTTCATCACTAAGGTACAGCCCCAAAAAATAATGATTTATGTGTGCTAACTTGGCAAAAATTAAGCAATTTGACAGATTAATCTATAGTTCTGTAAGAGGAATAGGCCAAACGATATAACAGGTGGTGAAAAGGGTGTAGGATTTTTTTACTTAGAGCAAGAGAGAGGTCAATTAATGTTTTTTTTGTTTATTTTTTCATGGCTGATGCGCATACAGATTGTTTAGAATACAAAGCAAGTGATGATGTTAAAGTATGCTGATATTTTTTGTGCTGATATTTTGTGCCAATTTTGATTTTATTAAAATAGAATACAAACTCCCAAAGTTTTTTTTTTTTTTTACACACAAACCCATAAGAGAGCTTTTAAGTGATGTTTTGTGCAGTTATCTCTTTGTATTAACATGTTAATATAAAGCTTTGTATATATTTATTAGGCAGTGGATTGACCAAAACAAAATATCTGCCTATGCTGGAGATAGTAGTGAGAGTAGTAGAGTAGTAGGCGATGCACCAAATATTAGCCCATTATATGGGTCTGTCTCTAATATTTTTGTATTATTTTTATTTTCTAAGACTTCAGTTTATCAACCACCAGAGGAATCTCAAGACCAGTTGTGAATTGTGTGGCCTATTTCAGATCAACTTGACTAAATACACAAGAAAATTTATTTTATAGTGTTTTTCTGTCCATTTCTAATTTTTCATTTATGAAGAACTAAAACAAAGATTACACCAAGCAGGAACATCATCAACATATTTACTGTATTTTGTGCATGTTATTCATTGCTTCCATCTTCGTATTTCAGTGCAGTCTTATCAACCCAAGCCAAGAGAGCCTTTGTGCTAGTGGCACTGGCAGTCTGCAGAGCTGGAACCTGGAGACCGCAGAGGAGCTGTCGGACTTTGCTCAGGAAAGTGATGAATTCAGTCTGGAAAAATGTAAAACGGAGGAGGAGGAAGAGACACCAATAATGAGTGCACATGAAGACCTTCACAGCAGTCCACAAGATGAGGCAAAACAAATGGATAACAACGAAGACAATTTAGCTCCAAAAATTGTGGTAAATGGAGCAGATCTTGAAAGGGATTGTGACATAAAAAAGGATGAAAATATACATGTGGCAGAAAAGGACTTGAGTGAGTGTAAGGAACAACTTCAAAAATCAAATGAAAATCAAACTATAGAAAATGATCCAGAGTTGGAACAAAACAAGAAAACTGACACATGTGTGGACCACCATGAGGCCAGCCTGTCCCATGTGGATGTCGTAGAGGCTCCAAAGCAAGTCCAACCAAAAACCCTCCCAATCCAGACCACCCCCCCTCCACCCAAAGTGCACTCTGCAACGGCCAGGTTCCAGTGTCACCCCCGTATCCAAGGACCAGATTTAAAGTCTAGGATGAAAACTTTAGCAGAAGCTGGTGGACATTTACATAGGAAGGAAAATCAGTCAGACACAGAGGAGGAAAAGGATCTGCCTCCTGTTAAAGTGTCTGAACTTAAGAAAAGGTTTGAAATTTAATGACATTTAGTTTTGTTTTTGAAGATTTTATTTTATTTTTTTCAGCCCAAAAGCTTTATCAGACTGGACAGATTTTAAGTGTGACATGGGCGTGAACAGTTAAAATACATTCAGCTAATTGATGGAGTTGCAGCACTATCTCATTGTTTTCCAAAATAAAGAAAGCCTGCTAAATTGGCCTGTTTTTGGCATCTTCATGGTTTTTAGTTCCACTTTTGTCAAAGTATAAATATGATCACAAGATAAAGCCAATGCCTTATCAGAGGTATAATAAAACATTTACATAATACACGCACACGGTTACAAACAGATTCATTTATTACTTAGACCAAAACCATTATGGTCAACTTGATTTCTCCTTAGACTTACAGATCTATTTTTTGTGTAACATGAAGTATTTTTTTCACAATCTAATCTATATATAAAAAAGGTGCTTCACAGTCTTAATCTTTCATATTGGCACACAGTGAAATACTCTAAACAATTTAAAAACACTATTGTGAACAAACTTATGTACAATGCAAAAAATTAAATAGGGTGCAGTGGAAGAAGGGCAATCCATCATGGGGGATTGAGTACCCATAAATATACTTAATAAGTTTGAAGAGGCAAAGTAGGAGAGTAGAGATTAAATTAGTCTTTCCTCTTTGGGCAGTGGTAGAGGGAGTCCAGGTTTTTCAGGACAGTTTGCTCCAGTCTGTTTCCGCTCCTCTGCGCTAGGCCTATATGTTCCCTCCATCCTCCTCTTCTTCCTGATCAGACACATGAGCAGCAGTAACCCCAGCGATAGTAAAGACAGGACAGTGGACAGCAGAGCGGACACAGATGCTGGGGTCAACTCCTGCACCACCATGCTGAAAAATATATGATTAAATATATTATAAAAGGAGCACTGTGTAATTTTTCTGCCGGAGGGTCCGCCAAATGCTTTTCTCCATGGAGATATTAGTGCTTTGTCTGGAATGTTTCGAAGTATGCTATTAAAACTTTTAATCTTCATAGAGATCAAACCAGACCAAGTTACAGGTCAAATCTGTGGAGAGGTGACCCTGCTCACTGTCAGAATGCCTTTTTTCTACATATTTTTGAGCTATTAAACCTATAATTTAATGAATGTAAGGTAGAGCTGTTTAATGTCATACTGTGGAATATTTCAGGCAGATCAATGACCTCTCCACAGAGAAAAGCATTTGATGGACCATGTGTCAGAAAAATTACATAGTGCAGCTTTAAAGAGATGGTAATGATGATCTTTAAATTAAGTACTGACAACAGAGGGCAAAATTTTGCTACCCACACCGCTCCTGACAGGTTGCCCCAGCTGTACTGAAAAATGGGTCAAATGCAGAGGACAAATTTCCATACAGGCACAATAAAAGTGTTCCATAAACAAAATCAGTGACACCACCAAAACCAAGCTAAGTTTTGCCAATAAAATGCACACAGTTGAGTAGATGCAAGATTGGAATGTTTATGTACTGTGAAACAGTCCAGGCAAAGCAATATCCATGAGATAAGTAGGGAGCGTACCCTTCACCAGAAAAAAAAAAAAAAAAAGTTTATCTTTAAATTACAGTGATGATAAAAGAAACTATCTTATTAATAATAACTTACTTTCCAGACAAATGAATGGATCAGCTCCCTGTCTCACATAAAGACCCCAGCTTCCACACAAAGGGACAGCTATTTCTGTTATCAGTGTTGTAGGGTTAATGAATGGGTCTAATGCATACAAAGAAGTCAGGCATCTGCAGAACAGAAGAACATTCAGACTGAAGAAGCATTATTTGAGACAATTTGAAAAAAAAAAAAAAATCGCTCTTTTTTTTTTTAAACAACACAGTCTATGTTTGATATAGGCCTGTTTCTCCTTTTCTGAACTCCTTGAGCCCAATTTTAAACATTTAAACAACATTTCCTGTTTACAGTAGGCTCACATCGTCACACACACGGCTCTGTACCGATGTGTGGATGGCTGCGTGGAGGAATGCCACAGGTCCTGTTACACCTGTTCAGCAGGTGGCTTCCTTATTCGTTTAACGCGACAACTTATCCAAACCACAAAGCTTATAAAAGCGGGACATATCTGTTAAATTTGACTTTTTATAACTCCACAATCTATATAGGTCTGTCTTACCTGTGTGATCCGCGCCTTAATGCGATGTAACATGACATACCTATTGACGCCAACAGAAGCGTCTCCTCTCGCTCCCACGCTCACCTGCTGCCGTGCGTAAATTAAGTCACGTGTCGACATGGCACCAATGAGGCGTCCAGTCCTCCTCCTCTTGCGTATAAATTTACTTATTAAGGTGAAAAATGTCTTAATGCTAGTGAAACGTCAGTAGGATGGTTTCAACTACTTTTTGTGAGTAAGCATTGTAACAGTTTTTCTGTGATGGAAATGAATAAAGTAAAATTCGCAAAATGTCATGAGACCTGCACCAAAACCTTTTAAAGTGTTATGCCTTTTGGCCATGTTTGCTTGGCTTACAGCAAACACAAATGATCGATTACCAGTAACAGCTAAAAGTTCGGCTTAATTATTACATACCTGGGATTTTACAGATTTAGTACAGCGAAAGTCAGTTCAAGGGTTAATGTCAGTTTTAAAATGTGTCATATTATGCAGATGTTTGTTGCACTACACGATAAATTCCTGTGTCTAGGCAGTAATACACGATCAGGTTAATTTGTGTTTGCCTTGTGATGTGCATTTTTACGTTTTGAATATTTCATAGAAATATCAAAAGGAAATCTGGCTCTTTCCCGCCATGTGGGATCATCTGTCAGCTACACACAACTGCAGACTGGATTATCATTCAAAATATAGGCCTAGTTTATTGTGATATAGTTTACCAACCCACATGCAAACAATATTTTTATAACAATGTTGCATTAACTTTAGTTTATAACATCAGCTAATGGGCTCTATGACCTACATATTGTTAAAAAAGAAAGAAGAAAACATTGATTTTTGTGTTTGTCTTTGTACTTTTTTCTTTGTACTTTTTTTTTTCAGTGGTTTCTCAACTGCTGTCGGGAAATGGTGTGTATTTGTGTTTGTGTCATGGGACATGGACCTTTGGGGCGGGGTATAAAAAGCCTGTCCTGAGTGAGCTCTGCACTGGAGCAGGTCTGAGCCGAAGATGAAGAGGACTGTGCTGTGGCTCCTGGCCTCTCTGGGCCTGGCCTGTTTCACTGCTGTCACTGATGCTGCTCAACTGTAAGTGTGCATTTTTATAATACACACACACACACACACACACACACATATATATATATATATATATATATATATATATATATATATATATATATATATTTATCTCACTATTAGAGCTGTCAAATAAAAAGGACAAGAAAAAGCCAAATGTAACAGGCTCATACAAATAAGTAATAAAGTTACTTGCACCTAAACTTTTTTATAGAAATGATAATAAGCAAAAAAGAAAGAAAGAAAACATTCACACATAATGAATTTATTAACTTTCAGAAATATTTTAAATGCCGTCAAGAAAGACTATCAGTATTTTTATTCTATCCTGTTTCACAGGCAACTGACTTCCGATTTCTTGATTTCTTTATGATTTACGGTGTGTCTAATTCACAGCAACTTTCAAAAGGCCAGATTGTGTCACAGTCCAAAGTAATGTGGATTTTGGCCCCATTTCCATCTGTTTGCAAATATCAGAGTTCACTGTTTTGATGAAATGTTTTATTGATCTCAGGGTTTGTTTGTTAGTAAACAATTATTGCATACATTTTTGAATGCTAAATGGGTCAGCAGAGGTGGATTGAGTGTTTAACATTTCTACTCTAGATATAAGATATAATTGTTTCTACAAAGTGATACTGCACGATTATATTTAAAGAAAACTAAATTAAACTAAAAGTAATTACAACTTAACACTTTGAATAGTTAAAGACCACAATCTGGGTTTTTAATTTTTTTTTTTTTCAGAAAGGTGCTGTCTGCCCCCAACCTGCTCCGTGTGGGAACAACAGAAGCCATATTTGTGGAGTGTCAAGACTGCACTGGACAGGCACCCATGAATGTTGAAATCTCTGCCTGGAACCATCCAACAAAAAACACAAAACTCAAGCACACAACTGTAACACTTAATGCGGCCAACAACTACCAAGCCCTTGGAGAACTTGTGGTAAAGAATTATATATTTTTCACCATGCATAATATCATAACTTTTATAAACCATATTCCAAAAACCATAAACCTTTTTAATTATTTGACTGTCCGCCGGTCAGATCCCTCCGAACAGTTTTAGCAAGGATCCTACAGCCAAACAATATGTGTACCTGCAAGCAGCATTCCCAGGATACACTGTGGAGAAGGTGGTCTTAGTCTCCTTTCAATCGGGATACTTGTTCATTCAAACAGACAAGACCCTGTACACCCCTGATAGTATTGGTAACTGTGACAATACTTTAAATTGTTCCAAAACATTTATACCTTATCCTCCATATTACAAAAATATATTTTTTTGTCAAAGTGAATTTCAGGATTTTTGCTCTGACACCGGGCATGAAGCCAATCGGAAGAGATGAAGCAGGAAATCCTGCCTCTATTGGAGTGGAGATTGTGGTACGTACTTTTGTATTCTTACTTTAAGGTGCGCTATGCAACTTTTCTGCTGGAGGGTCTGCCACTTGCTAGTCTGCATGAAGATGTCATTGTGTTGTCTGGCCTATTACATAATACAGCATTAAACCTATCTATCTAGGCCATTTGTGTTTTGGTGTATCATTTTCACAAATACTGAAACAAATGTGATGCTGAGAACACTTACGTACACAAAAATGCATACACCAGTGTTATAGATGGCTAAAAGGAAGTAAAAACTGACAATGTCCTGCACCTCTTCAGGATCAGTCCAAACATAGTCCAAAGTCTAAAGCCAGTCTAGACCAATCCAAATACTGTCTGGAATAATTTAAACCCAGGCAGAACCAGTCCAAGTCCATTCAAAACCTGTGTGATCCCACTCTGGTCCAGTCCATAGACCAGTTTAGACCAGTCCAAACCTCATCTGAACCAGTCCAAATCCTGCTTGGACCAGAATCAGTCCAAATACAGTCCTGACCGGTCTAACCCTGTCCAAACCTGCATTTTTGCCCAGTGGTGTCACATGCTTGTTTCCATGGTGACTGATATGCAAAACAATAACATCTTTAAGAAAACAAGAGGGTGGAAAGTTACACAGTGCTTCTTTAAATACTCAGCTTTTCTGAAAGTTCTTCTGAAAGATGTTTTCTTTCAGACGCCTGAAGGAATCGTCATCCCATTGGATCCTGTCTCACTAAAATCTGGGATGCACTCTGGAACATACCAACTCGGTGAAATAGTCAGGTTAGTCATTTTAATTGATACTTTTTTTTTTTTTTGCTACATATTTAATAGTATTCGTATTGTATTGTGTGTCCATGGATAGTATTGGCCAATGGAAAATTGTGTCCCGCTTTCAAAACAACCCCCAGGAATCATACTCTGCAGAGTTTGAAGTAAAAAAATATGGTAAGTTTGTAATGAGCTTGAGTATTTTAGACAAAGCACTGAGATAATGTTTAATTTTGTACATTATTAATTTTATTATTATATTTTCAGTGCTGCCCAGTTTTGAAGTGAAGCTGACATCTGAGACTTCTTTCTTCTATTATGACACTCCGACTTTCAGAGTCAACGTTAAAGCCAAGTCAGTTGTCAATACTTTTAGAAAATGGTTTTGTTGAAATGTAATGGCACTTCTTTTGGGCTTATGCTGCTTGTTATTTGTGAGTCATGGGCCTCTTTATGGTTTTAGGTATTTGTTTGGACAAGAAGTTGATGGTATGGCCTATGTTGTGTTTGGAGTCATGAAAGATGGAAATAGAAAAGTCTTCCCTTCCTCACTACAAAGAATACCAGTGAGCGTAATATTTTTAGATGTTGGCTACAACATGTTGTCAGTTACATTTAGTATTCCACTAATACCTGCACCTTATAAACCAGCCAAGACTCAACACTTCTAATGCATGTGGTATTTGCATATGCAATAGCTTTACATGTTTTTATGACCCTTTAGATTAATGGGGGCAATGGAGAGGCCATCTTGGAGAAGCAGAGTATCCTCAAAACTTTCCCAAACATTGAGGATTTGGTTGGAGGATCTTTATTTGTGACAGCCACGGTGTACACAGAAAGCGGTGAGTCCAGAAATCCAGTAGTAGTAGAACTAAAATGTACAAAAGACATTATATTACATTCCTAATTCCCTCTTATATTTACTGTGCATTTCTTTCATGCAGGAAGTGAAATGGTTGAAGGAGAGTTAAGAAATATGCAAATTGTCAGATCACCTTACTTCGTGAACTTTGATAAAACACCCAAATATTTCAAAGCCGGAATGTCTTTTGATGTCACGGTAACAACTTTTTTAGTATAAATGTCAGTTTTTATAATCATGAGCATGTCTTTAACTTTGAGATGTTATTTGTAAATGTCAGGTTACAGTCACTAACCCTGATGGGAGTCCAGCAGAGGGCGTCCCAGTCGTGGTGGAGCCTGGTATTAACGTCCAGGGCACCACTCGCTCCAATGGCAGGGTCACCCTCACAGTCAACACAAGGGCAACTGATAGAAGTCTGGAAATCACTGTAAGTGACTATTGGGAATGCACTAGAATGATTCAGGGTTTTGCATTTTCAATTGTATTCTTTGTAATTTTAGGCAAGGACCGATGATAAGCTCTTGCCCGCTGAAAGACAGACAAGAGCCGTAATGGTGGCTAAACCTCATGAAACAAGAAGCAACAATTACATTCACATAAGTGAGTGCAATTTCAGCTGCTTTTCAAGATCAATGTCACATACCACCTCATCATGATCATTTTGTGGAAGACTAGGGAAGTCATTTGGGCTAAAGAGTGTTGATCTGATTATGGTTGCCAGTCACAGTAGCTCACTCGATAATAAATGAGCTTGCTGAAGCTCTTTTTTTTTTATTTTGGCTGGTGATCAGAATGTTTTGTTTGATTTTTGTGTAGTTTAATTGTCTTCTCTGTCGTAGATGTGATGTCAGCAGATGTGGAGTTAGGAAGTGATCTTAAGTTCCATTTAAACCTGAACAGTGCAGCTGCAAAATTTGATATTACATATCTGGTGAGTGATGTTTTAAAAGTTTATTTTACAACATCAGCATCCAAAGTCAAAGAGATATGAAAATGCTTAACAACAGGGGTAATATTTGCCCTTCTATTTATAGATCCTGAGCAGGGGTCAATTGGTTCATTTTGGGAGACAAGTATCAGATCGTCAAGTGACTGTTGCTGTAGTTATCCCAGTTACCAAAAAAATGCTACCATCATTTCGACTCATTGTGTACTACCACCCTAGTCCCAATGAGGTGGTGTCCGACTCTGTTTGGGTGGATGTTGATGACTCTTGTATGGGCACGGTAAGGTACTCCCAACAACAACGGAGACTTTTGTTTCTAGCATTCAAATAACTAAGAGTGCAGTACCTTCTTATGAAATATCAAACTTTCCAAGGACTTAAGCAATTTTGCAAAAGGATTGAAGTATGACATATATAAAATGTAATGTCGTTATTCCTTGCCTTTATATAGAACAGCTCATAGAAATGATGTCCTCAGATGTATTGAATAAATGTAAACTGGGATCCTCCTCAATTCCCCATCCATCCATACCTAATCACCTACCTAATCACCTGCACACCCATCATACAACGATGGTCACAGCTAACAATTCAGGAAAAAATACTTTATGTAGTATCATTTAAGAGCACACACATCTTAGATATATTAATTAAATGATTATGGTTTTGTTTTCAGTTGAAGCTAGAGCCAAAGCATCCTGTCCTGTCGTATGAGCCACGGAGGACTTTTCATCTGAAGGTCACTGGAGACCCAGGCGCCACCGTAGGACTGGTGGCTGTGGACAAAGGCGTTTACGTCCTGAACAATAAACACCTCCTCACCCAGAAAAAGGCAAGTGTTTATTTTAAATTCTTCTACAAAACCATACTACACCAACTTTATTTATTAAAAAAAATACAACAGCTGGCCAAAGTAAAATCCAGAAAAAAATACAATAAACAAACAGCAATGACAAGACTCAAAATAATTAGAACCTGGGTATCTATGAAAATCTACTCTCTCAGTGGTTAAAAGCCAGTTAAAAAAGGTTCATTTTAGTGAGGTTTTAAGAGTAACACCAACAGTGGTATCTTGTTCATACAGTTTTGGTGCCTTTTCTGTTCAGGTGTGGGAGATCGTTGAGAAGGCGGACACTGGCTGCACTCCAGGTGGAGGAAGAAACAGCATGGGAGTGTTTTTTGATGCAGGGCTCATGTTTCATACAGACACAGCATCTGGGACTCCGTACAGACAAGGTAATGCACCAATAACACTTGACAATTAATTATCTTAAATTATTGACTCATTATTGACTGTATTTTGTTAGAGATGAAATGCTCTGTTCCTGCGAGAAAAAAGCGAGCCTCCACCTTGTTCGATGTCTTAACCACTCTGGGTAAGAAGTTGTTGTAGATTATTCTATGCAGTTTTGCACCATTGTTCTCTCCATACTCTATTTTTTATATTTTTATTCAAAGTATATAGCCTATAGTTTTTAACACCCTGTTTTTTGTGAATGGCCTTATTTGTTAATAGTCAATATTCTTTTACTGTTATTATTCATTGTTTTATATTTCACCATACCACTGTAATTTATTATCACAATATTACAGCGAGTACATATAAGGACCCCCTGGAGCGTGAGTGCTGCTTGGATGGCATGAAGCCCACCCAACTTTCATACACCTGTGCCACACGTAAACTCTACATCACTGATGGTAAAGCGTGTGAGGACGCCTTTCTGCACTGCTGTGAGGAACTGGCCAAGCAGCGCAGTGAACTCAAGCAGGACAACCTGGTTCTGGCCCGCAGTAAGATGGCACCTGTTTTTTTTTTGTGAAGTGTTTTTTTCATGTATATTTATATATATTTTAGTATATATGCTTTTGTGACATTTAATTATAACTACACCTTAATTAGCCTTCAAGATGCACTGTGTAACCTTTTGGTTGGGGGTCCATCACCTTCTTGCTTCTACGGATATGTCACATTGCTCTGCCTGGAATGTTCCATAGTTTGATATTAAACTGCTCTACCTCATATTTATTCAATTACAGGTGGTTTTACACCTCAAAAATATGTAGAAAAACAGGCATTCTGACTGAGCAGGGTTGCCACAGGTCTGACCTGTAACTTGGTCTGGTTTGGTCTCCATGAAGATAGAATGGTACATTAATACCATACCGTGAAACACAAAGCAAAGACAAAGCAATAACATATACATGAAGAGAAGCATTTGACTGACCCTCAACCAGAAAAGTTACACAATGCACCTTTAATAAAGCATGAAGAAAGATTTAATTCATAATGAACAAACTGTTGTTAAATCATGATTCAGGCTTAATAACTATTTACTTAAGTGGTTAATGTTAGAAGTTAGAGTATTAAATGTGTTGGGAAGTAACTGAATGCATGTACCAAGAATACATATACAAAATATTTATTCTGAGTGACTTTATTCTGGTACTGTTACTTTTTCCTTTGGTGGCATTCAGAATACAGTTACTTTTTTAAAATCAAAGGAATACATGACGGTCATACAATCTAGGCCTCAAACTGCACAATATATTCCTATAGTGTGCTCATGTGTAGTTTCTCATGTTTCAAATGGTGAAACAAATATAAATCTGTTTTTAATATTATGTTGCGTTTTTACACTACAATTTAAATATTTAAATGCAACTCTGCTGGTAAGTATTTCCAAGTATGTCATGTATGTATGTAGTCAGAGTGCAGTACAGACCATGTATTGGAATACGTTACAAAATACTTTTTAACGGAGGTATTGAGTATTCTCTTACTAAATTCATTATCAAAGGAGCTATGGTTAGGGCATTAATTACGAAGCTACTAAGCCTGAATTCTTCTCAATAAACTATTTGTTTAATTATGAATTAAGACTATATTTATCCTTTAACGTAACCTAGGCTAATAAGATGTAGTTATTATGAAGTGTTACCATTTTGTTTTTAACCAAATTCAATGTCTCTAGGCGAGGAGGACAACAGTTACATGGACAGCAGTGAAATTACTTCTCGGACTAAATTTCCAGAAAGCTGGCAGTGGGTTACCTTCAAAATTCCTGCATGTGGTGTGAATAAAAATTGGTAAGATGGTCAAATAAATGTTACTATGTTCACCAATAATAATAATAATAATCACTCAAACACCATATTGTTTTTAGTGAAGCTGACATGGCCATTCCTCTAAAAGACTCCATCACAACTTGGGTGTTTACTGGCATTAGTTTATCTGAAAATAATGGTAAGAGAGGTTTATTTGTACATATGTGTAAAACATTTCTAAAATAATAAGTTTTTGTGTTTGTTTTTAGGTATCTGTGTTGGAAAGCCTTTGGATGTTATTGTGTTTAAAGAGTTTTTCTTAGACCTTAGACTTCCATATTCTGCTGTGGTCGGAGAACAGATTGAAGTTAGGACGATTATACATAACTACATTCATGATCCTATCACTGTAAGGTTATACATTATCAACCAATATAATACAAGTGAACCAAGTCTTATGATTGACTTACATATTTGGATTTATTATGTAGGTGCGTATCGAACTCATAGAAAACCCAGATATATGCAGTTCTGCATCGAAGCGTGGCAAATATACTCAACAGGTAAAATTGGGAGCCTCTACCACTCGAGCAGTGTCATTTGTTATTATTCCCATGAAAGAAGGTGAATTAAACATAGAAGTTAAAGCCGCGGTGAAAGACTCATGGCACGGTGATGGAGTTGTGAAGCCACTACGGGTTGTGGTAAGAACATAATGTCAACAGTGTTCCCCTTACCTTGTACACTATTTAGTTTAATGAGCCCTCTGGTCTTTTTCAGCCAAATGGTGTTTTGACTAAAGTAAATAAGATTGTTGAAATAGATCCAAAAGGTGATTTATAGTGGTATAAATTATGTTAATTATTTGTGAATTAAGTGTTAAGTCTCATCTATTTTGTATCTATTTTGTATACATATAGGAGGCACACAAGAAGAGACGATCAACAATGCAATTGCAAAAACTGAAATGGTTCCAAATACTCCATCGAGCACCAAAGTTTTTGTATCAGGTACCATTATAAATCCATTGCAATTAAGATAAATGTTTTTCATAATCCTCTGCACTAGCACTGCGCAACAGCTAAGACATATCCTAAATTATAAAATGACATTAATGTTAAGAAATATTAAGAAATATTGACAGTAAATAAATAAATATGATATGTCACCTACTTCCAATTAAGTATTTCAGATTAAATTAACATATATAACATGATTAAATTATGAAGTCAACATTTTACATTTACTAGCCCTTCATCTGCCAATAGCGGGGCAGACATAAAAGTTAAAGCATTCTCAACAAAGTTTTTAGAACATTTCTCTGAAAAGGTTCAGTTAATAATTTTGGTTTGCATCATTATTTGCTACATTTGATTAATTATTATACTTTGCCCTGTGTCCCTAGGCAGGGAGCAGGTGAGCCCTCTGGTGGAGAATGTTATTGGTGCATCTGCCATGGGTAACCTGATCTATCAGCCCACTGGGTGTGGAGAGCAGAACATGTACCACATGACTAAGCCTGTCATTGCCACAACATATTTGGACAGAACCAATCAATGGGAAGGAGTGGGCCTGGAGAAGCGCAGTGAGGCCCTGACCCATATTAAAACTGGTATGTTTTGTTAGTAGTACTGAACATAAAATATTAAAGGAACTGTATGTAAATTTTTTATTTTTTTTTTATATCATAAACATGATACTTCTGTGTCCCCAGATAAAACGTAAACATAGGCAAATCCAATATAGATCTTACTTGTAAAAATGGCAAAGCTGATTTCTTCTTCACTACAAAAACTTTGGATATGAATTCCAAGTTGTTTATGTTTATGTGTGGTTTGCTTTGGTTCTCAAGACGATGATCCCCTCAGAAAGCAAACAAAGCCTCACATGAGCCTCTCATTTGGGTTTCTAGTTTAAATGTTGAAATTTAGTAGCCTGCATTCTTGCAGTTTTAAATAAAGGTAATACGATCACAAGTGAACTTGGGTTGCCAGTGCCTTGGCCTGCAGATAGAACTTATATGAGTTTTTTTTTTCTCATTCTCAGTATATAGGCAGGCCATACCTCAAGTGAAAACTCAGAACCTCCTGAATCTACTCCCTGAGCTGCAGAGGCCGAACTAGCACTGATTCATGACTGGCTGCAGGTGCTGGGGCTTAGGTAGTGAGGATTCAGATCAGAGAGAGCCCTTTTAGTTTAAATCAACATAAAGTTCAAAAACAGAAATTGTATTCCCATCTAAGGTATATTATAACTGTAGGTTGTGTTTTCAGGTTACCGAAATGAAATGAAATATGCTAAACCTGATGGATCCTTTGCTGTGTGGGCACACGAAAAAAGCAGTACTTGGTAAAACATGAAAAATTTTTTCAGAACTGAACAAATGAAAGTAGTCTCCTGACATTAACTGAACTCTGTTGTGTGTAAGGTTGACTGCCTATGTAGTCAAAGTATTTTCCATGGCCAATAATCTGATTGCAATAGAGAACGATGCAATCTGTAAGGCAGTGAAGTGGCTAATCCTGCAAACACAGCAGCCTGACGGCATGTTCAAAGAGCTTAAAGTGGTCTACCACAGGGAGTATACAGTAAGTATTACTAATGCAGTCCTGCACAAAAAAACACAGGCTTTTTCCATTTAACTTGGTAACAATACCTTCGAGAACTTCTCTTTTATATTTAAAGGTGCATTGTATACCTTTTCTGGTTTAGGGGCTGTCAGTTGCTTGTCTCCATGGAGATGTTATTGCTGTGCATGGAATGTTCCATGGCATGACGTTAAACATATCCATCTAGCATTTATTAAGTACAGGTGTTTTTATTGCTCAAAAATACTGCTATAACTGTGGAACATTCTAAACAAAGCAACAACATTTGCATGGAGACAACAGGCAGTGGACCCTCCTCTAGAAATGTTACTCAGTGCACCTTTAATGAAACATTCAAATTCAAACAACTGGAGTAAAAACAAAGTGATTTGTCCTTATTTAATTTTGTCTAGGATGAAAAGTACATTTTCACGGTTGTCTCTCATAGTGAATATACTTTTAGGGCGATGTTCTGGGGAGAGATTCTGATGCCTCCATGACGGCCTTCTGTCTCATTGCGATGCAGGAGTCCAGACGAATATGTGAGGCCACAGTGAATGTAAGTTTGGTCGTAACTTCTGTCTTATTCTCCCCGTTTTTTATATGATTTTTTTGTTATTGCCCATCTTTTTTTTAGAGTTTACCTAATGCTGTAGAGAAGTCTGTGGCGTACTTGGAGAAGGCGCCTTCCCTCTCTCACCAATCCTTATGCAGTTACCATTACATCATATGCTCTGGCCAATGAAAACAAGCTTAATAAAGAGATCCTGTACAGATTTGTTTCTCCAGGTTGGAACTTTTTATGCATTATTTATGGTTCTTGTGTTAGATAATAATAACCCTTTATGAATCACTTTTTGTAGAGTTGAACCATTGGATCTCACCTCAGGGACACGTGTTCTCACTGGAGGCAACAGCTTATGCTCTTCTGGCTCTTATCAGGGGCGGAGTGAGTCTCATTATTATTTTGTATAGTCATTTTAAAAGAAAACAACATAGCTTTAAGAAGAAATGTACATCAATGAATAGCTAGCTATGTTCTACGTTTTTTAAATCAAGTAGGTTTAAAAGTATATCATATTATTAAAAATTGTCATATATATATATATATATATATATATATATATATATATATATATATATATATATATATATATATTATATATATATATATATATATATATTATTTTTTTTTTTAACACATTGTTGATAAAAGTCACATAAACTTGTGACTTTTGTACTTAAAAAAAAAAAAACAGTTTCTAGAAGACGCTCGGCCCGTTGTGAGATGGTTAACAAAGCAGCAGAAGAATGGTGGCGGCTATGGATCAACACAGGTACATATGTATACAGATATATTATGGCTTTTAATTAAATTTTTTTGTTAAATTATATTATATACTATATAAAACGCTGAAACATTTCCTTGATCCTAGGCCACAATAATGGTGTACCAGGCAGTGTCTGAGTACTGGACAGTGGCTAAAGAACCAGACTATAACCTGGACGTGGAGCTGAAGGTCCCGGGGCGTGCGGCTCCTTATAGTTTCAGATTCAACAGAGACAACCATCACACCACAAGGACATCTAAGGTCAGTGTGCATGACCGAGTAGTAGCATTGCATGAGATTGTTTCTGATCTTTGTGCTATGTTTGAACCCCAAAACAGAATTTTGAAGTCAATGAAAATGTGAGACTGACAGCCAGAGGCACAGGAGAAGCAACTCTAACCGTAAAACACTTTCTCTTTAAACCACTTTTGTCCATATGTTTGTCCTTATTAAATTTGTATTATTTTACAGCTGCTCACACAGTATTATGCTGTGCCTAAAGAAACTGTGAGTGACTGTACAAAGTTCAATCTCTCACTGGACTTCAGTCTCGGTAAATTCTTGTTTTTTTCATTACCACAGTACATATATCACAGATTATTACTAATGACATTTGTGTTGTTCTATCAGAAAAAGTTGATGAGAATGAAGGAGATATTTACAAGCTGAGAACTGCATTTTTGTGAGTAAAATTTTGACAAAAATAAATATTTCAAAGGATAAATTGTTAAAAAAAAAATACTGTTTTGCTTTTATAGCTTCAAGGACATGAAAGAAGATGCGTCTATGTCAATCTTGGATATAAGCTTACCCACTGGCTTCATGCCTATAAATGAAGACTTAAATGCCGTAAGATTACAGTAGTTTTGTGAACTCTTTATTTAACTGTATTAATGTTGTTTCTTAACTGCTCTCTATACTCTGTGTAACTGTAGTTGTCTGAAGGCCGTGCGCGCGTCATCTCCCAATGGGAATTCAACAAGGCTCTATCAGAGAAAGGCTCCCTCATTCTCTACATGGACAGGGTCTGGGAACAGTGTTTACATGCACAGAAAAAACAATATTATTACATACAATTATAACAGTTCATTTGAAGCTAAAAGTGAAAGCAACAATCCCTCCATATTAAAATTTTTTTTTTTTTTTTTTATCCATGATGACATATAACAACTATTGTTTTAAAACCTTAAAAAATGCTGAAAGATTGGTTGTGAGCAATGTAATTTATATCTGATTGTTCACTCTTGTGGCAAAGGAAAATATACAAAAAGGCAAACTTATGAAATGAAAAGAACACGTTAAATATTCAAAGAGCTATTTTTAGATTAATTGTACTTTGTCTTCCGTTACTCTAAATATCCACTGATGAACTGACACATGTCTAGATGACACACATACACACTAAAATATCAGATGTAATTATTGGGTTATCTGCCCAGTTAGTCTAGTCAGGTTTTACTGGGCTGCAGTCTGTTTCTGATGGGACATTTTGTTTTTTGACAGGTTTCTCACAAACGAGTCGAGGAGCTGGCCATTAGATTGAGACAGACTCACAAAGTGGGCGTGTTACAGCCTGCCTCTGTGTCTATATATGAATACTATGATGGTAAATATGACTGTTTCTTTGCAGACAGAAATGGTAAAAAAGTTGACATTGTAAATGTTTTCCAGAAACAAAATGTGTAAAGTATTATCATCCACAAAGGAAAGATGGTCACATCTTGAGACGATGCAAAGGCGATGAATGCCTATGTGCTGAAGGTATTGAAACTTAAAACAGCAATGGATAACACTAATATTGGCCATATCAAAGAATGTAATATGCATTTTTCCTATGTATATATTAACCTAACTACAAATGTATATGTTATTATTTTGTGTGCAGAAAACTGTAGCTGGCAAAAGAAGGGGAAATTCAGCAACCAGGAACGCATAGCCAAGGCTTGTGAATCCACACTGACCAGCAAGATTGATTTTGGTAAGTGAATGTTCTGCTGTTTAACAGAGAGGAGAAAAATACAGAAACCTTTTTTTTCCCCTTAGTGTACAAGGTCATTCTGGAAGAAGCAGTGTATGATTCGTCTTTTGACACCTACATCATGCGAATTGAGAGACTCATCAAGGACGGTTAGTCTTTTTAATAATATAAACTACTAATACTATAACTATAAATGATAAGATTTACTTGATTCACAATCTGTGTTTATCCATACTTTGTTACTTGCAGGAACATATGATAAGGATGCTGAAGGCAAACTGCGCAATTTCCTCAGTTTCTCACACTGCAGAGAGAGTTTAAATCTACAAGTAAAGAAACATTATCTTATAATGGGTACCGCTGAGGACACTCTGCAAGATCCAAAGACTCAGTCGTAAGTGTATTTTATATATATATATATATATATATATATATATATATATATATATATATATATATATATATATATATATATATATATATATATATATATATATGTATGTATATATATATATATATATATATGTATGTATGTATGTATGTATGTATGTATATATGTATATATGTATAGCTGTTAACTGTGATTTACATTAAAGGGACCTCTTGTAGATAGCCATGTTGTTTTATTTTGCATTCAGAAGGAGGCATGATTTTAACTTTATTTTCCATGTGGTAATAAAGGCTATTTGTGTTCTTTTGAGTGCCTCAGCTTTTTCAGCTTGGATCAATAGTAAGTTTCTGTTTTAAACTGTATTTTAGATTTGAGTACTTGCTTGGTGAAAGGACATGGATTGAGTTCTGGCCTGAAGGAGAAGATTGCCAAATGGATGAATACAGACCTACCTGTTTAGGCATGGAAGCCCTTATCGAGAGATATGAGACACATGGCTGTATTTCTAAGTAAGATTACTGCCTGACCTGTTTCTATAAGTAAATACATGTTTTCATCTTTTGTAAAGAAAAACAATAAACAATTATATACAATAAAATGCATGTTTTTGTATTGTAACACTATGATCAGCTCTCTGTGAAAACCAATAAACCTTTATACACATTAGAAAAAGTAATATGGCTTTTTTAAATTAAAGCAAAACATTTGTTAGTCATGATAAAAACTAACATTAAACCTTTTTTTTTAAATTTTGCTCCTTGTAAAAGGCTTTATTCATTTAAATTGGAACTCCATTGACTGCCAAACTGAGATGGCCCTTCTCTCACTTTTCACTGTCATAAACTTGTTTTTATTGTTGAAACGTGACATTTTTACCCCAGTGTGTATGACCCAAACTCTGACTTTTTGCCATTTTGTGCCATTATGTACAGAGCAGTGGGTGGAGATATGGGATAGGTGAAAAGAGTAATTTTCTGAGTGCTCAAGCCTCAAATGCAGAATAATAGTAATATATAATAAGGTATAATAATATAATTATATAAGATTACTTAAATATACATGAAAAAACATCAAAATGCAACTTTGAGTATGTAATGAGGGAGCACATGGTTAAAATCTTATAAATGCTATTCAATTAATGTACTCAACTTAAGTAGACATATACAATGCATAGCCGTTAGATGGCAGAAGTGAGCTCGGAGCCATCGGGACATGCCATAAATGAAGTGGAAATGTCTCTGACGTATTTCCGGTCTGAATAACCCGCGAGTGTTCGTGTTTTGTCGCGGCACGAGAGAGAACCCATGAGAAGCGCACTGTTAAAACGGATTTCTAAAAAGCTTTGAAAGGGTTTATAGATATCAACGTGCTGCATATAACACTGGGGTTAACGACTTCTTTTCTAACTGGTTCAACGTTGAAGCACTTCAAGAAATCGCCATGGCCAAGGTGCAAGTGCTGAACGTAGCGGTACTGGACAACCCAAGCCCGTTTGGAAATCCGTTTCAGTTTGAGATCACGTTTGAGTGCATGGAGGATCTGCCTGAAGGTGGGTTAATATGTACAGTCTATGCTTATCATTTAACTTATCTAAGTATAGTCTATGGGTTCGGCGGTGTCAAGTATTACTGAGCTAGAACCAAGGTTGAGACAAATTAACTTTATGGCATCAGACCACTAATGTTATACACAGACAGTTGTGAAGTGCTTTTGCCGGAAAACCCTTCAAATTTGCTGTTAATTTTTCCATTTAAAATAGCGCTCGCGCGTTTGTGCTCAGTGATCCACCTTCCTCTGCTCTCATTGGCTGGACCTTCAGGAGAATGGCCCTGATTGGTTGGGTCCATTAGACGTCGAAATCTTTGCCTAAAACTGCTTTTGTCCAATTTTAGCAACACAGGCTGACATTTCGTGCCTCTTCTGACAGATCTTGAGTGGAAAATCATCTATGTCGGATCAGCAGAGAGTGAGGAGTACGACCAAGTGCTGGACTCTGTCCTGGTGGGCCCAGTGCCAGCTGGGCGGCACATGTTTGTGTTTCAGGTATGTACTGGTGAAGAACTTAAACTGTGGGGGGGGGAACAAAAAAAACACAACTTTATATTTTGGGCCAAAGTTACAGTTGTAATACATGGTCATGCTTTATTTTTGCTTATGTAGAAGTAAAAACATTGTCTTGTCTCTCTCTGATCACTTTTGTATGTTCTAGGCTGACGCCCCCAACACTGGTCTCATCCCAGAGACTGACGCTGTCGGAGTTACTGTTGCTCTTATCACATGCACATATCGTGGACAAGAATTCATTCGTATTGGTTACTATGTGAATAATGAATATACAGATGTTGAATTAAGAGAAAATCCACCTCTTAAACCAGATTACAACCAGGTAAGACTTTCAGAATACACCTGGAATCTTTAGTACTTTAATCTTGTTCTTAGTATTAAATGTGCACTATGTAATTTTTCTGGTAATGATTCTTTACCTAAATGTCTGCTAAGATTTTATTGCTTTACCTGGAATGTTCTATAATACGGTATTAACAATAGCATTTCTAGTATTGAATTGTATTTAATTGGTGTTTTTATTGATTAAAAACATCTATTACTATTTTGTGAGGTTCATCTCTCCATAAATCTGACCTGTAACTTGGCCTGTTGGCATCACAAGCTGGTCGTCTTGATGGATAATTTTAATTAATGTGGAATATCTCCATGGAGACAAGCAGGGTTAGGGTTAAGGTGAACACTCCACCAGACAAGTGGCACTTTAAAGTACAAATTAAAACATCAGGATATGTCAAAGACTCATATTTCATAAAGAAGTATTAATAAAGAAGGAATGAAAATTTTTAAAGAAGATATATTTGGCTTGAGTCTGATATATTAGGTGGTTATATTCTATGACACCTGTAGATCATTATGTCATGATTTGGACATTTTAATCACAATATTGATTAAAAATTATATAATAAATTAAACCAGTCCACTGACTTCTGCGTTAGAAACTTGTGGTGCCTAATGGGAGCAGACACTGATGTAAACGTCATCAGAACAAAGAGCAGCGCAGTTGTCGGCATCTTTGAATGGCTGCAGATCACGCTAGTAAATAACAGATTTTCATTTAAACCAAAACGGCTACACGATGCTGCTCAATCCTACACGAGTCACCAATAAAGAAAATAAAACTGGAAAACAGTACAGAGCACTGGGTGTGTACTAGTGGCTGGAAAAAAGAGGATTGATCTCAGCAATGACGTCTTGAATACAGGAGAATCGAGATTACTCAAACATGCACAGATTACTCAAAATAAATAAAAAATAAAATTATTAATGCTATATCAAACTTTTTGCACACTAATGTAAGCATCTATTGTGGACACAGCTGCCCTTGGGTAGATTGAGGGAACAAAGCTTCCCTAACTACTCCATTGGCTCCTCCAACCACAAATTACTCATACATCTCATTCATAAAGATTGCCAATAGACAAAATGGCACTCTACATGTTTTCATCGATCATAACTGGAATCAAATCACTGATCTTTGGGTTGGTGGGTGAATGCTTTAAACATGGAGCCACTATTGCTAGGCCTATCATGATTACACATTTTGAAGTTCAATATATTGATGAATAAATATAAACTATTGAATATTGAAACTAACCAAGAGCAGATTTAAACCATAAAAAACTATTCTAAATGTACAATATTGTAAATGATATTAAGCATTAAAAACTGCAGAATGAATCACAGTATTTACTTTGCATCTGTAATGAGTTATAGAAGTTATTAATTTGGGGCGGCATTAGCTCAGTTGGTAGAGCATCCGCTCACTGAACTAAAGGTTGGCGGTTAGAATCCAGCTCTCGACATAAACATCACAGTAGCTCAGTTGGTAGAGCATTCGCGCACTGACCCACAAGTTGGCTGGTGTGATTCCAGCTCCCACAGATGAATGCTGTCATTGTGTCCCACCTTGTCCACAGTGTCTGCGTACACTGGTGTATGAATGTGTGTGTGTGTGTGAATGGGTGAGTGGTTCCTTTTTGTGAAGCGCTTTGGGCACCTTGAAGGTGGAAAAGTGCTATAAAAAAAATGTGACCATTTACCATTAATTCAACTAGAAATTTCCGAGTAGACCAAAAAAGTACACGTGATAAATATTATCCCAGTTTTCAGATGATGAACAATAAATCAATATACAGTAGTAATTATCGTGACAGGCCTAACTTCGGCCCCAAACTTTAAAATCGGTAGTATTTTTAGATTGCAAGTCATGATAAACACTTTCTTTCTTTTTTGTGTTTTCTTGCAGCTCCAGAGGAATATTTTGGCCTCCAATCCTCGTGTGACTCGCTTCCACATCAACTGGGATGGTTCAGCAGACAAGATGGAGGACACCGAAAATGTTGACCCGTCTCCAAACATAAACTGCATGCTCCCTCCTACTTGTGCGCCAGGAAAGATGCCTCCAATGGGACTGCTGCCAGACAACTCTATGGACTGCATGTAAGAACCAACTGTTAAAAACTGGACTCCAACCTCGTGTGCTATTTTTTTGCCTTAACCTAGAAGATACATTTAAACCAAAACAGGAACAGGATGCTACTTGAAAATATGCCATGATTTCTCTCTAATCAATTTAAAACAATTGTCATATAATCCCAAAATGCTTATTATCAATAAATAATCAATGGACTGAGGGATGCTGCAAATCAAACAAACTTGCTTGGGTCTGAATTGCCTTAAACCTTTGGAAATGGTCTATTCTGGGAGACATTCTTGAGTAACAAATCTAGTAACTGTACTGTAAACATGTAAACAGGCTAAAATATCGCTAAGGTCATATGTATGCAAATCTTGTACTACAAAGGTCATTTTATCCATAAACCAAGTAAATTACTATATAAGGCAAATGATGTAGTGTGGGGGTGTGTACAATTACTGTAAATAATCTTTTTTTTTTTTTATAATTATTTTTTGTATCTTCAAGGTTTAAAGCCGTCTTTGTTGGCATCTACCCCGACTCTTTATTTGTATAAGATTTAATAAAATTTGTTTACTGTACATGTTTTTTGTTTTGTCTTTAGCAGTAAGACACAGTCGCACATGTGCATGCCCAGGCTCACTCATCTTTCTCCTGCTTTTTTTTTTTTTTCCGAGTTTCATTCATAAAACGCTGCAGCATCACTCCTCCATTTTCACTCAGCCTCATGTTGCTAGGTAACTGCAGTACAATGGTGCGGACTGTCTGCTGTCACCATTTTCTTAGAGCAGCTAAACCCCATACACTTGCACACTTGTTTACAATAAGGGTATAACATATGCTTAAGCACATTTTACCGCATTATCTAAAATCAGTTCTCATAATGTACATGTTATTTTTAAACTTGGAAGCAATCAAAAATGACGGACATGTTCAAAAGCTGTGGACTTCATTTTATGCAAGAATATAGAATATTTAGAAGTCGCAGCTTATTTAAAGTAGTAAATATCATCGTGGAAGATTAAAGCCTCCGCTTGTTTATGGGGCGGTAGCCTTCCATTTTCTCTGAAATTATTTAAGACCCATTGATAACCTAGATCTTTAAGTATCTTCACAAACAGTGCCACAGTCTTAAAGTCAAGCAGTGTTTTCATCATTGTAAACTCTGTCCTTTTGTTTATAGTGGCCACAGTCTGCGCTGCGCCGCCGTGCGTTAAATTCTAACCAGCATTACTAAAAATAGCCTCTGTTGACGTCACTCGACCAAACGTGTAGCTGTAGCTCGGGGGGTGAATGGGTGGGAAAGCAGTTTTATTCTTCATTTCTGCGGTTGTGCACCGCTGCAGACAGCCAATAGAATCAGCTGCTTTCCCACGACTCGGATGCTGCAAGCCAATGGAGGAGAGAAACGGGAGAATGGGAGCGGTACGTCTTAGGGAGGAAAGCCACTGACGCTCCCTTTGGTTGGTTTGCAGGGAGGCGGGATGTCGCTGTTGTTGATGGACTTCCGTGGCCCAATCAGGGTACTGTGCTTGTTGGTGCCCGTGAGATGCAGCCAATTCGTGCACTTGTCTCGGCGTTAATCAGCTGTGGGTCCGGAGAGTGGGCGGGAGGCTGTGGACTGTAGTTCCGTCATCTTTCGAGGCTACGGGGGACCAGTGTTTTATTTCGGCAAATCCCCATCCTTATCCAACCTCTCAGGAACTTGGTGCGTTTGTCTTGATTTGGTTTAAACCGGGGCATCCATAGAAGGAGAGGCAATTGCCCATCAGCGCTGCCGCGGGTTGGGGGCTGGGGAGCGGTGGGGAGCAGGAGCAGAGAAGACGGCTCCTCTGTGCTGGGCGAGCTTCTCTGTCCTGAGATAATCGAGGGCACTACCATACCCTCCAAAGGATTTGTGTACGCTCCATCCCCGTCTGGCGGCGGTAGAGCATCGGCAGCTGTCCCTATTTTTACAGCACCGTGTTGGTCCACTACAACTGGATTTAAGGAGCACGGCGCGCACCCTGCACCGCCAGAGATCGGCTTGGAGGGGCTGCAGCGCGGCCGTCAAGCCACGGTCCGCCTGTTGACTGCTTGTCATCATGGGCAACACGCCCACGGCCAGGAAGGGCAGCGAGATGGAAAGCGGTGGGTAGCCTACAGTATAGCCTAAATGGTCAATGTCTAAAAATGGCAGCTGTAACGCTAGATTCACTGTTTGGAGGTCTGAGCATCTACCCCTGAGCAAGCCTAATCCGCAAGGCCCTGTCTCGTATTATTACTATTTACAATGAGGTCTATATTAAATGTTAAACGTAATTTATTCCTTTAATTCCTTCATCCCAAAAAGAGTAAGGCGTGTGCTTTCATACAGGCATGTAATCTCCCTATTAATCCATCCGAGAAAGCCTCGGGAGCAGCGAGCCTCCTGGAGATAGACTGTCAATATCACGCTTTCTGTGTCTCACATTTCCCCGGCCCACTATGTGTAGTGTCTGCGTCCACTAAGCACAAGTAATGCGCACGACTCCTATCTTGGCAGGATGAGATTTTTAGACCCCCCCCCCCAATCCCCTGTTTCAGTTCTGTTTTTTTTATTATTATTAATAATAATTTTGCCCGTTCTTTACAGTGAAGGAATTTCTTGCAAAAGCCAAAGAGGATTTCCTCAAGAAGTGGGAGAACCCTGCACAGGTTTGTTTGTCTCATGTCCCATACTACAACTAAATCAACTATCTGCATTGCATTAGAAGAGACAGCTAATGTTTTATTATTATTTTTTATTATTGTTTGAGGGATTCTTGGAGGCAATGAAACAAAATAGGAACACATACATGAGACTTCATTGGCTAAGACCACATTTATAGCCAGACATTTTTGATAGTGGATCAAGTATTCTCAAGGCATAAATTATGTTTGATATGTTCTTTAGTTTATATACCACATTAGTTCCATCCAAATTCAGTGTTTAGGCCTAAATACAGATTGCAGGCTATACATAACACTCAAGTTCCCCTCATTCAAATGTAAAATAACTAAATATTCACCTTCAGCGCATGTCCTTTTAGCCCAGTTTTACAAAATTCATTTTTGTTTTTGTCTATGTAGAACACTGCGTGCCTGGAGCAGTTTGAGCGGTTGAAAACATTGGGCACCGGCTCATTTGGTCGTGTGATGCTGGTACGACACCGTGAGACTGGACAACATTATGCCATGAAGATCCTCAACAAGCAGAAGGTCAGTCAGGGTTACACTGGGTGTTTTGTTTAGTGCTATATGAATATATTGAATTATTAAAATTAAATGCAGTAGTGGTAGTTGAAATCATGTTTTGGTCTTTTCATTCTGCCATTGTATTCTTGAGCAAGACATTCCCTGAGTGAGTAGTGGTGGTTGGAATGAATGAAGTACTACAGTGTAGGATTTGTCAAGCTTTTAAAGAGCAATATTAATGAAAAGGCATTTTGACATTAGTTACGTTATGGACTGGTAGTCAAATATGAAATCTTTGAAATTGCTATTGAAATAAACAAAAGGGATTTGTTTCAGTCTGTTTTAGGTCATGAGAGCATGCACACATATACTTTTAGAATGACAATGAAAACTGATGTTCAAAATTAAATTAAAAGGTACAGTATGTCTTTGGACATATTTTATGGACATACTAGTAAATACGTTTTATGCCAAACTGAGGAAGATTATAGATATAGGAACAACATTACAATGGAAACAAGGTGGAGAAGACCCTCCTCCAGGCCAACTAATGGTCAAGTTTATGTTTTACAGTGAAATAAAACACACAAATGGAAAAAAAAAACATGCTTTCATTTTTGTATATTTTGTATGTATCATTCAGAAGCTATAGAACTTGTGGAAGTTTCTAATCCTGATTGTAATTTCAATCATACACAAGGACAGAATGTACAAAATTGTATATATAAACTGTAAATGTATGAAATTTGTTCTAAAAAGCAATTCACTTTGTATCATTCATAATCCTGTCACAGTGTATGTGTGTGGTTATGGCCTTGCTATCTGAATTAAGACTAAAACAGGTCCTGAAACACAGTAAACTGGATTTCCATTGTGTTTTAAAAACAAAGCTTAAGTCCAGTTCAACTTCAGATGTGTTCAGAAGCCATTCACAAGTGCATGATTTCTGGAGCCTTTATATTTGGGGACAGCATTTGTGTAATAGCCAAAGACTAACTGTGAACATGAGGGTTGCTGGTTTGTATCACACCTAAACACTGTTGTTTAGGCATGTCACAATGTAAAATTTTAACATCAAGACATTACAATTGTCTACAATTATTGACACCATGACCAAACAGAGAAATCCTTAATTCACTTTTATTCGCATTGGATTGACAGGACTGTCTTTATCATACCAACCGTTTTTAATGATGAAGTTAAGTGTTTGTGGCAAAGAGCCAGAGAGTGTGTTTGAACTGAGATGACTTGCTTTTGCTTATAAAGTGGTCAAGACGGTTTAATCCCTCATTTGTCCAGAAGCAGTCCAATGTAAAAAAGGTTTCAAAGGAAGTCAATTCCATTTTTGCCATTTAAAAAAAAAAAAAATTTTTCAAAGTGACTTCCTCTTGAAACCTTCTAAAATGGTTATGATTTTTAAAAAACTTTTTATGATTATATTGTGACCTGAATAATCACAATTGTCAATTAACCAAATAATCTTGGCATCCATATATGTTACTGGCTTGAAACATCCTAAATTCAATAAAGTCATAGTTTTCTCATTATTTTATGTATTGCATTTACTCCATTAGTCTAGTCTAGTTTGAATTTTACATCTATATTCTGTCTGTCTTCAGGTGGTGAAACTCAAGCAGATTGAGCACACACTGAATGAGAAGAGGATCCTACAGGCCGTCAGCTTTCCGTTCCTCGTCCGCTTGGAATACTCCTTCAAGGTAAGTTCACAATAATGTGTGTTAATTCTTCACAGACCTGTATATCATTAGCAAATGTCACAATCTTTGACTTGCACTATAATAATGCAGTTAATGGGAAATAATGGAATGAATTATAAAGAGTGCTTAAATAATATCATTACAATTTTGCTGTTTTTACAATGAAGTTCTTGGTGGTCCTGTCCACTCACTATCAGTAGCAGGGCCAAATACCTTTTGCACAGTCTCATTTTAAGAATTTTAAAACATATTACTGTAAATAAACTTTTAAACATTCTCTTTTGAATATGGATTGGGTGTAGTTCTTGGTACTGTGTCCCCATTGTAGTTTGCACTTTGCCAAAGGGGCCAATTAAGTCCTTATTTAGGTTAAGCTGTTTAGAAGCACCTTGAATGCCCTGGGATTGAATATCCTGGGCACTTCAAATAAACCTATTAACCAAAAAAATCTGCCCGTGTGTTAGTCCTGAAACAGACATGGAAACTGCTACAGCAAATACTATAGAAACTACTCTAAAATACTATATTACTTGAATTATCCAGCCATATTAAAATTAAGTACAGGTAATAGATTACAAAAGTGTTACTCGGCTGTGTGAAGATGTGAAGATGGAAGAAGTAAACTATTTTCATTTTCATGTTAATGCAGAATATTTTGTAACCAAAACAATCACAGAAATGCCATCTATCTCCTTCAATGTCATGAATGCATCAATAGTGTCCAGATGTGACACCAGTACTTACTGTTGGTTCTACATAAATAAATAATTGGTGGCATTGTCACTACTACTTTCACATCACAGCAAGAAAGTCACAGGTTCGACTGCTGGACTGTCTGGGCCTTACTTTGCTTATTCCTTCTCATGCCTGGGTCTTCCCATGAAGACAAAACATGCACAATAGGTAGCTGAAGTAGTCCTGACCAAGCCGTGATCTTTAGCTAGGCTTGGTCAGCTACCTATTGTGCATCTTTCATGCTGATGGACCGCTGAGATGGGTCCTTGCTGCACTGTGGTGCCCTTGCTCTTGAGTCTTGACAGGATACCCAAGTAGGAATGAAGGGTAAAGTAAAGGGAACAGTAGACCTTAACCCTAATTCTAAGCAAGGATCTGAATCCAATTATCAAAACTACCTGACTGAAACCTTTGCTTACTCTATTACTTTATTATTGTCCTATTACAATATATTACTCCTTTGCTGCGTGAGTGGGAGCAGATGATTTGCTACCGAGACTCCAATAAGAAAATAAGAATGGCTGCTACTACAAAGCATGTATTTGTACTGTTTAGCATCTATTTTGACTAAATAACAGGTCCGTGTGTGTCTCCACAGGACAACACTAACCTTTACATGGTGATGGAGTATGTTCCGGGTGGAGAGATGTTCTCCCATTTACGACGAATCGGCAGGTTTAGGTTGGTGTGTTTGTACAACTGTTAAACTACCCAGATCTTTCAAATATATCAGCATTTTCTGGTATGTGGGGATTATTACAGGTTACAGTTAATAATGCACAATACTTGTATAGTGTTTTTGGTGACACTCAAAGATGTTTCATAGTTTAAGACAGAAAAAAAAAAAAAAAAGGGCAGTAGGTAAGACAGAAGGTGCAGTTATTTGACAAAACAGGTGAGTTTTTTGGAGATGAGGGTGAAAGGTCCTGTATTTATTTCTAAAGGGAGGGAAATGGTTAACGCCTAAACTGTTTCTCATGATGATCTACTTCTCAATAGCATCCTCCATATAAAGTAAGATTTGCACTGCACACTTAAAGGTGCTTTGTGTTTTTTTTCTGGTGCAGGGTTTGTCAAATGCTTTTTTTTTGTGGTGGCACTTCCACCACCCATCAGTACATTTCAATCGATTTTCATGTGCACCAACAAGTCAACACTGCTCTGATTCTCTGGGGGGGCTTTAAAATGGTTTTATAGTCCATATTTGACTTATTTGCTGTAAAGATCTGTAGCCCTATACAAAATAATATAACCCGAATAATGACAGCAACTTCCAGAATAAGGTGAATTAAACCTTTCTATCTTCATGGGGATAAAACCAGACAAAGTTACAGGTTAGATCTGTGGAGAGTCAGCCCTGCTCAGTCAGAATGCCTGTATTTCTAGATATTTTGAAGTTATTAAACCACCTGTAATTGAATAAATGTAAAGAAGCGCTGTTTAAAGTCACTGCGGAACATTCCAGGCAGAGCACTGACATCCATAAAAACAAGTAGGTGACGAACCCTCCACCAGAAAGGTTATTTGTTGCTTTTATTCAAAATTTAATTTCTGTTGTTTCTTTTTAGTGAACCTCATGCCCGGTTCTATGCGGCTCAGATCGTTTTGACCTTTGAATATTTGCACGCTTTGGACCTAATATACAGAGACCTGAAACCGGAAAACCTGCTCATTGATCAACAGGGCTACATACAGGTAAAATGAAATGCACCTTTTTATTTCGTCTTTCAGATATGGATGAGTTTGACTGCCAAACCTTGTATTTATATGGTACATTACACAAAAGTTTCTGATTGGATTCCTGTTAACTCAATGTTACACATAGACACCACTGCCCCCTAGTGGACACTAATCTGTGCAAACCGGTTTTTTTTGTCTGTTTATTCATCATAGGTCACAGATTTTGGCTTTGCAAAACGTGTGAAGGGCCGGACATGGACCCTGTGTGGTACTCCTGAGTATTTGGCTCCAGAGATTATTCTGAGCAAGGTGAGTTTAAACATCAAATATTTGTCTTGAAGTGGCAATAATCTAAGGCCAGTATCTCCCCTCTCCTCACAGGGATATAACAAAGCTGTGGACTGGTGGGCACTTGGGGTCTTGGTTTATGAAATGGCTGCTGGATACCCTCCTTTCTTTGCTGACCAGCCCATTCAGATCTATGAAAAGATTGTATCTGGGAAGGTCAGTGTGATGCAAAAGGTGCAAAAATATGAATACATTCTGAGGTTAATTCATGGCTGATATTTGTTTCTAGGTGCGTTTCCCCTCTCATTTTAGTTCAGACCTTAAGGATTTACTGAGGAACCTATTACAGGTAATAAAAACTAAAAATAATCTAAACATTGAACTTTAGGTTGTACCTTTTTTCATTTGTGAAAGAATTTACAAACACGATCTCTTTATTAAGGTGGATCTCACCAAACGCTATGGAAACCTGAAAAATGGGGTTAATGACATTAAAGGACACAAGTGGTTTGCGACCACTGACTGGATCGCCATTTATCAGAAAAAGGTGCCTCTGAAAATTTTACAAATATGATTCTTTTCCGCCATTATTACTAAATTTTAATGCTGAATTATTGTTTAGGTCGAAGCTCCCTTTGTTCCCAAGTTTAAAGGACCTGGTGACACCAGCAACTTTGACGACTATGAAGAGGAGGAGATCCGTGTGTCCTTCACGGAGAAATGTGGCAAGGAGTTTGCCGAGTTCTAGAGTTTGAGGAAAGATGAAAGGAAAGGCAGAGTCCCAGTACAGCAGGCTGGTCAGGTGGAAGACTTGAGGAGAATGCTCTTTCTCCGATCCACGCAGCACCAGCTTCAAACGGACCATTGGTCATAGAGAGGGCAAAGCAGCCAGGACACTGATAACCAGCAGTAATGCCTTTTCTGTTCAGCTTTGGTCGTCAATTTTATTTTTTATTCTGGTTTATTTATGGATCCCTTTATTGTGAAGATTGGATTTGTGGAATTTGGCAAGCTCTCTTATTTAGAGAAACCTCCCCACACTTGCAGCACATTTCAAGATCTTCCATTTCTTCCTCCTGTCTGCATTACATAGAAAAAAAAGCTTGGTTATGACTGGAGAATGGTGTTTAAATTTACACTGGACGATCTCTTTCCATGAGCCACTGCTAGATTTAGCAAACATTGGTCACATTAAATATTTTATTTTTTGTTGAGAAGAAAATATTTGTGCATAATCTTTAAACTGAGGACTAAAGGCAGATATGTTTATCATATCATCTGAGCTGTCACATCATCATAGACATTATGCATAAATGCCATGTTCTAATGCTGTAAGAATAGGATCCAATGATGTTGTGTCCAAGTTGGAAACAGAGTCCACCCTCACACATAGGTCTCTCAGGTCTGATCTGATTTATCAAGATTTAAGTTCAAAAGTAAAGGGAAAAGGAGTTTTTAAAGTGTCAGTTTAAATCACACATGTGGAAGACTCATTTGGTGTGTTCTATTTTTTAACAATTTCTATTCATTTTTATGTTGTATTTGAATTTATTTGTTTGGAGGATAAGCCCCTTGAGATATCTCAGCATCTCGTTTTCAAGGAGGTCCTCATAGGTCCTCATAGTGTATTTGACCACTGACGATCTTACACTCATTCTGCTCAGTTTGATCTTTTGCTCCTTTTCTACTCAGGATTGTTTTATGGCATTATGAAAGCTGAAAACTATGGCTTGTAGAAACTACAAAAAGGGAGTGTGTAATTGAAAGGTCTTGTAACTGAAAAGTGAAGAACTTGATTATTTTGCAGTACTACCAATGCCTAATGGCTTCTTATATCCATGTCCTTATTGTTCAATTATTTTTTAATATATAAAATGCCTTCATTTCAGGAACATCATACTTAATTTTGTTTTTAAATGTGTCTGATGCACCCACCCATAACTATTTGTATTGAATGGGTATAGCGCACATGTTATTGTGAAATAGTGTGTATGTAACATTTGTGACATCAGTTATTTGGGGGACAAACAAAAACATGGGACTGTCAAAGATTGATAAGAAAAGGACACAATTCAACTCAAGACTGTGTTTGTTTATACTTTTTCTCTTTGCTTCTTTCTCAGAGACATTTGTTGCTTGACTTTTGGGCACTTTGAAAGTTGATAACCAAGTGCATTGCTATCATTCTGTTGCATATGGAAATGAAATTTACACATTAACCAAAATATCTTAATAGCTAATGACCATACTATTTTCTTCCACATTTTACACTACTGCTCTCATCTGAGATCACACTGAAATACTGACATGCACATTCTTTGTTTTTTGTCATGTCAAGTGGACTTAAATCATCGCGCAATGTTCTGTGTCTCCATGTTTTTGTGGTGACTGAACTTCCTCTGATTGGAGGCACAAAAATACTGACGCACTTTTTAGGGAACCAGATTGCAGTTTCAGACATGTTAGCCTCCACAACACAACACTACAAAGGGAAGTGTCTGAGGTCCTCATGACTTGAAAACACCAAGTGTAAGATGTGTAAGATTTTGAAACATGAGTGTCATTTCAATAAAGTTCATCTTCTCATCAGTTGTACCACAGTGTCTCTTAATTCTAACAGATATCCAAGATGTGGAAATAAAAATTGGTGGCCTGCACTAAACAGTGACATTCTGCCAAATGACACAGTAGGCCAAATTAAAATCAACCAAAAGGCCTACAGTTAACCGGTGGTTTCCACCTTAAATACAAGTGCGTCTACACGCAAAGGCGCCATGATGTTCGTGCTACCTTAAGCGCACATTGCGTCTCTCAAAGCAGACGTAGGCTCCAGTCCTCATCCTGAGCCGGGGATCGCACGGAGCTTCCCGCTGGTCTAGTGTCACTTCTCAAACAAAAGCGGCTTTAGTGAGAACATCGGCCACAACCATGTCAGGAAAGGGGCCCAACAATTACCAGGAGTGGATCCTGGAGACAATAGACTCGCTTCGCTCGAGAAAAGCCCGTCCGGATTTGGAGAGGATTTGCCGAATGGTCCGGAGACGGCACGGGTCAGATCCAGACCAAACCAGAGCAGAACTGGAGAAACTCATCCAATCACAGACTGTGCTCAAAGTTAGCTACAAAGGATCAATTTCGTATCGGAACGCGGCGAAAGTCTTGAGAAAAAGCAGGAAAAAGAGTGAGTTTGCCGCGTCTATTGATGAGAGTGCCAAACCGGAGCATCTGAACAACAGCGGCGACAGCGCGCAAATTTTCCCTGATCCGGACCAGAGGGAAGCACCCGTCGGCCCCAGTGAATGTGAGATTCCGCTAAATTCAGTTTGCGACAGCGCAGCACCACGTTGTGCCGCTCATTTAGAAGATCGGGGAACAAGTGTGACCAACATAAGCTCCTGCCAGCAGGATGGGTGCAGACAGCCGTCCCGTGTGGGACACACAACATGCACGCACAGCGTCAGCTCAACGCCCTGTGGAGAAGATGACTCTCCTGGTGTAAATTGTCCGAGCAATAAAACTTGCAATCTCCCCTTACAGAGACACACTCTATCCACCAAGCCTAAACTTCGTAGTGCCAACGGTGCACCGAGCGACAGACTTGTGGCCTCTGTCCGCAGTCTGTCTGTGGGTAACGCAGATCACATGAAGGCGCTCGGACTCAAAGACGTGCTGAGCTACCTGCGCTGCCCGGAGCGCCTCTCGTGTGAGGAAACGCTGACTGGAGGCAAAGTCAAAGTGGTCGTAGAGCGAGGGGTGGAGCGAGGCCATCTGCGCTGGACGCGCTGCAGAGACATCACTCTACCTTTGGGTGCAGCACTCGAGCCGAGAGTTGGAGGGAAGGTGAGGTTAATTTACATTTAGGCATGTGTCCATCTTCTTCAAAAGAGTCTGGCTACAGACCTTCATCCAGAGGCCCCTATTACACAGACCTCCACCACGATGTACCTCCACCGTCATGTCCCTCATCATTTCATTAGTTTACTTAATAGTTTTAAGTTATAGTTTGAAATTAAGTGGCTTCTTCTTGAGGTTATTTGGCATTTTAAAACATGTTGTCATACACAAGATATATTTGTCAACATAGACCTACAAGGGCATAAATAGCATAGGCATATTATAGTTTGTCCGTGTATGTGTTGCCGTAGACCTGTGTCTGGTTAAATAGGCACAGATCTGTAATGGTTAAGGTTAGGGAAAGGGGTATGGGCTAATATTAATGTAAAACCATGTCAACGTTACGTGGAAAGCAGCAACCAAGAAACTGGATTTTGGCGTTTTTTTGTTTGTTTGTTTGTTTTGTTTTTGTTTTTTTTTTGTTTTTTTGCCACGGCTGATGCTTCTTTACTTTTAGGGACCTGTAGATGGAAATAAGTCACTTGGGTTTAGAGCCGAAGCGAGAGCGTCTTAGGAGCGGCTCTCGCGCACTCACATGCTCCCTTTCAAGCGCGCGCATAAGAGAGGAAAACACGACCAAGTCTTTCTGGGCTTGGTTTTTGCCACAGTGCCCACAAAATTTTAATTCATATCATTACAGCACAGGTGATTGTTGTTGTTCCTAAAACGTCCTTAAAATGTTTGCGTTTTTATATGGCCTTATTTGATAGCGCTGGCTGCTTAAATCTTTTGAATTTGAAAAGGTGTCTTGGAAACATGTTTTACTTTATTTTGAACCAACACTGAATTACTGCCCCTGTTACACCAGAAGAATGACCCTGCACAAAGTACCAGTGAGGACGAGAGATGGTTGGATCCTCAGGAGGTGCAAATGGAGGAGGACATTTCACAAAGTTGTGGAGAGTGTTCAAGATCTCCCGTAGCCATGACAATGAAAACAGAGGCTGAGGATGCAGAGGTCCTGACCGCATCACTAAAGCACTTAACCAAAGGTCAGTATCCATTACTGTTGGGTTTAGAAGTTATGAAAACAACTGTGTAATATATTTCACAATCCCAAAGCTGTTTAAATAGCCAAACATGACATTATTGTGTTGTTATTATATTATATTTTGTATTGCTATTTGTGATAGCATTTAGGCTATATAAAATTTCACCCATATCTCATTCTTCTTCTCTCTGTTTTCTCATGTGGCTTTTAGGCAGGCCTTTTTCAGATTGTGGGACATCTTACCTCCTTACACCTATCGCCTCCCCCACAGACTCAGGCTTGGATGAACCAGGATTCTTCAGTATGGAGTGAGTATTTTACATTCTTAATCCAAAGCAAGGGGCCCATTTAGGTTTAAACCTTAATTATTTACCAGGATACATCAAATTTATTGTTGCGGTTGCTTGTGGTTGATGCTTGTGTGGTGCTCATTCACACAGGTTTAACTTACAAACCCTGCATATTTAGGCTGAGTTCTGCTCTCAAACAGAAAACACTCTGTTTTTATACTACATACACCTTCACTAGAATCATTTGGATAATTTCAGACCTAGACTTTAATCTCCACTGAATAAAAGTTAAAAGGTAATCCGTGGTGTTTACAAAATTTCTATTAAATACTGTGTCATAGGTCCCTGAGCCCCATGGACTGGAGTGTGTCTGATGTGGTGAGTTATTTCTCAGCAGCAGGGTTTCCAGAGCAGGCTGCTGCATTTAGGACACAGGTGAGAACCACTCCTCTTTAGATCCACAAGAGGGCAGCACGCACAATTTAATTTTACTTCACAGTACACACTCAATGCTCTTTTTCATTTAGGAAATAGATGGGAAATCCCTACTCCTCATGCAGCGCAGTGATGTTTTGACTGGCCTCTCGATCAAACTGGGTCCAGCTCTCAAGATTTACGAGCACCATGTTAAAGCTCTACAGAAAATACACTTTGAGGAGGAGGAGCTCTGAAGCACACAGGTCCTCCATTAACTCTGGACGAAATTATAACTGATCCAGTAAATGTGACTTCAAATATAATTCATAAAGACTTTTTTTAAACAAACCTTTCCCATTGAAATACAAGATCCTACACTGCATTGTTTATTGTTGTTGTTTTTTTATGTCATCATTGCCCTGTCCAATAGAGACTGGACCACTTTTGATTTCCTATGCGACTAAACTAGCTCAAAATCTTGACAATCTTGACTAACCATTACATTTAAACAACTAGCCTTTTTTTAAATCATAATTTAGCTACTACATGCTCAAAGGCATTAAGATTTAAATACATGTAATATGTATTAACTTTAATCAATCAAGTTTAGTCAATCAATCATAACATCACCAGCATTTTGGACCTTAAGCCTTACATTACATGGCCTAATCAACTTGACTATATTTTGGGGTGGCCACATCTTGTTCCTTATTCTGCATATAGTGATTCAGATTGATTTGAGGTTTTATACCAGATGCCCAAACTGTATAACTGTTTTCTTGTAGCTGAACAGTTGGTTCATATTGAAGTAAAATATTCCTTTGTGTCAACATTTTTCTAAACTCTTTTCTACCTCTTTCTCCATATTCATGTTAATTCACTGTATCTATTCTTAAAATTACATGTTTTTTCTATAATTTTGTTTTATACACATGGTTTGTGCAAGAAGGAATATGCCTAAACTTCTAATGTCGATATAATGATAAATTAATAAATCAATCACAATAATAGTTTTCCTATTGCAAGTACAGTTATTATCACTTGGAATCATCATTCTACACCATCTGACCTATCTGCTACTGATCTTGGGGTAACACTTCATAGTAAATACATTTTTAATCAGCCTTATTAAATGTTCATTTATCATGAAATGATGATAAATGATTAAAAGATGTAACATGATCAAATACTTTATTCATAATGAACAAATGAAATGATTAAGGCGTGGTTCGGTGTGACAGTGGCTCAGTGGTTAGAGCAGTAGTCTCACAACCTAAAGGTTGGTGGATTGATTACTTAGGCAAGACATGCCACCCACCTTGCGTAGTATAAAAGTGGTGTGTGCTATCACAGAGTATGTGTGAATGAATAATGACTACAGTGTAGTGCTTTGAGAGATTTAATAAGCCTGTAAAGTGCATTACAAGTGAAAGGCATTAATATAATAATTATTATTGGAGTTAGGATTAGGAGTTAAAGTTACAGTGAATTAATAAGGAATTAATAATATTTCCTAAGACTGAATCATTCTTAATAAACAATTTGTTCATTATGGATTAAGTCTATGTTTATGCTTTAATAAAGCAAATTAAAGTGTAGTTATTCATGTTTCCAGCATCTGCTCTCTACAATGTTGTAATTAAATGGTTTAGCTGTACTAATGTCCCTTTAACTGTAGAGAGGCAACACTGGTGTGTGTTTAAAAAAAGATCTGATGTGGATGAGACAGTTGGTCATATTCAGACCTCTGATAAACAGCCACAAACATGGAGTGCCGCGGAGAGAAAATCTAAAACTTCTTCTGCAGGATATTTCCATAACTCGTGTTCCTTCAGATTTAGGTGAAATACCTTAAAAACAAGTTGTACATCAAAAATAACAGAGACAGGAAACAGACAGCATGCCAGGACCTGGAGGACCAGAGTGAGTACAATAACAGTTTGCATGCATAGTTTGGAAATAATCAAGATTTAGCTTTCAATTTAAGCTATTTAATGGTTAGAAGAGTTGCATGTTGCTATGTGGTTGCCAAGTGCCAAGTCTAAATTGGGCTCAGAGTCACATGAAGAAATGAGAGCTTCACAAGTGCGTCTCACTCTCACTGTGTTTGTGTTGAAGCTCAAAGGGAGAAGACTACTCCACAGCCATTCTCAAGCAAAAACACAGGCCCAACAGGCTCATAGTGGACGAAGCTATCAATGAAGACAGCAGTATTGTCTGCCTCTCACAGGTCTGTGTCCACATATGAAAGTTTACATACAATAAAACATCACACAAGTGGATAATTTAAAAAGAAATTTAACTGGATTGACCTTATCAAAACAAAACCACAAAGTAAGTAATGATAAGTAATAAAGCAATAAATAAATCAACAGTTTTGGTATTACAGTATAAGATTGCCAATTAACAATATTGCTTATGAACATAAATTTAAACAAACTTTATTGATTCACAAAGGAAATTATTTGGACACAGTAGCTCACATCTCACAATATATTATAATAACAAAGAGCAAAAATATAAAAGGTAATAGGTAATTAAATATAATCAGCAAAATGCATATGTAATAAAAGAAAACATAACATAATAATAATAAATAAACATAATTAAGTGTTGGTTAATTTTTAAAGGTTTCAATAATAACTTATAACCTTTTTTAATGTTTGACTATTTGCGCTTTAGTGACTGTTCAAGGACATTCAAGACAGCAAATCATTTGTTTATGTTGGTTAGAAGTACACAGTTGCACTGGGGCAGTTTGAGAAACTGCCGGGATGAAAATCAGCACCTCAAAGTCAAAGGCCATGCTTCTCATTCAGAAAAAAGGTTTTGTTCAGCTCAGTCATACTGATGAAACTCGGAGTAGAGCCTCTACTCCCCCTCCACTCACAATATCATGATTAGTTAGAAGCCACAAAATGATAGGATTAAAAAAACTAATATATGCCCACTTAAACTTAACATCTGAGACAGAGCTTGACTTTACTAGAATAAGACAGAAGAGCTGCAGTTCTTTCGAGGTGACACAGTGGTGCTGAGAGGCAGGAAGCGTCGGCAGACGGTGTGTATTGTGCTCACTGACGCCACCTGTGGAGATGACCGGATCCGCATCAATCGCGTAACTAGGAGCAATCTGCGCGTCCGCCTTGGTGATGTCATCAGGTACAAGGTCCCATTCATAAAACAAGAAAATGCATGAAAATAATGTGTTACTTTAATGCATATGCTGCAGTATAAATGCTTGTCCGGACATCAAGTATGGCAAAAAGGTCCATGTACTCCCCATCGATGACACAGTAGAGGGTCTGACTGGAAACCTGTTTGAGGTCTTCTTGAAACCCTACTTTCTGGAGGCTTACCGGCCTGTGCACAAAGGTATTCTAATCATTTCACATTATGAAAGGGACAGTATGTCTGTGCCATACGCTAGGGGTGAAGCTTGCCAATGGCACAGTATGGCTGCCGCATGTGAGTCAGTCTGCCATAGCGCATTTGTGATTGTGTAGCAAATGATTTAAACTACAGTAATGTGTACAATAAGGGCTGTATAAATAACATGGTATTGATCTAAATATGTGTGTGGCTGTGTGTCGTCAGGTGACATCTTCTTGGTGCGTGGAAGCATGCGCGCTGTGGAGTTCAAAGTGGTGGAGACAGATCCCAGCCCACACTGTATTGTTGCCCCAGATACAGTCCTTTACTGTGATGGCGAGCCAATTAAAAGAGAGGTGTATAATAATTACACTACAAAAGGCACATTTGTTTTTTCTTCTGTAATTATGTTCAGACCACCTTTGAATTGAACTGAACTTTCTTCAACATTGAGTTAGTGTCAATCAAATCCACTAACCTATATTTTTGGTCTGTCTACCCGAAGTCAGTGGAATAGAACAGGACCTGAGTGTGTCTCAAGTTTAAAATGTAAAAAGCATGAAAAATTGGACAAGGAAAATATTTGAACAAGTTTAACATGGGTTTAGTAAGTTATAGAGAGAAACCTAGATCAGACCATCTCAATCTGTGGCCATTGCAAGATGTGAGATGCCTGTAATAATCACAGTACATACAAAACATTAAATCAAAGGAACAATGTGTGAGAAAAGAAATGGATTAAATTATGGAAGTTAATTTTAAGTCTTTGGATTTTCCAAAAAAATCACAAATCTGCTCATAATTGTAATGTTTGTTGTTTTCGAGGATGAGGAAGAAAATCTCAACGATGTGGGCTATGACGACATTGGGGGCTGTAGGAAACAACTTGCACAGATCAAGGAGATGGTGGAGCTTCCTTTAAGGCACCCTGGACTCTTCAAGGCCATTGGGGTTAAGGTGCAGTTGATTCATCATTATAATAAAACTCATATGACAAGTTTTCATGTTTTTCTAACTATTACTTGGTTTGGTGGTAGTATCTTTTTAAAAGATTATATAGTTCTATATCAGTTAAGTGGCAATTTGTGGAGAAAAGTTGAGAAAAAATATACAAAAATACATGAAGTAGTGGTGAGTACTAAAACAGAATACCTATCCATGTAATGAACCTGAAAAATTCAATCCAAATTGTGTCAATTTACACACAAAGAGGGCATTTTTAGACAGTTTAAACTTTTATTCAACCAGTTAGAGGTGATGTAATTTATTTTTGTGCAATTTAGACATGTTTTGGCTCTCAGGGGTGGTCCTATTCACAGACAGGGGAGTAAATCAGTGTAGGATCACCACTGTGTGCACTGCTTAACATTTCTAGTGGAGGGTCCGCCACCTGCTTGTCTCCATGGAAATGTTATTGCTTTGTCTAGAATGTTCCACTGTATAGATTAAACCTATCTATCACAAGAGAGACAAGCAGGTTACAGCACTGCGCTACATTACATTTCAACAATTCAGATCTGTGGAGAGTCACCCCTTTTCACAGAAGGAATTATTGTATTTTTGGGCAATAGAAGCACCCGTAATGAATAAATGGTAGATGGTAGATGGTAGGTAGCACACCCTCCACCAAAGCTGCGCAGTGCACCTTTAAATGTCCTGTTGTAGACAAGTTTGTGTTTTTCCTAATATTTACTGTCCCCTCTGCACACAGCCTCCCAGGGGTATTCTGCTCTATGGACCAGCAGGCACAGGGAAAACCCTAGTGGCCCGCGCTGTGGCCAATGAAACGGGAGCTTTCTTTTTCCTTATCAATGGTGAGACACTGGTATTCCCAAAGCTTTAAGTAGAGCTAAAATGGTGTAGCTGAATTTGGCAATGTTATCATTTATTTTGTAGGACCTGAGATCATGAGTAAGCTAGCAGGAGAGTCAGAAAGCAACCTCCGAAAAGCATTTGAAGAAGCAGAAAACAATGCTCCCGCCATTATTTTTATTGATGAGTTGGACGCAATTGCTCCCAAAAGAGAAAAGGTGAATATAAGTTGTTTGCCACCTTTGATATATTATAAGGGTCTTAATATAGCTCATTCACTGCATCTATTCATGGGTTGCAGAATGATGTTGCCATAGCAATTAACACTTTATAACCAAACATTATATCTTTTGAATGAGAAAATGGGTCCTCAAAATGTTGCTTATAGGCCTACAAGCGCAATTGAATTGTCTGTATTTTTATCACACATTTTATATTAGAAAAAGAAAAGCAGAGTAAAAACAATATGGTTGACACAGTATTTTACTTTCTAAAAACTACAAACTAATTATTAGTAGATTTATCTAATTCTTAAGTGCGTCAGAAATATAGACATAGTCCTAAGTCTTCCTCCTGTTCTCATATTTTGTGTGTAGACCCATGGGGAAGTGGAAAGGCGGATTGTGTCCCAGCTCCTGACCCTGATGGATGGCCTAAAGCAGCGGGCTCATGTGGTCGTCATGGCAGCCACTAACCGCCCAAACAGCATTGACCCTGCCCTGAGGAGATTTGGTGATGACACTTTCAAACCACATGGACTGCCAAATAACAGGACATGTATTGACAAAGACACTGGTTTACAGGCAGATTTGACAGAGAAATTGACATCGGGATCCCAGACTCCACTGGCAGGCTGGAGATCCTACAAATCCACACCAAAAATATGAAACTGGCAGAAGATGTTGATCTGGAGAGGGTAAGTCTGTACATTCATTAATAATATTAACATTTTAATTGTTTTTAGTTTCTGTCTCAAAATTTTTATTCAGTTAATTGTGCACATTACAAAAAATAAAGTGAATTGCACATTTATGCAAGAATAATAGGCATTTTAAATGTATACCTATTCAGACTGCAAAAAGACAGGGAAAATATTTCCTCTGCAGAGGAGCAGTTAATTACCAAAATAAGTGCACTCTTACAATCTGAAGATTGCAGCCATTCAAATTGAAATTTCACTGATTCCATTGTACCTAATGTTGTGTGTTGTGCTTTGCCATATTCTTTTGAGAGTAACCAGGAGACCACTGAAATAATTTTTGACTATTTTAATAATTGTTAATCATATTCTGGATCATAAACAGATTATAACACATACCATTTTCTTGAAAGCGGCACTGTCATTAAATCCAAACAAGATCAAATTGTGTTTAAAATATTATCCATCAACAAGCATCTGTTTAAACTGGTTCATTTGAATAAAACAATAAATACAAATCTCCAAGTTACTTTTACTGCTGATTAAACAACTTCTTAAAAAACTGTTAGTTCTATATAGTTATTTTTCCACTATTTCTGTGTGGCAGGTGGCTACAGAGACCCACGGCCATGTGGGTGCTGATTTGGCAGCTTTGTGCTCAGAGGCTGCTCTACAGGCCATCCGCAAGAAGATGACCCTCATTGACCTGGAAGATGAAACCATTGATGCAGATTTGCTCAACTCTCTAGCGGTCACCATGGACGATTTTCAAGTAAACTCTTTTTATGTATATGTACTTTTTTGATCCTTCTCATGTATCAGACTATTAAAACTAGATGAATATGTGTAATGCTCCTGTCTAGTGGGCCCTGAGTCAGAGCAACCCATCCGCCCTGAGAGAGACTGTAGCTGAGGTACCACAGGTCAGCTGGGATGATATTGGGGGGCTGGAGGAGGTCAAGACTGAACTACAGGAGCTTGTTCAGGTACAAATAAACTTCAACAGGTGTGGAACACCACAAGGTTTTTAAAGGCTCCGCCTCAGCACAATTAAAATTTTCACCATGATGCGAATCGCTTTTGTCATATATCATATATTGGCACTCTCACTGTAAGAGGGTCCTGGGTGTGGGGCACAGTCGCTCAGGTCTAACCGTCCATCCTCCATCTGATCTATATTATTTTACTGCACAACTTGTGTGTGCATAATGACAAACAAAACACTTTATCTCATGAATAACTAACAGGAGAAGTTGGTGAAGAATAAATCATTTTAGCTTAACCTAGAGCTACAGTAAACAGACACAACTGATAGAATAATCTCTCCAAGTTGACTAATTATGAAAACAGCACATGACCATCCATTTTATATTGTCATATTACCCACCCAATAACGTATTTTTGCCATCTCTTCCCTAAGTATCCAGTGGAGTACCCAGATAAGTTCCTGAAGTTTGGGATGACCCCATCACGAGGAGTGTTGTTTTATGGACCTCCAGGCTGTGGAAAAACTTTGTTGGCAAAAGCCATCGCCAATGAGTGTCAGGCCAACTTTGTTTCCATCAAAGGCCCTGAGATGCTCACCATGTGGTTTGGTGAATCCGAGGCCAACGTCAGAGATGTCTTTGATAAGGTGTGTAGGGCCGTCAGACTGAGGGGGTTAAGGGTGCTCATTTACTTAGGGGCTCACTGCACAAAGGGGCCGGGGCATTCACATAGAGAATATGCAGTTTCTGAATACATTTCTTGGTTATTTATTTTTTCAGGCACGACAAGCAGCTCCTTGCATCCTATTTTTTGATGAGTTGGACTCTATTGCCAAATCTAGAGGAGGCGGGGCAGGTGATGCAGGTGGGGCAGCAGACAGAGTTATCAACCAGATCCTCACTGAGATGGACGGCATGTCTGACAAAAAGAATGTCTTCATCATTGGTGCCACTAATAGGTTTGTATTTTCATATCCAATCAATATAAAAAAGTAATAGTGAAAAGAAAAGTGAAAGTTTAACTAATTTGGTGTTTCCTCTCACAAGACCTGACATTATAGACTCAGCCATTCTGAGACCAGGGCGTCTGGACCAGCTCATTTACATCCCGCTGCCAGACAAACCTTCGCGCATGGCCATCCTTCGGGCAAACCTTAGGAAATCTCCAGTGGCTCGAGTTAGTATTCTGAACCTCTGACCTCCTTAGAGGTCTTTTGTTAAACACTGTATAACATGTTTCCTTTTCAAGGATGTGGATCTAGAATACATGGCTGGCATCACAGATGGATTTTCAGGTGCAGATCTAACGGAAATCTGCCAGCGAGCGTGTAAACTGGCCATACGTGAGGCTATAGAGGCAGAGATCAAAGCTGAACGCCAGAGGCAGAGCAGACCAGGCATTCCCATGGTGAGTTTTTAATAGGTTTTAATATTCTTATCGACAGCACTCCACTCCTCTGCTCTACCAGGCTGACCAGTGTCTGGGACGGGGTGAGACAGTGGGACAGTAACAGTTCCCAAAAGGGCGGCTGTGTGTTTTGCAACTTTCAGCCTTTGGACTGGGAACACACATATGCATTCTATTTTTATAAATCAATTAAACATATTCTAACGCAGGATGAGGACTATGACCCAGTGCCAGAGATCAGAAGAGATCACTTTGAGGAAGCTATGAGATTTGCACGCCGTTCTGTCAGTGATAATGACATTCGAAAGTATGAGATGTTTGCTCAAACACTCCAGCAAAGCAGAGGATTTGGAAGTTTTAGGTAGGCCTACTTAAAATTTCATAATTCATACTAAAGATCAATAAATGCTCTATTCAGACCACATCAAACTTTCTTTTCATAGGTTTCCAGAAAGTACAGGTACGCGAAATCAAGGAACTTCAGGACCTGGCCCAGCAAGGCCAGGTCTATACAGAGAGGAAGGAGATGATGATCTCTATCAGTAGAGAAACTGCTGTGTAACAGTAATGAAAGGAGATATAACACATAACACATTTGAAACTTTTGAACTTATTGTGTTTATAGGCCTATTTCATTAGCTAAGCTTCAGATGGAGGAACAGTCCAAATCTTTCATGCAATCAGTAATCTAACTTGGTTAGTAATTAAACTGGGCCTCACACAGCCTGTAGGTTTTGTTGAAATTTCTTTCAAAAAAAGAGACCTTTATCAAATAGTAAATAATATAGTAGGCCTATTTATTAGTCTATTTCACACAGCTCATGACTTGTTTCACTTTGCAGCTTTGCATTAATTGAGTCAATAAATATAAAACTAAACAGCCTACCTCTCTGGTGCAGCTTCTTTTTAGGCAACACTTATGCTCCGTAGTTTTTTTTTTTTTTTTTTTTTTTAACAAATTACAAAAATAAATAAATAAATTAAAAACAAACAAACAAAAAACTTTATTTATCATGTACAAAGAAAGTGCGACAGTGGAAGTGCGCTTTTTGCGACGTACCGTCAAGCTGTTGATTTCCGGTGGGAGACGGAAGTCGGACTACGTTGTTTGTGGAGGTGACCGAATGGCAATTTGTGAAATAATTTAGGAAATATATTATTCAGTTATTATTTTAGATATTTATTTTAGTGGGCATCCTAAAGGCAACGTTGCAGTCATGGGTGCGCACTTAGGTCGACGCTATATCACCGAGACGGACACAGAGCCAGATCCTGCCAAGAAATACGAGTTTGACCCGATGTATGGTTTTCCCGAGAGAAAAGAAAGAGGTTTGTGTTGCATTCTTAACGCTACGAGAGAAATAAATGAAATGCAGAGAGTGCAATTGAAAGCATTTATTTGTTACATTTAAGATCTCTGTACAAGACACTAGTGGTAAGGTAGCTAATGAAGTAGCCAAAATATTGTTTACCCTTCATCAAACACATATACAGTATTTGTCATGAATGCCTGTCCAATACCCCATTAAAACTCCTGTGACAAACGCATGAAAATGACTATATCGTTAATTGTTTTTCTTCATTTAAGTTCAAACTGTTATCTACTTTCTGCAGAGATGATCGCGACGCAGGAGCAGATGAACCTGGCCCAGCTGCCTCTGGAGCAGCGGGACTACTGCGCCCACTACCTCCTGAAACTCATGAAGTGCAAAAGAGACAACTGGCCGAACTTCCTGGCCTGCAAACATGAGAGACACGACTGGGACTACTGTGAACATCAAGAGTAAGCACTGTCATTAGATCATTTTAATTTATGATTTTCTTCCTTTTACTTCTCTCAACTTTATGCTCTGCCCATAGTTATGTGATGCGTATGAAGGAGTATGAGAGAGAAAGGAGGCTCCAACTGAGGAAGAAGAGAATAGAGGCTCAAGCTGAAGCTGCATAATTATAACTGTATCTGTTCTCTGTAAATACACACAATAAATCATATTGTTTAAGGTGTTAATTGTATGTTCTGTTAAAATATATTCAGACTCAAATGAAATTGGTGACAAACATGATTTTGTTTTACTTTTATTAATAATAAATTACATCAAAAATTGACAAAATTAAAAGGTAGATTGTTGTAAACAGACTGAACATTTTGAGCAGTTAAGAAACAGCAAAAGCAAAGACAGTATTTGTATTTTGTTGCCTGCACTATTTTATGCATAAAACGAAAAAAAAAGGGATTAATTTCTTAGTTTTTTTTTGCATTGAACAGAAAATATTTGCACATTAAATGATTAGCAAGCAAAATGGGCTAGAGACCAGTCTGAATTTTTCGAGTGCAAATGAAAAAAAAAAAGTGAAACCAAGATTGGGCTGAATATTACAAGCTTGAAGACAAAACAAGAAGCTCTGAAGTCTTCTACAGAACAAAGGGCAGGATGGGCGAGCGGAGAGGGGGGTAGTCTCGAAACTCCTTCAGGTAGCTCCTGTGCTTCCCTTTGGCCCACACAGTCATCTGGATGAAGCCCACCAAAGTGAAGAACGCCACCGGCAAGCACTGTGTCATCAGTGTGAAGCCTAACCAAGAGCCCAGCTGCAAACGGGCAGGCATATACTATGTTATACCACCAGATGGCAACAACAGGACTACCAAAGAGTAAATTTATGTTTTTACCTCATAAGTGTAGTTAGGGCATGAAACCAAGAGAAATATCCAGGTGAATGGATTTTTAGTGGGGTAGGGAATCTTTCTGGTCTTTGAGCCTGAGACAATTGAAGACAGTAGAATAAATATTAAATTTAAATGGGCATAGGCAAGTTAATTAAATATAATGCAAATAACTTCCAAATATGTTAAATAAGATTTGTCATCCCTACTAAGGGGAGAATAATTTACAGTTGTCCAAACTGTTGGATGTCCTAATTGCACATACCCACTGGAGACTACATGTATGTACATTTATACTTTATTAATGCTCTTGTCTAGTGTTAAGATATCTATGATTTATGTGGCCATACCGGCTTGTCAAAGCCTGATCCCGTCAGATCTCAGAAGCTAAGCAAGGCCGGGCCTGGTTATTACTTGTATGGGAGACCACTGGGAAAATCAGGTACCACAGGGGGGCGCAAGTTGTAAAAAAAAAAACTAAAAAAAAAACTGTTGTTGTGTCCTTAGGCAAGACACTTCACCCTCATTGCCTAGTATGAAAGTGGTGTGTGTGAGTGTGTAAGAGACGGTGGTGGTCAGAGGGGCCAATGGCACAAATTGGCAGCCTCACTTCTGTCAGTTTGCCCCAGGGCAGCTGTTGCTACAGTAGTAGCTTACCACCAGTGGGTATGGAGTAAATGAATAATCCTCTGTAAAGCGTCTTTGAGTGTCCAAAAAAGCGCTATATAAAACTGATGCATTATTATTATGACTATCACATAACATAAATGTAATGTGGATGTAGTTTGAAAAGTCTTTTCCCGTGTACCACCACTAAGGAACTAAAAACTATGTTGTGTTGCCAATATTTGTGGGGTACATGTAACGAATAAATGCTTTGTTTCATGTAGATAGATTTTGTGCATACCTGGTGGACGAAGGTTCCTCAGAGCAATATGGATGGAGAAGTTGCCAATCTGACAGAACTAGAGAATAATAATTATTAATTATGATGGTCATTACTGATTCAAGATTTAAGGCTAAATCATCTTTTTATTCTTACCAGGAAGACAATGAGGGCCAGTCTTATTTGCTGCTCCCCATAGACTGGAAGAAAAATAAGACAGTTATAAAAGTTGACATAATTTAATGTAGCTGAATTAAATAGAATGCAATTTACTCACTGGGTGGTGTGTACAATGGGTGATTGATGTAGTAGGCCATCCATGCTGCAAAGCCCCAATAATATGTACAGTTCTTTAAAAAAAAAAAAAAAAAAAAAAAGGGGTGGGGGGGGGTGTTAACAATGTACAATATACAGCGATGCTTTAGATTTTTTTTATGTCTTACTTTAAAAATGTTGCGCAACGGCATGGTTCCATGAGAAAAGCGGTGGACAAATAGGGTTTCAAGCAGTCTTTTGACATAGTGGAAAGAGTGACACATACAAGCCAGGCTAGGAGCAACAGAGACATTAGACATCCTAAGGATGCTTTGTTAAACTGGATTATATTATAAAAACATGTACTCTGGAGTAAAATGTTAATAGTTTTTGTTGTGAAAGATAAAATATAAAAGGTCGGATTAAAGGTGAAACAACCTGCTTAATAGAAACACTTACTGTACAACCCAGTGTTTACTGGTGGTGAAGTCATATTTGGGTGCATAAATAAATGGGACTCTGAAGTAGAACATGAGATAAATGACCAGTGGACCAGTGTATTCTGTCAGGAAGACCTGAAATCACAAGACACAAACAGCTGAAAATGTGGAAAAAACAAAAAAAAAAAAGTTTAACATAGGTAGATATTCAAGTTTAAATTTTCTAATTTGCAAGATACCAGATATATTATGAATAATACTTTAAATGTGCATTACCTTAGACTTTATGCTAAAACAACTGTTCTTCTACCATTTTATCAGACACACAAATCTGATATCTTATTATAGCAATCCCATCCGGTGTAGAGCTACAACTGATATCATAATAACCCTGGCTACACAAACCCTCTGAATATAGCTATACTTGATCCCACTGCACTCTGATGTATTCGGGCTTGTGTTTGAGAGCACAATGTTCCTGTGTGACTCACTGTGACCCAGCTGATCTGAGCCCCCAGGTCTCTAAAGTAGAACGTGGCTGTTGTTCCCACAGGCAGATGCTGTAGGACGTCCTCATCCTTCAGAGACTTCCCCTCTAAGAAACAGCACAGTTTAGACACATTATAGCAAGCTAACATTTAACAGCATTACGCAGTAGTTGTGCAATTAGATGGCAAAAAGTAAATTCTTTTTTTTTTTTTTTCACTTTTAAAAAAGGTCTTGGTGGTCTAAACAACACAAATGTTTTCCAGTGTATTCTAATGGGTTTGGGATTTTAAGATATTGGTATAAAATACAAATGAAACCAGTTGTGTTGTGTACCAGTCCAGGTTGGAGCATTACGATACGACCAATATTTTTTTTTTTAATTATGTTTTTGCCACTTTTTGTGTCTATTTACAGTATAAAAGTATGCCATTCTTTTGCACTCACTGGGGTCAAGGCGAATTGACTGTCTGGCAGGATAAAACTGAGGATCTGGAACAGAAAAGAGAAACAACTTATAACAATAAAGATTATAACCGAATGAAACTTGTGAGGGTTGTAATGTGCACTCACGACTCTTGTGGAACATAGACTTGATCTCCCCTATAGTGGCATTTGGCTCCACCTACAAACACCAGCACAACAAATAAAGTAAACACACAATACACAAGGCAACAAATCACCTTTACACTTCCATTTGCAACAGTGATTAGAGGTAAATTTAGCTCAAGCTACTCGTGCCACAGACGATGGGCATTTAACAGCTGGTCACACCGTATCTGTATGCCAACAAGAATCAACAACAGAAGTGATATTGCATTGTAAATATATATATATATATATATATATATATATATATAGGTCACAATTTATTTTCCTCATAATAATAAACAATACAGACACCTAATAATAACAAATGTAGCATGTGGTTTGGAGTAGAGTTCAGGATTTAGAGGAAGAAATTTGACTTGGATTTGCAGTAGACCTATCAAATTCAAAAGATACAAGCATATCATTCACATTAGAGATGACTGAATCGCAATCTCAGTGTTCATTTCAGTAAACAGATTGTTTGTAAGAACTATTTCAGTGATACAAGGGTAACAGTTATCTTTAAATGCTTATTTTGTTGTATTATTTATTCATTCTGAGGGAAAATCAGATGAGACATTACACTAAATTAGACTATTCTAAATAGGAGAGTTTTGAAATATACATGTAAAATTAGCCTACACAAGAGCCACATTTGCCTTTCAAATAAAAAGGTATTTATAAGTATTACAAGTATATAAACATGTAAACATTTTAATGTGTGCTTATGATGTAACGTCAGTGATTTGAAAGCACTGAAAACAGTTCTCAGAATAACTGACTGCATAATTTACTTTAATTAGCAAGCTATCCGACACATTCAGTGTCTGGATTTTTGATTGAGTTTCCAAAGGGTGTGAGTCTGGTGACTGTGCTGCTACGTGACATAGCTACTGTGCGTGTGTGTCCTATGTAAGACTTAAGGCCATAAGCAATGAAATGACCTCACTGAGTGACCCCTCACTGACCCCCGCTGTACACCCTGCTTCTTTTAAAGCTGACATGAGTCTGCAATATTACAGAAAGTTTAACTCTAACACAGCTCTGTGGCCTTAATAAAAAGATTACTTAAGAGTCAAATTAATAGCTGCTAAACCTGGAGAAGGGGTTAAATTGCAGATGCTTGTTATCACCATGAAAACTTAAACTTAAAAGGATGCATAGGATATGGCTGCTCCATGGGGCAGTCTTTTATTATCAGCCTGATAGAGTAATCCAGTGTAAACACCAAGGACACACAAGACCAATACTATAAACCTCCCAAAGCCAGAATATTAAGCAGAGGTATAAACACTAAACCTGCAAACTATAAAAGGCTTAGATGTCATATTTTAATGTGGATAAGAATAGACTTGATATCAACACCCAAGCTTTGGCCTGCACTACAGCGGACTGCTACAAAATTACTGTTGCATAATGTACATTTTGATTTAATTCAGAAAGCAAATAAATGTGAAAAATATGTATATGAAATGTAGATGAGCTAATAATAGAAAAAAACGGCTTGTAGGTGCTGTTTTCCTATCAGTTTTTGTTAACAGTTTTCTATAGGGCTCTGAATGAAGTGTGAATATTTAAAATATAACATTTTCTTACCTTATCCAGGAAGCAGAGCTTATCCTTAGTCTTGGCATCAAGAATCTCCACCTCAAAGAAAACAACAGCCTTTTTAGTTTTTTTGGCAGGTTTGCGTTTGACGGGTGTGACTGGTGTTAGGGGCGCCACAGACGCCCCATTAGGTAACTTTTTCCCGCTAGCTTCGAGTGCTAGAGCATCCATATCCTCAGTCCTCCCCTGCCCCTCTTAGGCCCTTCTTGTCCTCACTTTTCCCTTGGTTCAATCGTCACTGTCCACCTCTCAGATGTCTGCTACAGAGCCACGTTTTAGGAGAGGGTGTGCACTCAGCTGTGGACATAAATCTGCCGGCCCTCCCTCCTACTATCCGTCAATCTCTCTCTCACTCTCTCTCCCTCCCTCACTCATTCCACCACACTGCTTTATTTAACTCCAGCCCACCCCTGGAGTGCAGACATATGCCACATGTGTGCACAGTCTACAGGAATGCCCCAAGCCTTCATGTCCAACTGTCTACAGCTCATCATTTGCATTTCACCCATTAGGGACATTGGGAGGGCATGTTTTTAACTCCACCCTGTTGGTTTTGAAAACTGACTCCTCGCTAAAGAACTCCTGACAACATGTGACATCTCGTTCATGGCTAAGAGGGAAGAGGCATATATTATGACAACAATCCTGTCTTTGCCTCTTCAACTAATTATCAACTACTGCAAACTTTACATTAAACTATCACCACAAACAGACCTGTGTGTGTCAGGTACAGATTTTACACCACTTGAAAAACAGGCTTAGAATTTGGAAGACCTATACAAGGGTTGAGTTCAGGGTTGATATTACACTGAGGGCTTATGTGGGGCATTTCCCTTGGTGGTACCCTCTCAGTTAATGACTGGCCAAGAGGGGTACAGTTTCCACAGTGAATGAAAGACATGTGGTCACAAGTGGTAAGATGAGAGGGGGTGGTAGTAATAGGACTTAATACATTTAAGGCAATGGAAAACCTTCATGTATTAACAATAATGTAAAAATTTATTTTAAAAATGTTTCATTTTGATTGTACTGTTGTTTTAAACATAAAAAATAGTGCTATTAATATGTTAGTCAGCTTTTCCTTTATTCACTGGTTAGGTACCATACAGTAACATTTGACCCTTCTTATTATAGCAAATAATGCTGTGTGGGTGCCCTGTGCCAGGCAGGCATACTGGCCATGTTTACCTCCCCTGTGGCTCTATAAAAAGAGTGAATCTGGCAGTGCCTTTCTGTATCCCAGTCTCTCCGTGCACTTAGAGGGAGAGGGACCTGATCAAATGCAGATTCATTTTGGGTATGTCAGTCATCTGTGTTTTAGCAGGTGAGCAGAATTACTATTTTTTTAATAAAAATGTATAGTAATATGCTAAGGTTACTGTTAATAATGGTTTGTGCAGTCTTTGCCAAATCGTTCTTTTAATGTTTGTCACAGTGCAGTCAATGCAAAATAAATATTTCATTATGCTTCTGTGGCTGTGATTATATGCACACTCCTAATCTGAAAATCTTCTTGAGTTATAAAAGTATTAAGATTTACATACAAACAGCAAAATCATGTAAATTCTTTCTGGTCACAGCCCCTCTGATAACCCACATCAGATTTTGTGGTTAGCATGTCATTTAAATATTAAATGTACAGAAATCAGATAATAATCAGATTTTGATGTGCATGTTGGATTGACACTAACATCTACATAGACACTGATGGCATTTTGTTTTTTTTTGTCTTGACAGATACCAAAGCTGCAGGTTTGATGGGTTCAAATCCTGTCTGGTGGCTTTCAAAACTTTCAGTAAAAAGCACACGACCGCATTTAACACCAGAATTCAAAATAATTGAAATTCAAACTAAACCGATACACTGTGTTTATCTCAAAGAAAGATAGGCTACTGATGAGCTCTGGTGAGTGCACTCATTTACACCATCCATAAATATTGCACTGTTCACCTCGTTGACCGGGTAAAATCTAGATAAACCATGAGGCAATGAGAGATTGCCATTGTCCTACTCATCGGTGTCGTTCACAATTTCTAATAATTCGCGAGCAAGGAGATCACAATGGGTAGACAATATGATCATAGACAATCATCTATAACCACTTTCGTAACATGAATAATGTTGAATAAACAATGTCCAATACTATTAGGACGTTGCAAAATACGGTCATAACCTCGGCTACAGCAAACAGCAAGGCGCTCATGACAGGCGGCGCTGCTGCAGACCCACGTCCAGTCTTCATTCTGGCTACCTGGACCCATCATTTCGCCATTACAAATGTACATGTTTGTGAATATTCAAACAGTGGTTCCCATATTGCGTCTCATTGATGGTTTAGAGTTTCACGGATATTACTTACCTCGTAGTGCTTCATCTTGACGGACGCGAGTCTCTTCCTTAATAGGATATTGAGAGACGGGGCAGCTTCCAATCACCGGGGTAGTATCCAAGCGCCATATCCGTAATAGGCGGGGCAACGCGGGCATTGTGCCAATCAGCATAAAGAATACAAGGACATCCTGCTTACAAGATAACGAATGCAGCCAATGGCATCATGGGATAAAGAGACACGGTGTAAACGTTATAGGATTTATATGAACGTGCGCCGGCGCCCACTGACTGTATCCCATGGATAAACATAGTTGTGTGCTGTATCCTGATAGTCCAATGGTTCTGCCATAATTAAGACCAGACTGACTGATTCTGGGGCAAGGGAGAAATAACAGTGGTTCTCAAATTGGGGTCTCATGGAACCTTGTTATGGCTAGAGTCAGATGGTTGATTTGTGGATACTTCTGGATATGTGTGGATGCTTGTAAGTTATACAGACACAGCCCAGGTTCTCTCATGAGTCAGTAAGTCACTAAAAGAAATTTGGGCTACAAATGTGTGAGGTTAATTTGAAAAGACAGCAGGTTTGGGATGCTGTGTTTTCACCCCTCAGGCCTGTCAACAAATTTTAAGGGAGCCTGAGACACAAAAGGGGGCCCACGCAGCCCCCTTTTATAGAAGTATGAAAAGAGTCCAATTATGGGCTCCTAAGACCATGGTCCTGGGGCAATAGACCTCTCTGCCCCCCTTATAAATTGCCCTGTCCATCATCATCATTGAGCAAGAACAAAAGGTAAAGCTTTACCTAAACTAAGCATGAATTACTATGGGGGATACACGCGAAAATATAAATTTCCCAATTTGAGAAGAGACAGAGCTTATTCACTCTAGTTACACTGGAGGGCTATAGGGCTAATGGGCTACATTGGGATGAAAACATTCATAGATTAACATTAGTTGGGGGTTTCATTAAGGTTCAAATATACTGTAATTTGGCCTGGTGGCGTCATCAGCTTTTGGTAAATGGTGGTCACATTTTTATATAGCAATAACATCTCCATAATGTCAAACAAGTGGCAGATTCACCATCAGAAAAGTTATATAGTGCACCTTTAATTTAAGGACTACAAGGCCATTGTAAGATATTCTGCTTTTGTGAAATATACTGAGTCAACGGCAGAATCAACAGACACACAAATTTCTAATTAAACAATAAACTCATCTGAAAATGTGTTAATGCTACACAACACATGGATGACATAAAAACATAGCCTTTTTAGGCCAATTTTGGAAAATACACAGGACACGTAAGTCGTCTGTAAGAGTTAACTGAAGACACACCTAGAACAAACTGGTTTTGTCTGCACATGCCTATACTTGATGAAGGATTTTTAAAGTCCAAGAATGTATAGTGCATTTGTGTAAAATGCATTGGTCAAATACCATAACTTTGGGTTGGGTCAAGACAACCTGCCAAAGCTGTAACTGTGCACTTTGCACTGAAGGTCAAGCAACAGAAAAGTTTATCAGCAACACTGTGCACACCCTAGTACAGAAAGAAGGCATGGGAATATTTTGCACATGTAGCACGTAGATGTGTCATTTATATAAGAAAAAAATAATAAATCTCATGATAGTGGAACATTTTTGATATATTGTTGTGGCATATTCATGTATTTATTTAGGCGATTAAATATATATATATATATATATATATATATATATATATATATATATATATATATATATATATATATATATATATATATATATATATATATATATATATATATATATGTTCCATTACAGGACGGGCTCTAGAGAACATGATTTCCTAAACATGAAATGCCTATTCATTCTATACACATGAGAAGGACCTGATTTGTTAATTTCAGGTCAGATCAGATGTTGGAGAAAGCGTCCAAAACTGAAACAGCCCGAGGGTCCTCGAAGGCTGTGCGTCAGCTGTGCGTCCTGACGCAGCGCGGGGCGTGGAGCTGTCAGATTGTTCTGGCTTATTTGAGAACAGTCTGGAAGTTTCCACACTGTTTATAAAGAAAAGGATCACGCTGTAGCCGACACAGAGAGACTAGACACAAGATTAACATCTCTACGTTTGTCATCAGACATAGACCAACTAAGTACGATTTAAAGGCGTTCGAAGTCACTATGGGTAAAGACTACTACGACATTTTGGGGATTAAGAAGGGGGCATCAGAAGACGAGATAAAGAAAGCATACCGCAAGCAAGCGCTTAAATACCACCCAGACAAAAACAAGTCACCAGGAGCAGAAGAAAAATTCAAAGAAATAGCCGAAGCTTATGATGTTTTGAGCGACCCTAAGAAAAAGGACATCTACGACCGTTTTGGTGAAGAAGGTAAGGACCGTCTTACTCTGACTATTACTATAAAAGTTAAAACAAAGTTATCTGACAGTAAGATAAATGCAGTAGCTCTGTGGTGCTCGTGTAATGGCGCCTAGTTTGCCCTTCATTCAGGATCAGAGTCAGGACTTTGCCAGCTACATTTTTTATTCTTATCTAAACCACAGATGCCATCTAAACATGCTGATCTCGAAAGATGTTGAAAAAGTAACGTCACTTCACCTGCACGTTAACTGGACACGTTTTTTACCAAGCTAGCTGCGACTCTTTTGACAGCACGAAGGGGGATTAGACCCTCTGTGCCCACATTTGGGATGGTTTAACGATGGCGTCATTTCATTCATTTTGGTCTGTGAACATATTCAAAGATTACTTGACTGCACGTGAGTTTTTAAAATTAGTTTCAGCTGTTCTAACAGTAAATAACTGTGTCTGAACTTGACTAATGTCTCAGCATGGTGCTGATGCGTTGCCACAGAAACATAGACTCCTCATTAACATCTGGTGGTTCTGGGCAATGGCTCCAGATCACATTACAACATTCATCATAATAGAAATGGGGACAGCTATAATTCATATTTTTAAAATGCATTTTTGTTGTAATACAGGAAGTTAATGGATCTAGTCATTAATAGAAATGGGCAGGTTCAACATTTGTGAATGTACCTTGCAGATATTTCATTACAATGTAACTTTTTGAAAAACTGAAGTTTACAGATCCCCCAAAATGACAACAATTATTCAAAATGTAGGGTTGGACATCTTCCATCTATCAGAACAGATACTCACATAGGGCTTTTTATTAACACATATAGCCTTGCTCAGTGTTTTTCCTATTATTCCCATGTGAAAGTATTGTCACATACAAGAAGCTGAAAACAGCCAATAGATACATGGGCAAAACTGAAAGCCTAAACCTTAAAATGAGAAAGTAGCACAGTTTGCACATTGGTGTTACATTCTGCTGTCTGGGCAGTGCACTTTATGAGTGTGATTTGCAGTGGGTAGTTATAGCTACAGAAATCATGAACTAGTCAAGGAAACTTTTTTTTTTTTTTAAACTTAATTTGAAATTTTTCTTAAAAACATAAATATGGCTATTAGTATTGATTTCAGACTTTTAGACAGTGGAATGTAAAACACAAAAAATCCAGTTTATTGCTCTAAAGTTTAAACACTATAGCACGGCCCTATTAGGCTTCATTGTTAAAATAATAACCTGGAGCATAGACATACACAACTGTGAGCCTTTTTTGTTGCTGATAAAATATACATTTTTGTATTTTGTGCTTTTAGGTCTAAAGGGCGGTGGACCCACAGGTGGCAGTGGAGGCCCAGGCACCTTCAGCTATACTTTCCAGGGAGATCCTCATGCAATCTTTGCAGAGTTCTTCGGTGGACGTAACCCCTTTGAACAGTTCTTTGGTGCTCGCAATGGTGGCATGGATGAGGAAATGGACACTGATGACCCATTCGGCCGGTTTGGGATGGGAGGCATGGGAGGTGGGGGAATGGGGGGATTCCCTCGCTCCTTCAGCAGTGGCATGGGCGGTATGGGTGGCCATACTAGTGTTGTGAAGAAACATCAGGACCCTGCTGTGGTACATGACCTACAGGTCACTCTAGAGGAAGTGTTGTCCGGTTGTACAAAGAAAATGAAAATCACACGAAAAAGACTAAATCCTGATGGCCGAACAGTGAGGAGGGAGGACAAAATTCTGGAGGTACAGATCAAGAAAGGATGGAAAGAGGGCACCAAAATCACATTTCCCAAAGAAGGAGATGAGACTCCGACCAACATTCCTGCAGACATAGTGTTTGTGTTAAAGGACAAGCCTCACCGCCAGTTCAAACGGGACGGCTCGGACATTATCTACACAGCCAAAGTCTCACTCCGAGATGTAAGTGCAGTTTCAAAACATATGTTTTTTTTCACTCTGTGATTAGAAGCATGTGTCTGATTTTTTAATTTTTTTGTGTTCAGGCTCTTTGCGGTTGCACAGTCAGTGCCCCCACGCTTGATGGCAGAACAATCCCAGTATCAAACACTGACATTGTTCATCCTGGGATGAAGCGGCGCATTAACGGTGAGGGCCTGCCTTATCCCAAACGGCCGGAGCGCCGAGGAGACCTGATTGTGGAGTATGAGGTGAAGTTTCCTGAAAGGCTCAGTCAGGGCGCCCGGGACACCATTGCACAGGTGTTACCCCGCTCTTAAACGGGACAGATGGGACTCCGTTTACACTAAGCTGCCAGCAGTTTGTGGCACACTTCAATCAATGAGAGACTTTGTCAGGCATTCAGTGCTCATGTATATACGACCAATACTGTTCTGTATAAAGAATAAAATCATATTTTTTTCAGAATGTGGTTATAGCAAAATGGACACTTGTACACTTAAGTTAAAGTGGATACATAAAAGAGAGTGTTATATTTTTGGTTTAAAGAGTTTTGTATTAAAAAGTTATAATGTTAAAGACACTTTTCATTTTGTCTTCCTAAGAGCACATTAGTTTGTTTATAGTCATTTATTTTTTTACTTAAATTTATTTGCCAAATTTTTCACACTGGCGTAAATATACTTGCTTACCAATGAGATATTTTCACTTCATACATCTTCATACATTTATTTCATTCATTAATGTGGGTGCGCAGTTTATAGATTTTTACAACAACAGTGAAGTAGTGACCTTGAAATCTGGCTTGATTTATTCAAGTAGTAACTTGAGGCTGGTTTTGCAGTCGCTTTATAAACATACCCGTGACAAAGTCAGCAGACTGAGCTGGATGCCCTGCAGCCTGCTGGACTATAAATGTGCTGTATGCTAAAGACACCGAGGGGCTGTATGCTGCAGCTCAGTCATGAGCTGGATCTCTGCATCTCTACTTGTAAAGAGTTCAACCTGAGCACAACTAGATCAATTTTCTGATAATTTTTTTTTCAATACAAGCTTTTACCACAACCACAACATGAAAACTCACTTTTTATGGCTCAAAATCAGATGACAGAGTCAAGTCAGACAACAACTTTTTCCCACACTGCTGGAGTTCAGTCTGTTGCTTTTGCACATTTATTTGACGAAAATGAGGATTTTTCTGATTGTTGCAAGTTTCTTCATCTCAGGTGAGTGTTATTTGAAATGTTAGAGCACTTTATACAGTTTTAAACAGTTTAAAGATTGTACGTGGAGAATACTTTGACAGAGTAGAAGTGTCTCATCAGAGCAGCTATTACTATTTAAAAGTTTAAATGTAACTATCAGAAAGTTAAAAATAAAAAATGGACTCTGTGTGTCCAGACTTGTGTATTTTGTATTTCATATTGTCAGTGCATTTTGGCTAGTTTTTGGACAAACAGACAATGGAATGTGCAGAATATTGAGCTTACTGATCAGACAAGCAAGATCACAGATAAAAGTCATTATATAATTGGGCATATTAAAATATTAGAATAAATAATTATAATTTTGATTGGGAATTATAAATACAACTATGATATATACTATTACTATTATAAGAGTATAGTCAATGCATAATGTACTTCTGTTTTATGTATTTTCTATTTTTCAGTTTTATTAGAAGCCATCACAACATTCTAGACTTATTGTCAATTGTATGTGGAAATTCAAGTTCAGGACAAATAGCCTACAAATAATCATATCAAACTTTTTTGAATATTTCTTAAGATAATGTCCTGATTTGCATGCATCACATATGATTGTTGATTGATGTTATTATTAGTGCAGTTTTTGTGTGAGGCTGACAAAAAAGAAAAAGAAATGTACCACACATTAACAATGATCTTACAGCATACTCTTATTCATTTAGTTTTGGAGGCCACTCATGTACAACAGGTCAGTGGCCATACTGGAGACGAGCTTTCCATCCACTGCTTTAGTCACTGGACCTCCAATGGCAGCAACAGTCAATACACCATGATTTTCTGCAAGGGACCATGCTCCAATGAAAACCTCCTTGTCAAAAAAAATGAGTCTGGCATCATACAGAGAGGAAGATACAAAATGGAGAACAGCACTGCTCTATTCAGTGTGACCATAAGGAGGCTGAACAGGACAGATGCTGGGAGATACTTCTGTGAACTGCAGCTAAATGACTCTGTGCTCTATCAGGAGGTGCTAGTCACAGTTTTAGAGGGTAAGTGTTTTTATAATAATTCACTTAAAATAATGCCCTTAACAGTCAATGAGTTTAGAATTGTACAGTGAAAAAAAAAAGTTGCCTCAAATCAGTTTTAAAGGTTCTATGTTACGCTAAATTGACTCTGGTGAGCCTTAAGCCATGTTAGAATGTTGTTACCTCATCAAAAATATACCTGGAATTGTGTTTTGTTCCACACACATTTCAGTAACCCTTTATTATTAGTCTGTCTGCATCTCCAAACCTCAAAATGCTCCGTTCCACCTTGTGTTGTCATGACTTGATAGTTTTTAAGTGAACAGTTACAGCTACATTTCACCTTTTGTTCAGTAGAGATTACAGGCAATTCCAGACCTGAAATTATCCAAATGATTCCGGTGAAGGTGTATGGAAGTTAAAAACACGGTGGAGCACTTCCTGTACTACCACATCGGGACAAGGGGGAACAGAGTGTTTTCTTTTTAAGAGAAGAACTCAGCCTAAATATGCAGGGTTTTTGTGTTAAATGTGTGAAAAAAAATAAAATAAAATCTGAGTATGTTTTTGACAAGGAAACATTATGACACTGATCAGAAGATAGTGTAATATGGGCCTTCTAAATACTATTACAACAAAATAAAATTGCTGTTAGTGCTTTGCCTGGAATGTTCTGCAGAATGCCATTATATTTATCTTTTTCCATGAAGAGAAGTGAGTGATGCCTCCTGGCTGAGTTACATGTCAGATCTGTGCAGAGGCAAACCCACTGACAGTAAAAATGCATGAATTTCAAATTATTTTTTAAGCAGTAACAACACACTATTAATGCAATACAGATTTATTTGATACCCTACTGTGCAACATTTAAAGCAAAGCAATACAATTTCCATGGGGACAAGCAACTTACACAATTCACCATTAAGTTAATACAACCTATAACCAACAATCAAAACTACTTATAATTCGTCAATATATCACTGTAATAGTTATAACAACCTCTCATGTTACTTTCAAAGGCACCCCTGCTCCTTTTGTGTCAGTCCCAAATGATATCACTGTACAGACTGCAACACTGTCCTGGGACTACCTCTCATCCAGTACTGTGCCCCCTGTTTCCACATCAGGAGGGTCAGACAAAAAGCCAACCTCCAGCCTGACAGGTAATTGTGTGAGCTTTTACTATTCCTGAATGAAATAGTTTATTGTAGATTAAAGGAGACATATTAAAAGCCAACTTATTATAGTGGTTTTCCCTCAAAGTTGTATTTTGATTGCTTCTTTGCATGTTTGAGTAATACTATATTGTCCCATTTTCACCTATCCCCTATTTCAGCCCTCTCTGGATTTACTTCTGTTAAAAATGCTATAAAAATTTAGAGTCGTGCTATCTAGCCTAGGGTTAAAAATGGTCCACTATGAAGAGGTGGGGGTGGGACCTCTTAGTTCTGCAGTTTTGAACAGGAAGTCAGTGGTCCATCTCTTTTTTGTTGGATCAAAATGTAAAATAATAATTTATATGTGTGATATTTATAGGTTCCAGAAAATGTAATGTCTCTTTAAATCAATCATTTTGGTTTAGTACAAAATAAATTGTACATGTACATTTCTGGGACCTTGTTGTGCCTTGTTAGACACCACAGTCGTCATCATTGTATCTGTGAGTCTGGCGCTGCTCGTCTGTGCTATCATTCCGCTGATATTCTACAGACATTGGCGCAGTTCTGGAGGTAATGTGACATATACACAATCACACACAACAGAAAGTGATTTATGCTGTTGGCTTGTTTCTTTCAGAAGAGCAGACTGTGAGTACTGGAGGTAACAAGCCAGGGGTGAGTTATCTGTACTTTGTAGTTTAGAACAAAATCATCAACAGTTATTTATTATCTCTAAAATTATGCTTTGTAGTAGCAGAAAAAGCAGAAGTAGTAGAAGGAGATTAATGAGTTGGAGCATAGTATAAATCCTTTGTGTAGGCAAGTAATATTTCCACAAGTCTGTTTTTGTTACGTTGCAGTTAATTTAAAAGTAATCATTCATACACTCCACACTGTGGTAAGCGACTGTATCCACAGCTGCCCTGGGGTAGACTGACATTTTCCTTTCACCACAGAAATCTCTATTTGTAAGAAGAAGAAGAAAAAAAAGAAAAGTTTTAAATTGTGTTTTTGGTTTGATAGTGGCCCTATTTGAATGTTCTATTCTAACCAGCTTCAAAACAATCTAAAAATCTTCCAGAAAAATAATATGTTATTTTTCAGAATTATGATTATACTTTATAAATACATTATTTATTTTGCAGTTATAATTTAATGTATAATCACGTAATTAAATACATACCTTGATGACCCACATTTGCCATAATACATGTTACAGCTGTAGATCAGTAAGGAGTCAAGTGATTCATCATTGTAAAATGTCAAAGCTCTCTGATTATGTCTGTGCACAGGTGGGGCATAGGGATGAACACATAGATGTCCCATTGGCGCAGACTGCAGTGGCCCTTCAGACTGACCCAGACCTTGAGGCTCCAGACGCCGCTCAGTATGCCTCGGTCTACCAGGCCCTGGACCCGCAATCTCTGGACTGAACCAGCGTTTGAGAAACACGGTGCCATTGGGTTATTTTATATTGATGTAACTTTTGTGTTTTGGATATCTTCAAAGTACTGCAGTTGTCCATCCATAATTCATTAATATTTAATACTATATTTGTAGTTCTTTCTACCAGTGGGATGAGTCGAAATATTAACTGAAGCTGATATTTAAAAATTGTGTACTTGTTCCTTGTTGCCCACTTTAACAAAAAATAAATAAATAAATGTAACTGCAAAATCTGTTTATTGTGAAGTATTAGGCCTAACTGTAAGGATACGTAGGAAGAAACTTGAAGAATGTTATGCAAGTACTGTAGCTTGCTTTATTGAGAATATACATGTTTTGTCCACAAGAGGACGCCCAAATTCTTCATTGTTTTTATATACCCGTGTGAAACTCATCGTTACATCGTAAGTTTGTGTTTTTACCGTCTTACTTAACGCGTGGTGACGTCAGAAATACCAACCAAAACCAGACAACTTAGTTTAGTGTAACATTAAATATAAAGGTAGGTAGTTTTAGTTTTGTTTTTTTAATGAAAAACAATTAAAAAGCATTCGTCTTTACTGTGAGCATGTTTGCTTCTCCTTGCTTTAGAGAAGGGCCTCCACCTCTTGCTTGAATCCATTAAAATGTTTCTTCTTCAATATTATAATTAAACATCGTTTTTTTCAATCGCTTTGGCACAGTTCTCTATAGAAATTTGGCATTTGCAAAACAAGTCACACTAAATCCTAAACAATATTTTGGTTTTCCAAAACAAAATTTTATCTCTGTAATTTAATAAACTGTGTAAGAACTATGTGAACTGATGAACTCTTCAAAATGATGTGTGCCTCTGTTCAGATACATGTTTGAATCAAATGATCAAATTTATTGAAAAAAATTATAGCTATAAATGAACATGGGCGCCATTAATATTAATATATCTCTATCTATCTATCTATCTATCTATCTATCTATATAAAAGCCTAAACCTGGTTTCATTATTTTTTCATTACTGAGATAATTATTCTTTTGTTTGATTTAATATTTACTTAAAATGCATGATTTTTGGTAATTCTTTATGGTTAACATGATTATTTGTTTAAAAATAATGATTGATCTATTTACATTTTTCTTTCAGTTAATTATTGCTAATGTAATGTTAATCATAAGTTTACTTAAGTAATGATTATTTTTTGTATTATTTTGTGGTCTATGACTCCTTATTTGAAGTGAGTGCAGGTGCACCATGGGAGTGGAGTGGGGCCAAACAGTTTTTTGACTGTGACTCTTGTCACCTATCTGTTAAAGTTCCCCTTTTTCTATGTATTGTATGTCCTCAATTATGTGAATACTCAGTAAAGAGTTTTTAACTTGGATCGCTCTCTGAGGATTCTTTCACTTTGAGACATTTTTAAAGGTGGAATAAAATGTGCAAAGTGTCAACTATGGCTTCACAAATGTTTGGACCTTACACATATACAGACCAATATTTAAATATTTTTCATGAGAAATTTACTGAACATAAAGTTGTATCACAGGTTAATGCTTTGGGGAACACCCAGGCCTGACACATCACACATCAAAATAACCTTTGTTTCAAGTACAGGAAGAGAGCAAGCACAGAGCAGGCTGAATTCTTTGCATGCATTCATATTGTTAGATCATATCTGTGATGTTGCTGACAAAATGAAGATATTTTCAATTATTGCTGCAGCATATTGTTTTCTTTTGGGTAAGTCTGGTTGGATTCATTAAATTAAATGTTTTCAATGACATGCATATGTGTCAATTAGCAAGTACAGTAGATGTATTTGATCACTTAAAACTAATTAATGACTTTTGTCACTCAAGGTTTTAATATTTGCATAGGCACATTTTTCTTTGTTCAAAGCGTACAAACTATGTTTTTTTTAATATATAATTTAGCAGTGAATGGAACAAGCATAAGCGCCAAAGGATCAGAAGGTGGTACAGTCTCATTTCGGAGTTTCCATAAGTTTGCCCAGGACAACCTGAAGTACTTTTGCATAGATCCATGTACGTCTGAAAAACATGTACTAGCCAAGGTAACACCAAGAAGATCCATAGTATCTGACAGGATCACCCTGTTGGACCATGGAGACGGGTCCTTCACAGTGACCCTGTCCAATCTGAGGAGGTCTGACAGTGGGAAGTACTGGTGCGGTGTGGACCGCTTTGTGGATACATTTACTCCAGTGTATCTGCAGGTTACTGAAGGTAAGTGCAAGTTACATATTTCATATCCAAATCCAAATACTGCTTTAAAAATACTCACGATATTTAATTAGTAAAGTTACCATTAACAAGAGTGAGGTCATGTAAAAAGATTTACACAGAATGGTTTGTGGCATACTTTATATACTGAAAAATACTTTATATAAATAATAGTTTCAGTGTTGTGTGTTACCTGTATTTGTTTTGTTGTTTTATAGGTATGTCATATAACGCTACCACAAGTATTGAAACTACTGCAATAACTGAAGTTGCAAGCACTTTTGGATTCATCATTAACTCAACAGAAGAGACATTTCAGGCAAACTGCAGTATGAACTATTCACAAGGCAATCAGAAACCTAATATAAAAATACCAACGATACGACAGTTTAAAATAGTAATTTTGTTTTATCGTTGATAGGCCACAAAACGGAAGAGACAACCACAACAAGAACTCTTCAACAAGAAAAAGAGAAACTCTCACGTATGTTGCCTTAATTTAAAGAGGGTACAAAATTATACACCAGTTTTAAATTTGATTTTATTGTAACCTCAAATAAGGAACAAATACTACTGAAGGTGAAGGTTACTGTGAAGTACTGTACTAATGTGAAGGTTTAGTTCTGGGTTAGTTAGTTTCAGTTTTCATTTGGTGAATGCAGCCTTTGTCAATTGTCTTACAGGTTTCGTACTGTACTTGATCATGGGAGCAGTTGCCGTGCTTACAGTTACCATAATTGGGGCGTTGTGCTTCAGGAAGTTAAGACCTCAAGTGAAAGTGTGCTCTGTTTTTATGCACCCTATCAGCTCTGATTTGAACCAGGTCGGTCTGTACCACATTAACATAAACTTTAAATTTCTTTTCTAAAGGACTAAAAGGACAAAAAACTGATATAAAACATATTCCAGTAACAAAATAGATTATCCAAAAATAATATCACTGATGCTTAAAGGGGTCATATATATGCTGTTTTCTGATCTGATATAATGCCATTTGTATTTTGATTCATTCACACATTTTTAACACACCAACACTGTATATTTAGGCTGAGTTCTTCTCTCAAACTGAAAACACTCCACCTTGTGATGTCCTGTGGTAATACATACAATTTCATCAGACTCAATTGGATAATTTCAGCCATGGAACTGCCAATCTCTGTTGTAGCTGTTAATTTGAAGACTACCACTACATGACATCACAAGGTGGAACAGAGCATTCTGAGCTTCAGAGATGTTCAGCCTGACAATCCAGGATTACTCAAACATGTGTGAATTAAACAAAACACAACTCTGGGTATGTTTTTGAGAAGGTAACAACATTATAACATGCCTTAAAGCTCACAAGAATCCCATGTTTGGAAATATATCATCTGATCTTTCCATTGTAAGATATGACATTGCTTAACAAAAAGGAAATGAAAGTAAAAACATCAAATCTCACAGTTTAATATGTAAACTTTCAATGTCCAACAGGTTCACAATGACAACAGGACTGATGCAGGCAACACTAAACATGAGCCAGCAAACCAGCCCATCTATGAAAACATAAACCCCTCCAAACCAATGAGAAACACAACAATATCTCGCCATGATCATTTTCCATCGTATGTCCAGCCATTACCAGCTCTACCAGAAAAAGACTCTGTTCAAATATGTGGAGCTAATACAGAAACATGTGCTACATCTAAACAGTCATCACTTTGGTTTGGGTTGATTTCTCCAGAAACATGATATTTGTTAATATATATGTGTATATATATATATATATATATATATATATATATATATATATATATATATATATATATATATATATATATATATATATATATATATATATATATATATGACCATATGAACCCAAAACACTCAAAATAAAACTTCCTACTTCTGCAAAAAAAAAAAAAAAAAAAAAGAACTGTTACACATATTAATTTCCTTTTATGTATGGCTTGCATATTGACATTGAATACATTTATTAACTATCAGTATTTTTATAGTATTTTATGTTAATTGAAAGTAAATATTTTAAGTACATTAACTTAAAAACTTAAAAAAAAAAAAATTCATCAACTTCAAAAATATGGAATATACATTTATATATTAATTGAACATTTCATTTTCTTACTGAGTGAAAGAAAATCTATGTCTGCACTGCCCAAGATAAAGTGAGTAGAAGTGAATGTACCCATCTGCATGTGACTTCTTACAGTATATTAGTGCAGTATACGCACTGCTTACAGAAGATAATGATCTGTATTGTAACAAATGTTCATTAACTGTTGATATCCAATTAATAAAATAAAAATGATATCTGTCTGTATTTATATGGCGTTCGTGAGAAATAGCCTACATAAATGTCAGTGACTTGAACTTTCAAGTCCTTGCTGTTTGTTTGTGAAAGAGGAAGAGATTTGCCACATATAACACCTGCCAAAAGTGCACTCTCAGGTAGTCCGTCTGTTCAAGTCACAAAAGGAGCGATGGAACCTATTAGAATGGCTATTTTAATGCTAATACTCCAAAAACAAGGTAAATCTGCATGCTCACTATTACAGTTTTATAACCATGACAGTCTTTTTTCTGTTCTCTCACTATTTCTATACAATTTTTTTCTACAGTTAACTAGTACATGCACCAACAGAAGGCTGTAGTTAGTGCAGACATTTCTAGACACTGTGGGGACCCTAAACAGGACGAGGTCTGGGGGCCTTCCCCTAATGCAGCTGTTGATTACATGAAATATTGGTCATTTATGTTTTGAACATTTATATTTAAAAGGAGACACTTACTCGAAACTTAGGAACATTTATCTTATGGGACCCTTTCTTGTGTTTTTGGGCCCAAGGCAATTGCCTGGTTGGCCTGCTTGTTGATGGCTCTTTCCCATTAGGTTACCTTTGCTGAATTAGTCAGTAATTAACATCAATTATGTGGTTCCCCATCTAAGAAAGACCATTGACTGGACATGAATTTTATAGATTTTTTTTCTTCCACAGTTGAATTTATAATAAGCGCCAAACCCACACTTGTGGTCTTGAAGGAAGGTGACAATGTGGACTTCACCTGTAGATATTCTGCTGTGGCTCAGAACAACTCCAAGTTCTTTTGCCAGGCCAAGCCGGTGTGCAGGTCCTACCTGACTGGCATAACCCCACCTGAGCGCTGGAGGACAAATGGACGATTCGCCCTCTATGATAACATCACTGCTAATCAGTTTGTGGTGCATATGGAGAGCCTGGAACCCGAGGACAGTGGCACTTACTGGTGTGTTGCCAAAATGACAAACAACCTTGACTTAATTACAGTGTTTCAACTCAACGTTAAAGAAACTAGTGAGTGCCAGTTATACTATGAGATTCTCGTAACTTTGCTTTCTCTTTTGATGGAAACAGTCCTGAATAAATGTCATTTAAGGTTTCAGTTCTTCTTCCTTACAGCATCTGGAAGAACTGTAAAAACTCTGACACATCACAGTAAGTAAATCAATGTTTTGCCAGTCTATGATGGTATTGTGGGTATTCCACTGATTGTTTGACTAAATTTTCAGTTGGCAAATTGAGATGAAGAATAAAATTATTATTATTATTATTATTATTATTACTTTTATTTACTTTTTTATATATAAACAGGTGATATTGATTCTTAGTGTTTTCTCATGACATCATAATTGAGTTGTAATTTGTGTAGGACAGGTGTTCTATTTACAGATCAGGAAATACAAATGTGCCAATGTAAAAGAATAGGCCTCTCAGACCTACATAATAGACTTTTAGATAAATATGCGTTAATGAGTTTTTTTGCTTTTGCTGAGTTGCTTTTACATTCTTGAGTATAGTCTACCTAGTGTGCAGTGAGTTGGCCTATAGGCAAAAGTAGCTAAAATGAAGCACTAATTATTAGGGATGCAATGATATGGTTTTCCCATGATTGGATACGTACCGTACATGTATAGACTGGTAGGGGAGCTACACTATCAGACTTTTCCTTCTTTGATGATGATTTGATGGTTTATTTTCCTCCTGAGTCCTTTCACTGCACACGCCTCTGTTGGTGCTGCTCTGCCCCCCCCAGCAGAGGCAGACAGTAGCTCCTGCCACACTGCCCTGCTACAGCCTGTAACACGCAGAGCTCACACATCCTCTTTCTGGACACTCAAACTACAGTATGTTATATTACATGTGTCTCAACAGACTGTTTTCTGAGGAAAACTTATAACTTATGAGACAGAGTCTAAGAAAAAGATTGCATTTATCACGAGTTGCGTCAGCAATTCTAAAGTATTTAAAAGTTAATATCTTTGTCATTCCTGGATCTATCAACTTAAAATATAAAAGTGACTGAAAGATAAAATCCTCCCCTGTAAGAATATTTCAGCTGTAACTCCCTATGGAGCTGTGATAACTGTTTTCCTTTTGGACCAAAATAAATGATAACACAGCATGCACGGAGGGACACGTGCATATCAACACATGTATCGAATCGTGAGACCAGTATCGAACAATTCAATATTCAATTCAATATTATGTTGAATATTGTTGCACCCCTACTAATTATAATGTTGTGTCTTTCAGGTCCTGATTTGGCCTCACACCCCAGCATCATTGTGGGCAGTGAGTGATGATGTCCATATTTGGAGAATATGTCCACATTTGTACAAGAAAAAAAACAAATAAGCCTGTAATCTGTTTTGCAGAGCGTAACCTGCCCATGTTTGTGACAGTGGTGTCGTGTATCTCCGCGCTGGTCGTTGTCTCTGTGTTCACACTCTGCCTCGTTTTCACAGTCAGAAAGAGAAGACGTGCTCAACGGAGTGCCAGGGCACGGGAGGTCAGCATACTAATTCAATTTATGATCAGATTTTAAGTATTCAGATTCTCTAAACTGGCAGCAGTGTCAGTAAAACGAGGTAGTATAAAGCACATTAATTGTTGTGTGATCTACTGTCAAGGTTTTCAGCTTGTGGTTTTTGACCTGAAAGTGGGTCACATAGAGGTTGAATGCCCACGTAGTATATTTTAGACATTTTGCTTAAGATAGTGGTGGAGTGTTATAGGTCACTGAACTATAACCTATGCCAAAAATAGTGATCTGATTCTGTTAAAATGGGTGAATTCTGAACATCATCTTTCCTTACCACACAGATGTCAGCGGACTATGAGATTATGAATTCTGGAGTTTTGTCTGAGCCCTGCAACTGCCCAGACTGTGAGACATCTTCAAGCAGCCCACAAAATCCATCACTAGGGGGCAGTCGCTGCACCAACCAGAGGCGGTCCAAACAGACTGAGTCCATGGTGCTGGAGCCTCTCACACAAGAGAAGGTCCCAGAACGCATCAGCCAGTACCAGGGACTGGATTTGAGTGCAGTGGAGGACCATGTCTATTATGGCATCAACTCCAAACCAGTGCAGTTGTGAGAGACTCACAAGAAAAGGACAATGCACTCAATGCTGGGATGAGCACCAGTTTCACTCATCCATACAGTTCAAGTAGCAAAACTGTCATTTGAATGGTGAAAAGGTCTACAAATGACGTCCATAACAGGAAAATATCATGTGACTGAAACTTATGAAAATTAATATTATCCATGACATGTTTCCACCTGCTTGTCTCTAGGAAGATATTGTTTTGCTTGGAATGTGCCACTTTGTGACAGGATTTCACTGATTCAGATACTGATATCAAATATTGGTACTGACACTGAAAATTTTGCTGGATCGGGTATCCGTTCCATAATATCAGTTAAGCTGATCTTTTGGTTGAGCCCTTAACTGGATGTAATAAGACAGGTTGATTTTGGCCTAGAATGTCTCATAATGTTTGAATTTTTATTCATATGTTTTTCAGTAGACATTTGATAAATAACATTTGCACAGTTAGATCTCTAATGTAATAGCTGTGTTTTGAGGAAATAAGTCATTTTCCATCCCTTCACTGGTATCAGGTAATATCGGGCACTGGCAGATACTTAAAGCCAAAATGTCGATATCAGTATCGGAACTGAAAAAGTTAGAACGGTGCATCCCTACTTTGTGGCATTACTTGCATTACAAACTTATCTATTTCCATGATGTCAAGCAGATGACACATTTTTATAAAGGAATAAAAGACCTCTAATTGAATGAAATATGGCTGTGTTTAATGCCATACTTTGGAAGAGCAAAGCAATAACACCTAAATGGAGACAAGTAGGTTGCAGATCTTCCTCCAGCAAAGTTACATAAAATTTTATACAGGAACAAAAAATTTAATTTAATTTTGATTGAATTTGCATTTTATTGTACTTAATCATATTTGTGACAGGAAGACTTTTGCTCTAATTTACTGTAATTCCTGCACTTTGACCTAATAATGGTTAATCCTTCTTTGTTGATCATGTATTCATGCTCTTGAATAAACTGTCAAAGTCTAGTCATCTTGTGATCCCTCTGACAGGAAATGGACTCATTAGAAGAGAGGAAACTCCACAGTTGTGCAAAAATAGTTGTGTCTGACAGCGCAAGTTGTGTAGCAATGAGTTTTGTGCATCTGTGTTTCATTGATATTCTTATTCTGGGAGGTAAGAGAATGGGCATTTAATATTTTTAGTATCTTTTGGTTAGGTTGCCTTCTGTGTTGCTGTTTGTTTTGAATGTCTTCTTGTAAAATAATTGTAATAGATCCAAAACCAGGGATATGCAAACAATTTAAAAGTAGGTGAAAATATGTTACTGGGGGCATATACATTTCAGCTCATCAAAACAGAAATATAATTAAGCTGCTCCCAATGTTTCATTGGTCAGTGCTGAGAGAATTCTAATGTGTTCATTTAGGACAGTTGATTACCGTGGACTCCATGTTTTCTTTAATTTGTTAATGTTTTAGCTCAAAACAAAAGGGCTTCAGGACTGGCTCTGATTCTAAAATTTATAGACAGGTAATAATGCTCCCATGCTCATAACAGCATGCCTCTGTCAACAACATTTGTCAGTACGCTGCAATGTGATAAACAGATTACAGATTTGTAATTTGTAATACTTTTTCTATTCTATTTTTGGTACATCTATGATTTAGCATTGTTCCGATTCATTTAAGATTTACGTGTCCAACAGGTTTTTGGGCTGTGGAAATGGAGGCTGTTTTGTTGTTTGCAGAGGAAGGCACAAAGCTGGAGATCCAGTGCTTACACAGTTACGCTCAGGGAAACATGAAATACTTCTGTAAAGATCCATGTGATTACAAGGATTTTTTAATAACAAGCCGACAAACGAATCCAAACAGCAGGTACAGCCTAAGAGACAATGGGAACACCTTCAGCGTGACCATCTCAGGCGTGACCAAGAAGGATTCTGGTGAATACTGGTGTGGAGTGGAGCGAGTAGGCAAAGACACATACAACTATGTGTCCATCATTGTCAAACCAAGTAAATTCATACACTACTTAACTAGCTTACAATAAATGTAGAGTGAATTTGCTATATTTTAAAATCTCAAATGATCCCATATAGTTCACAGTTTTGTTATACAGCTGTATGGCATAATTTCTGAGAAGAAATAGCAAGTAAAGGGTTGGAGTAGTAACTAAGAGATAGGTCTTCACAGTAAGGATACACCACTGACATAATAATCTTTAATGCCTGATAGTCCCAGTAAATCCTTCTAAATGAACCCTATAACAGCACACTGAAACACTTGACCAAAAATATTATTAATCTTTAGGCCTAAGAAAGGAACACTGTGTTATAGGCCAGTAATAAGAAATCAATAAAAGAAATCACATAAACCTATTGGCTAACAGGTAAAATGAGTCTAACCTGTATAACCAAAGGATTAATAATAAAATTATTACATTATTACATTATTATTATTATTATTATTATTATTATTATTATTATTATTATTATTATTATTATTATTATTATTATTATTATTATTAATAATAATAATAATAATAATATTATTATTACCTTTGTTGTCCTATTTTGAAACAGGAACAGAGAACTCATCATCAAATATGTCATTGCAGAACATAACATCTACTGGTAAGCACTGATCATGATACTGACATTACACATAAAACTATATACACATAATGACATCTCTTGTATATGCAGAAGTGTTATACATCGGGATAAGTCTGGGAGCTCTCCTGTTTATTCTGCTCATTGCTGGTGTCATTTTCATTAAACAAAGACATCGAGGCATTAGGAAACCAAGGGGTAAGAGACACTGAAACCAAAGTGCAAGAAAAATGAATGTTGAACTCTCATTATAAGGGAAGTGGTAGAACTCTAACTGTGTACTTTCTTTCCTGTAGGAGACAATATGACCCTCACTGACCCATTTAGATACAATCAGAGACAGTTCAAAGACAGCTCAGAACCAGACCCACTGACTGCACAGCATCACAGGGGCAGCACACAGGAACCCACAAGTGACATTTATGTTGAAACAGTTGAAGAGGGCTACTCCTCTGTATGCTTTACCAAACACAGGGACAGAGTCACATGCACAGATTCAGAGTCTGCTGTCTACAGTCAAGTGAAGACAGCCTGATTATTGTTTCTGATGAACATTATGTATTTAACTTTTTTCAATATACAGTCAAAATACATTAATATATATTATCCGATGTTTGTTTTCTTGTGTATTTCTGTGCTGTTAACATTATGTATGTATTATGTAGACTTTCTTCTAATATTCAAGGTAGGCCTAAAAGTAACCTAACACCAAAATCAACACGTTATATGGTATATTCATGATATAAATAAAAGGGAAATTTGAAATAATTTGTAGTAGTCATTATATAGCCTTTATTAGACAGAAGAGCTGAATGCAGACGAACAGTTAATTTCCTCAGAAAACATGGAAAATCAAGATAATTTAGACCAACACAGATGTGAGGAGTGTTAAGCTACTGTATTTGAAGTAGGGCGTCCTCTGGTGTTTGAAAAAGTATAGACATGAAGGCGCTGCTCTAAAAACAAAACAAACTAACAATAAAAAAAAAGGTTATTGGTATAAGCCTACATTATAATTAGGCGTGTTAGTAATTAAGAAGCCATCACGATGACAATATGCAGATAGACCTACTTTTGAGAGCGGTAAATCCCGAGTCTGCAGAAGAACAGCTAAAGCTTTTGGAGTTTATTGATTGACATCAGTTTTGTCCAATGAAAAGAGCGCATTGGCCTGAGAGGGCGGGTCTTGGCTCCACAGCGGAGGCTCCCTGTCGCCTGACCGGATGATGACAGGACACTAGTTTTCAGTCCAGAGCGACATGAAATCTTGGCGTTACTGACTGATACTGATACTTTAAAATTTTTTAAGACTTTTTCTCTTATTTATAAAGACTTTGCTTATAGTTCCTTCAACTGCCATCTGGAAAAGTTTGGAAAGCGACTCTACTCGCTGTGTTTGAGTGGAGGGGCACGGGGGAAAATCCCAGTGTGCTGAGAAAAGTCTGCAGCCATGGGAAACCGGGGGATGGAGGACCTGATTCCCCTGATCAACAAGCTCCAGGACGCCTTCAGCTCCATCGGGCAGAGCTGCAACCTGGACCTGCCTCAGATAGCGGTGGTGGGCGGCCAGAGTGCGGGGAAGAGCTCCGTGTTGGAAAACTTCGTTGGAAGGTTGTACAATTAACACATTTCATTAATTACAGACTTAATCATTTTAATAATAGCGTACATGACTGCTGTAATGTCACATCAGTAAGCTTTAGTCTGAGTTGTGCACCAAATTTGTCAACTAAGCACGTTTTGGCTTTGCGCTCCCTCCCTGTTCCTAAAATTTTCCAACTGTTTTTTCACTTGTGCTTTTCGCCAAAAAAAATCGTTCATGCAACAGCTGTAAAAGTTGCAAATGGGAAAGAAATCTTAAGGTAGTTATAAATGCGTTATTATTACTAACCTCTGTCAATCATTGAAGGTTGTTGCTCCTTGAGATTGCTTGTAAATACGTCATAAGACTTTCATAAGACAAAGGTCAGACAATATTTTACCTTGGAGGCAGAGTGGCACTAAAGTTCTCTTTAACCAAGTAATTGTAAATGGGCATTTAGTTTTTAATTCAGACAGTGGATTTGAAGGTGGAAGAACAGCACCCACCATGAATGTTAATATTGCAGCATGCATGTATAAAATTGTGTAGACTCTTCAAGTGACAAACCCCAACTAAATAGCCTACGTTGTTGATTACAGGCTGCTACATTGTAATTATCAGAGGTCTGTAAAGTAGTCAAATACTTTACGCAAACATTATTACCATGGAATAAGGTGGCCAACTTTAAAGTATTTTCTTTATATAATCTTAAATCTTAATATTTATTGTTAGAAGTAATTGTACATGGATGTAGCCTAAACTTCAGATTTGTATTAGAATAGAACGCAATATAAAATCAACTCAGAATAAAGGGCCTTTTCAAAAAGCAATAAATATACATTGAAAGACTTCTCTTGTTGATGTTGAGATTGTTGATTGGGTAGTCACGTCTTCTTCTTTCGCCTGTTGCCTTTTGTCTGGGTGTCCCGAGCTGTGGCGGAGGGGCACAGAGGGGGCATTGATGCTGGTTGCTGGGGTCAACAGTGATGTCACCAGCTGCACTGTCTCGGGATATGACACACTGCACGACACAGACATCCAAAAAGCTCCCTCGCTGTTTTCATGTTCGTCAGTGAGCCCCTCTGACATGTACCACAATGTCACACTATGTTTAGATCAGCCCAAACTACATGAAAGAGTGTTCCACGTGGAAGCAGACATTTTCACTTCTCAGTCAATAATATCAGCACAACTAATATAGAGCTATGTGATGACAAGGTGTTTTCCCTTGAATGTTGTGTGGTTTCATTTCAAACTATAGATAATTGGACTAACGCTTGCAGTATTTACAGCCATAATAAATCATGTCAATTAAATTTATAATGAACAAAATAGTTTATTAAGATTCAGGAATAAATGATTTAGGTTTGGAGCTTGAGTACGTAATTGTTACTAAACCTAAACCTTCATGATAAAATATTTGTTCATACATTTGTTAATACATTATTAAAGCTAAGGTTATTAAGGCATAATTCTTAGAAAGTGATATAGGATTTGATATTAGGGAAAAGACTTGATTGTTGATACCAATTTTAATACCATAGTGATGGTAAGGAACAGTTCCCCAGTTCCTTCCTGATTTAGCCCTGAGTTTAAGGTTAAGGTACACTTTATTGTCCATGGGAGAAAATGTTGTTCTCTGTATTTTGCCCATTCTTAAACGCTACAAGTGCAACCTGTCAGAAGCAGTGGTTTAGATTTTCCATTATAAACACATTATTTTACAGTATGTTAGATGGAACCTATAATGTCAAAAAGAAAATTTCTGAAAGAATTTCATGTTAATTTTGAGTTAATATTTTCCATTTCATGTTTTTCTTATCATCATATTAGACAGGTTCCATGTACCGGCACCACAGTGGCTGAGTGGCTAGCACTCACGCTTCACAGCAAGAAGCATGCACAGTCCTTTAGCTAAGGTAGATCTGCCCAAGCCTAGCAACAAGATCACAGAGAAGGATCTGCCCCATTGAGAAGCTCACAGTCAACAACATGAAGCTCTCAGTGGGGCAGATCTATCCATATATTGATAAAAACTCCGTTGCTCTTGTTCGTGTTAAGTGGTCAGAAGTCACAGGAAGAGATGAGGAAAGAGGAGTTGATCCCTGTTGTGCAACTTCCTGCTCGCTCAGCACTGATCACAGACTTTAGGTTTAAGTTTGTGAGTTTATATTTCTTTTAATAGGGCTTCTGTCTGAAAAACATTGCTGAACTCGAATAGCCCAGAGCTGTGTGCAGTCAGTGACCCGGTAATTATCAGCACTATATTGAACTGGAGTTTCCATTTGGATTTGTGCGCTGTGGAGGTTAGGACTATATATTATGAATAAGGATGTGAGCTTGTCTGTCTTGGCCTCTCATCAATAATGCAGCTTCTTCTGAGGGTTGCATACAGAGACAGTGTGTTCAGATGTCCCATACAATACATACAACACTAGGTTTATCTTAATTATTTGTTCTTGGAGGACATCCAGCTACCCAGGGTACGACTATCACAATCCAGGGCCCATTTCATGCCCAGATAAGAAGAAGGCTGTGTCAGGATAGGCTTCTGAAAGTAAGCCAAAGATGTTCATTTTGTCTTCTTATGTACTTTAACTTCTTGGGTTTTTTTTTAAGACAATACAGTAAAATGTATTTACCTTGTTGACATGTTTCAGCTGCTAGCTGCAACACATCTTCAGAACTGTCACCGGTGTTGGTGGTGGCAGCCTGATGGACCTGGCAGGTCGCTCAGACTGATCACACCTCCCGTCGCTCGATGTACTGTGGAGGAGGTTGTCCCAGTTGTGTGAAAGGAGAAATGCTCCATGATCACGGTTAATGGTGTCCCTGCCTCGTTTCCTGATTTCAATGACCTCCCTGATCCAGCGTGATCAGCCTGATCACTCATCACATACCACACCGACAGGGAAGAGGAGGAGAGACACATCATACAAGCACTCAAACAAGGTCAATATCCCAGCTGGGCCATAAACAAATGCAGACAACAAGTTACCAATGAAACCAACAAACCCCGGAAAAAAACTCAAGAAACCAACAGAGGGCAGCAGAACCATAAGAACACAGTCACACTACCGTACATTAGAGACATAACTGAACCCATCCAGAGAGCCATGAAAAGTCACAACATAAGCACTGTAGTCACACCATACACAAAACTCCGTCAACAGCTCATACACCCCAAAGATAAAATCCCACAAGAAGAAAAATGCAACACCATATAAGAAATCCAATGCAGATCATGTAATAATTCATACATAGGGGAAACAGCCTGGGCATCCCACATTTGAAAAAAGGAACACCAAAAGGAATGCAAAAAGGAAACATCAGGGAGACTCACCAGAACACAAAAAGACAAAGCAGAACAGGAAAATGTAAAATCTGCCATATCAGACCACTATAAAAGAAATAACCACATTCTGGATTGGGACGGGGCTCGGGTCATTGATCGGAGAACAACAAGTTTAAACCCTGGATCAGGGAGGCCACTGAAATAAGGAAACAAGGCACAGACAGCATTAACAGTGATGATGGAGCATTCCTCCTTTTACACACCTGGGGCACCCTCCTCCAGAAAACACTGACATGAGGCATGGTTAGTCTGAGCGACCTGCCACGTCCATCAGGCTGACCCACAGGAAGTAACAACAGCAGCTGAAACATGTCAATATGGGAAATACACTTTACTGAAACGTCTTTAAAAGAACCCAAGAAGTTAAAGGCTTCTGAAAGTGTCCAGTTAAGGTTAAGGTTGCAAGAATAATATACATGTTAAAGGGATAGATTTACTCGACATTTACTCATCATTTTAAACAAAATATAGGATAATATGTTGCAAAATAAAATATGGTTCAAATATTAGATTTTACTTAGTAATGTCAGAACTGTAAGGGACAGATGTTAATTTTAGATTAACTGAAAACTAGATTATGTTTAGTACTAACATTTCTTTGTCCAGTCATGAAAAAGTAAGTTAAATAAGTTGCCTTATTGTTAATTTAAATGTTAATATTAATCTCTCTCTTTCTTTCTCTTTCTCTCTCCCTCTCTTTCTTTCTTTCTCACTCTCAGAGACTTTTTGCCCCGGGGATCTGGTATTGTCACCCGTCGCCCTCTCATTCTCCAGCTGGTCAACAGTAAAGCAGGCAAGTTTTAGACAGACTAGCCGACTACTCTTAGTTTTATAAATAAACTCATGAAATGCACAAATTCATGGGTAACATGTTATGTGATTTGTGAAATGTGTCAAATTTATGCAGAAATGGCATTCATGTAAATTCATGTAAATAACGTAATAATTTTGTTTATATGAATTCAGAATTTTTGTATATTCCCATACGGTGTCTTTGGTTAATTTTGTATTGTTGATTTCACTGTGTGCAGAGTATGCAGAGTTTTTGCACTGTAAGGGCCGAAAGTTTGTGGATTTCGATGAGGTCCGTCTTGAGATCGAGGCCGAGACTGATCGTATCACAGGATCAAACAAAGGCATCTCTCCCATCCCCATAAACCTCAGAGTGTACTCCCCACACGGTAAAAGTCACGCTCTTCTCTTGGTGCCACCTGTTTGTTTCCTTGAAGATAGATAAGGTTAATGCTGTACTGTGGAACATTTCAGGCAAAAGCAAGAACATCTCCACAAAGCAGGTAGCAGGTAGTGGACCATCCACCTAAATAGTTAGATAGATCACTTTTAATTAAGATAAGTAAGGTCAATAGATAACTGTTTCTGATCAGATATCTTTAAAATAAGTTGTAAAAATGTACTGTAATTGTATCTAGACTTGAATGCATTATTAACTTTTCACATATATAAACTCGCCTCTGTTCTGCAGTCTTGAACCTGACCCTCATCGACCTCCCGGGGATGACTAAGGTGGCTGTGGGGGACCAGCCTGCGGACATAGAGCACCAGATCCGGGACATGCTAATACAGTTTATCACCAAGGAGAGCTGCCTCATCCTGGCTGTGACACCTGCCAACACTGATCTGGCAAACTCAGATGCCCTCAAAATCTCCAAAGAGGTTGACCCTCAAGGTAATTGTGTCTTTACAGTGTTTTCCATAGGTTTATACTAAGGCTATGGTGGAACAAGCGATCTGTATAGATCTGATTATAGATTAAACGTGGTTACTTATATATGTTTATGATAACACTACAAGCATAAACTGTCATTTGTTTTACCAATTTTTGCTCATGTTTTTATGTTTTTTAAATTTCTATGGGGGGCCACGATAGCCTCCTCTACCGATGGGAAACACTGCTTTAATCGTGACAGAGATTATTCAATTTGCGTGTTCCCAGATGGTATTTTATTAAATGTAACTAGGTTTGTTCTCATTTCTCACCTGGATAATTACTTTTATCTCACAGCGAATCTTGCCCCTGTGCACAACACTTCACCAGAATAATTACCACTTACATTATTAATAGACTCCCTGACAGCAAGGTGAATGGAAGATCACTATATTTGCTCTGCATTATGTATAATTATTTCATTAGCTTCACCTGAATGCTGGTTAATGGTTAATAATAATTTTCCCTATGACTTAAAAGTGCATTGTGTAAGTTTTCTGATGGGACCGGTCAAATGCTTTTTTCCATGATGTTATTGCTTTGTCTGGAATGTTTCACAGTATGATATTAAACTTTTCTATCATCATGGAAACCAAACCAGACCAAGTTACAGGTCAGATCTGTGGAGAGGCGATCCTGCTCACAGTCAAAATGCCAGTTTTTCTAGGTATTTTGTAAGGTAGAACTGTTTATTGTCATACTGTGGAATATTCCAGGCAGAGCACTGACATATACATAGAAACAAGCAGGTGACAGAGCCCCAACCAGAAGGTTTGTAGTGCACCATTAAGTATTCTGTTCATCAAGTATTCATTATTTGCATATAGTTTGTAATAAAGAATGATCTCTTAGGGCTGCGGACCATAGGGGTGATTACTAAACTGGACTTGATGGATGAAGGGACAGATGCGAGGGACATCCTGGAAAACAAACTGCTGCCCCTACGTAGAGGTAAAGATAAAGAACATTCAAATGTGTTTTACTAGTTATGCATTTGATTATCGTCATGTTTTTATGTCCAACTACCTTACCCCATATAATCATGTGATTCTCAGGCTACATTGGAGTTGTGAACCGCAGTCAGAAGGACATTGATGGAAAGAAAGACATCCGCGCTGCTTTGGCTGCTGAGAGGAAGTTCTTCCTGTCTCATCCAGCCTACAGACACATGGCCGAGCGCATGGGCACCCCTCATCTCCAGAAGTCACTCAACCAGGTCACACACAACTCATTATTGGACAGATTAAGCACAATATTGATCTGAAACAACTAAATATAAAAGAAACAAGTTAGCTGAATTCCAGTTGTTTTTTTTATTTGTTCCAAGATGATTATATAGTGCTGCACAATCCTATGTGTATCACTGATGAAAAAAAAAAAAGAGAATAAAGCACTGGGTGTTTATGAAGGAGAGGAGAAAGCAGGAATTTTTTGGAGCAATTGTGTCTTGATTGCAGGAGACTAAAGATTACTCAGACTTGTATGTATCACTCTCAGTACTAAGTATGGATATGAGGAAAACAAGTATAACATGGTTAAAATCTCCTAATAGAGTATTCACCTATAGTTATAACACATTGTATGTTTATGTTGCTGTCCAAATAATACCATAATGTTTTTGTTCTATAGCAACTCACCAACCACATTCGAGACACTTTGCCTGGACTGCGAAGTAAGCTCCAAAGCCAGCTCCTGTCTTTGGAGAAAGAGGTGGAAGAATACAAGAACTTTAGACCAGATGATCCAACGCGCAAAACCAAGGCTTTACTCCAGTCAGTATCACACAGAAACACATTTATATGAAAGAGTTCATATTTACTTGTTATAAAAGCTGTTCGTTTTGCTGAACAGAATGGTGCAGCAGTTTGGGGTGGACTTTGAGAAGTGCATTGAAGGATCCGGTGATCAGGTGGATACCTCAAACCTGTCCGGTGGAGCAAAGATTAACCGCATTTTCCATGAACGCTTTCCTTTTGAACTTGTGAAGGTAACACTAACTACCACATGGGGCATTCTGATAAAGTCACATTTTACAAGGGACGCAATCCAAAAGTAATATATAACATATTTGAATCAGATTTGTTTGAAAGCATGAAAGAATTATCATTTGTCAGCAGTGATGTGAAGAATACTTGTAGTAAATGTAAATGTAGTTACAGAATACTGAAAACCTCCATTACAATGTATTTAATTTGTAAAGTTGCAACGTGCAATTAAAAACAGCTCCATTTGTTTATTTATCACAATTTGGACAAGGAAAAATCACACCACAAGAGCGGTGCTTTCTACTTTTCTCTCTAATATTGAGCAGTTTGAAGCCTAAATTGTGTGATCAAGCACAACAATGTATTCCTGTGAATGAAGTAACTGTATTCTGATTAGCACTAAGTGAAAAAGTAACAGTACTGGAATACAGTTAATCAAAATGTTCAGAATACATATTCTGTGTACATGTATTCACTTACTTCCCAAATTTCCAACACTGTTTGTTAGTTGTATGTTTAATAATGCTCCTTGTGAGAAGGATGTTAATGTAAATGTTATGTGTACGCAGATGGAGTTTGATGAGAAAGAGTTAAGGAAAGAGATCAGTTACGCCATCAAAAACATCCACGGAGTGAGGCAAGTTCTGGCAACAACATCTTACGCATTACTGTTACTGTTATTATGTTTGTCTAGTGCTATCTGTTTGTCTGTGTTTGTTTATGTTCAACCTCACCCTTGTGTGGACATATGTTTGAAGCAGCCATGATTATAGATTTGGTATTTACCTGCAATCGCCACAACAACTTTCCTACAACATTTGAGATAGCTACATTACAGAGTTAAAGTGCATATGACAGGTTTGACAAATCATTTCATAGTTATATTTAAGATTTTGTTAAAGCCTAGTTTTTCCTAGTTTGTAAGTTTTCAAGTAATTACTTATAACTTCCTGGATGGAAATTTTCCAGCAGATATGACATGGATAGAGATAAATCCATAATGGTTACCTTGAACCACACTGGAAACCAGGGCAAAAGCTTGTATAATTTTCACTATAGTTAATGTTTTAAGACTAATAACAGATGATAAAACATTGCTTTTGTTAAATTTATGGTTAAACTTAGATTAAACATCTTAAATTCTGCCTGGATTTTGGGTGGAATTTTGTGTATTAATGATATTTGGATTCCTTTTAAGGAAGGATATAATTTTCCTTTTTCCTAACTTTTCTTTACAAACCACCACTTGACAGACGTGAAACTGTGATTAAAACTTAACACAGATATTACTCCAAAACAAAGTAATAACTGGAAAACATGAAAGTGCATATGCACTTCATGACCTTACTAGCAGTAAAGGTAAACATTTCATTACTGTATTCTTTTGGACCCTAGTGTGTTACTCTTGTCTGTGTCTTGTCCAGTCTGAATCTGGTTGTGTCTCTGTCTGTGTGATCTGTGTACCCCCCAGGACAGGCCTGTTCACCCCTGACCTGGCGTTTGAAGCCATAGTGAAAAAGCAGATCATAAAGCTGAAAGAGCCCTGTCTGAAATGCATCGACTTGGTCATCCAGGAGCTCATCAACACAGTCAGACAATGCACCAATAAGGTATTACAGGCGCTAACCACAAGCCCCAAGCTCCTGGGTGTAGTGTGTAGCCTCACCACTATGTCTGTGCTTTCCAGACAAGCAGGCACATGTTTAGGGTCGTTATTACCCAAGCAGCAAAAGTCTCACTGAAAAATGCAGTGGTGGCCACAACCATCAGAACCCTTGGTAAAGAAAGAGTGGACATGGCAAATATTAATATCCCGTATGATGTTTGTTAGCAGTAATCTATAATCTCTTCATGCAATTAATTCAGACAGGTGTTCTCAACATTTTGGCCACAACTGTATTGCAAACTAGATTCTGCTGCTTGTTTTAGACATAAACTTTAAATAACTGTTGAACTTTTTCTTTCTTAAATTCTTTTTGAACCTTTTTTCACCTTTGCATCCACTACTCTGGGACTACTTTCTTATATAAATCCCACACGACACTACTTCTATCGTCACTTCAATGATCCCCTCTCCACACCATCCCAGGACAGGCCTGTTCACCCCAGACCTGGCATTTGAGGCCATAGTGAAAAAGCAGATCATAAAGCTGAAAGACCCCTGTCTGAAATGTGTTGACCTCGTCGTCACCGAGGTTGTGGCCCTGATCAGGAAATGCACAGAGAAGGTAAATAGGAAATAAAAGGGACTAGCAAAACATATTATATATTTAAACTGAATAAATCAGCCAAAAATAGATCATTATAAGCAATGGACATAACATGTATATTGTTGATTGTTACGTGTGAAATGTAAAACTTATTTGTAAATAATAAACACTGATTACCCATTTTGATCCCGAAGTTGTACTCACTTGCCCTTGTTATCATTAATTTCTCCACATATTCCCCATGCTTTTCCCCTAGTCACTGTCTAACCAAATTCACACATTTTTGAGATCAATCCACCTCCTCCTTCCCCACCGCTTCCTTTCACCAATAACACAACCTCCACAAACTGACCCCTCTTTTCAGATGACTTTTGTAGCTTCCTCTGTCCTGATTTGACACTTGACTGTTCTCCTCGGTCTTAGAAACTGTCTATTTGAATAAGTTTGATAAGTTTAACAATACTGTGCAAAAGTTTTAGTGAGTTCAGCTCATTTAGCTAATTCCAAATTATTTTTTGTGACATTGTTTAATACATAAGATTTTTTATTTTTTTTTGTAAGGTTGCAAGATTATATTTAATTTTCATAATATACAGTATATATATATATATATATATATATATATATATATATATATATATATATATATATATATATATATATATATATATATATATATATATATATATATATATATATATATATATATATATTATATATTTGTGTAGTAAAAATCCAGTCTAAAAAAGTCTCAAACTATATTTAACCTGCCAACATTGTTTACACCTCAAACGTATGTTCTGAAATATTTGTTTTTCAGCTCATATTGCAGTCTCTCTCAAAGATACTCCCTGATAGATTTCAAGTGAACACTGTAAACAAAATCTTGAAAAATTGCAACTCTGAAATCGGAATCATAATAATTAAAAATAGCAATTATATATATTAATTGTAATTATAAAAATTTAATTATATATGCACATTGTTCTCCAATGTGTAGTTTTATGTATTTCCTTATGTATATACTTATGCACAGTACTGGATATTTGCATGAGTGTGGGTGTAGTAACACATTGGTTTGCAGTGTCTTGTGTATGGCTTGGTTAGTTACACTATGCTCTAGTTTCACTATAATTACAGTAGTATGCAGCATGTGTTTGTTTGTGTTCACAGCTCGGCTCATACCCTCGACTGCGAGAGGAGACAGAGCGTATCGTCACCACCTACATCCGCGAGAGGGACAGCAAGACCAAAGACCAGGTGGGGTCAATACACACTATAACATGTGCAAATAACTAATTAATGGCCTGCTACATTATGTTATAATGTTGTTTCCTCATCACAAACATACCTGGAGTTGTGTTGTGTCACTTTTCCAACTTGTGATGCCATTTGGTTATACAGGAAATGCTTCACTGTGTTTTTAAACTCCACACACCTTCACTAGAATCACTGGATAATTTCATCCCCGGAATTTCAAATCTGTACTGAACTAAAGGTAAATATAGCTGTTAGCCTGAAAACTATCACTTCATTACATCACAAAGTGGAACAGAGGATTTTGAGCTTTGGAGCTGTAGACAGAGATAATAATAATAATAATAATAATAAAGAGATACTCAAACATGTGAATGAAACAAAACACAACTCCATATATGTTTTTGATGAGGAAACTTGTCTTGTCCAACACTAATAACTACTTACTTATTAGCATTAAAAACATGAAGAAAGATCTAATTAATAAGTGAACCAATTACTTTTATTTACTGAGAATAATTCAAGCTTAGTGACTACTTATTTAATACCCTAAACCGCTCTTAACCATAACCCCTTATGTAATTACAAAGCCTGAATAATTGTTAATAAATTATTTGTTCATTATGAATTAAGTCTTTACTGGGGCTTATTAATTAAGGTGTAGCTATTACAAAGGAGAACTTTTCTCTGGATACAGTTGCAAAACATCAACTACAGGTGGTACTGTGACTGTACTGTAGCAGTTTGGTCATATTGTCTTGTTCTGAGTTCACGTATGCTGAGCTATTTTATTGAAAGCTTTAAACTACTTTGTAATTTGTTATTCTTGTGTCTCTGTTTTTCCCCAGGTGCTGCTGCTGATCGACATTGAACTCTCCTACATCAATACAAATCATGAGGACTTCATTGGATTTGCCAAGTATGACAAGTTTGTCACCTGACAGTGACAATACAGTGTTTACAGTAACAACACTATACACTTCCTCATTCGTCATTCAACGTGAATACTCTGAAAAACTATTTGATGTTATTATTGACTGTACTTTTTGAGGGAAGTTGAAATTATGTACAAGTAGCTAGAAAATGCATGTTGAATGCATGCATGAGAATTTTTAACTTTTGCTCTTTTACCCAAATAAACTGTTTAAAAATAGTAGTGTAGTAGTTTAGTAAAATGATATATTAGATATATTTGAATGTGTGTGGCATAGGGGTGAGAGATCTGAGGTCTGTAGTAGCAGCAGAAAATCCAAAAGCAGTATTTAGTCCTATTTATTCAATTTGATTTAACCATGTTCTGCTTTTTGATATCCAGATCTTTTATGCAGGGGTGGCCTGGCCTAGTAGTAAAACAGTCTACTCTACATAAATAACATTTTGGTGGAGTTTTTATCCCTTCTAATTTATGTTATAGACATGGTATGCGTTTGTAGTAAGATAAGTGGTTATAGGGCCCATATGACACTATTTTCTGATCTATGTCTATATAATGTTGCTTCCTCATCATCACAAACATATGATCCTTGGAATGGACTGTTTCTGCTGCACTAAAGGTGAAATGTAGCTGTTAACTTGAAAACTACTACTATATGACATCACAAGGTAGAACAGAGCATTTGGAGATGTAGGCAGACTAATAAAAAAGGGTTACTCAAACATGTGTGAATGACACAAAACACAACTCCAGATATGTGTTTGATGAGGTAACAACATAACAACATGACTTAAAGCTCACAAGAATTGATTTTGTATAATATAGGACCTTTATTCATTTAATAATATCTTTCCGTTTTGTTTGACTGTTTACAGTGCTCAGCAAAGAACAGCAGCCAATGCCACAAAGAAGAGAGTGATGCCAAACCAGGTCAGTGTTTTTACATATTTCTTTGTCCCTCGTCTCGTGGAGCACCACCGTCAGTCTTCCTCAGTGTTCTGTCTAGTATTTGCTCTTTACTATGACATCATTTCCTGTCTATGTTTACATGTCTGTCTATGGCCTGTCTTCTCATCTTATTTGTGCCTCTTTTGTTTTCGCTGCTCTGCTCCTCCTCTCTCTGACCAGGGAGAGATCCTTGTGAGTATCGTACCCCCACACACCTTCATCTGTCACTTTCTCTTAGGGTGAGTGGGGGCAAGTAACTGAACCTAAATTTATATTAAAGGTCCTATATTACATAAAATGAATTATTGTGGGCTTTTAGACACGTTACAATGTTGTGTCCTCATCAAAAACATCCTGGAGTTGTGTTTTGTCTCATTTACACATGTTTGAGTAACCCTTTTTTATTAGTCTCTCTACATCTCCAAAACTCAAAATGGTCTATTCCACCTTGTAATATCACGAAGCAGTATTTTCAAGTTAACAGCTACCATGTACCTTTAGTTCAGTAGAGATTAGCAATTCCAGATTTAAAATTATACAAATGATTGTAGTGAAGATGTATGGGATTAAAAACCCCAATGGAGCACTTCCTTCCACATGACATCACAAGGTGGAACAGAGTGTTTTCTGTTTGAGAGAAGAACACAGCAGAGTGTGTGAGTTAAATGAAACAAAACACAACTCTGGGTATATTTTTGATGAGGAAGCAACATTATAATTACAACATTGATAAGAAAACAGTGTAATATAGGCTCTTAAACTAAATTTGTGCAATCTGAAATGACTATTGTAGATTATAGATAAATAGATCCGATTAATCAGCAGGACAATTATGTACTGAAAGTAATTATTATTAGGAAATTTATTTTGTGGATGGTGAATTAGTTTTTGACATTCACAATAATCAATTATCAAAGAATGCTATAATTTATGCAATGGAATGAACTCTGTTAACATTTTATGAAAGGAAAAAAGATATAGTTTAGATTTCTACAAACATGTTCTGAAATGCAAAATATTCTTGTGTTACTTCAGTAGTTCATATTTCAGTCTCCTCTCAGATGTTACTGGAGGTGTTTAAAATGCTCACTGTAAATTGAATCCTTATTTGAAAACATAACGTAAATATAATCTGAAACAAAACTTCATAATCATTTTCAACCAAAATTATGCAACCTTAGATTTTAATATCCAATTTTGAATAGAATTGTTGGAGAACTGTGCTACTTTTGGCTTTATCCTATAGCATGGCTTCTTACATGTTCCCTCTTTGTGTCTATTTTTTATGTCCCACTGTACAGTCTGACAAAGACGATCTGGAGAAGGTGAAGTGCTTGTGGAGTCTTTTGGCATATTCAGTGTCAGCAGATTTGTGTTGGACTGAATTTGCTTCTCCACTGTGTGTGTTTAAAATGTTTTTGGCTTGTTATGCAATATCTGAAATCATCTTTATTCTTCCATTCATGAAGTCTGTCCCTTAACTTTTTGATATTGTTTTTAAGAATAGTACTAGTACAATTGCAACATTTTTCAGACTGGGACTCCCAATATAACCATGTAACTAACCTAGTATAATGTACAAAGTCTAGCATTCTTACCACACAGTAAGAAGGCCCAGGTATTTTCAGGTAGGAGTTTGCATGTTCTCTCAGCATTTGGGTGATTTCCTCTTTGGGGTTTGGTGTCCTTCCCATAAACCACTGATATTGAAGGATAGGTAGTTTGGAATACCATTAACCAAATTATGGACTATATTGATAATAAGCAAATGTTACATACTCATTGAAGATATTAAGACATAACAGCTCCTTGTGAGTTTGCTGCTATGGTTTAAAGGACTGTGTGAAAAGTTTCCTTGTGTTGCTTTAAAGATGAAATGAAGAACAGACTGCTATTGTCTGTCGGCAGGTGATCCGTCGAGGCTGGCTCACCATCAACATCAGTATTATGAAGGGAGGCTCTAAGGATTACTGGTTTGTTCTGACCGCAGAGTCTCTTTCCTGGTACAAAGATGAAGAGGTATTGTCAAACTATATACATGGTGCACATATAGCTGTACGCATGGGGAATTCATTGTTAATGTTCTTATTTCTTGGTAGGAGAAAGAAAAGAAGTACATGCTGCCCTTGGACAATTTAAAGCTGAGAGATGTGGAAAAAGGGTTTATGTCCAGCAAACATGTCTTTGCTATTTTTAACACTGAACAAAGGTGTGTATGCTCTATGTGTGTGATAATGTCTAGGTCCAACTAATCTATGTTATAATGTTGCTTCCTCTTCACAAACATACCTGGAGTTGTGTTTTGTTTCATTCACTAATGGTTAACTCACAAATTCTTCTCTCAAACAGAAAACCCTCTGTTTCACTTTGTGATGTCATACATGAAGTGCTCCAATGTGTATTAAACTTCATATGCCTTCATTAAAATCATTTGGAAGATTTCAGACCCCATTGCCGTAGATTGGCAAATGTACTAAATTAAAGGTTAAAAGAGTTGTTAACTTAAAAACTACTGATACAGCTGACATCGTAAAGTGGAACAGAGCGTTTTTAGGTTTGGAGATGTAGACAGACTAATAATAAAGGGTGACTTAAACATACGTCAATGAAACAAACAATTCCAGGTATTTTTTTGAGTAGATAGCAGCATTGTAACATGGTTTAAAGCTCACAATAGTAAGTTAATGTGTTTTTGTGATGATTAGAAATGTGTACAAGGACCTGCGGCAGATCGAGTTGGCCTGTGATACTCAAGATGACGTGGACAGCTGGAAGGCCTCATTTCTCAGGGCTGGAGTCTACCCAGAGAAAGACCAGGTGGGCTACCATGTATTTTGTAACTTGAAAAAACACAGCTCAACTCTGAAGAGAAAATGCACCTTGATCATTTTAGATTTGAGAGAAATCAATACCTAGACCCTAATAGTTACTAAAACTACTAATAGATAAACATTTTAAGTGTCAATACTGAATACAGTTACATAAATAGTAGACAACAAACAAAAATTTCTGGTAGTTTTAATAATATATAAAAATACTATTAATATTTTTTTTTGATAATTACATTCTATTGTAATATCAGTGTTGATTTTCAAGCATTTTTCTTAAGTCTATAGTTTTGAAATTGAGTTTAAAATTTTAGTATTGTAACACTATTTACAATATTAATTATATCTGTGAAAGTTAGCGTCAGTCACCAATTTCATATTCATAGTGACTGCTTTTATATGTATGATGCCTTATCATTTTGTTGTATAAACACCAAGAGATTTGTGGAGTGGTGGCCCCAGTCACAGTCAGAGTGCCTGTTTTTCTATGTATTTTTGACCTATAAACCATCTGTAATTGAGTAAATGTAAGGTAGAGCTGTTAAATGTCATACTGTGGAACATTCCAAACAGAGTGATGACATATTCATAGAAACAAGCAGGTTACAGACCCTCCACCAAGAAAGACAGTGCACCTTTGAATCCTTGTTACCTCTATCAGTGGTTGCAAATGTTTTTAATGTTTTTTGTATTTATGTTTATTTTATCTGCAGACTGAAAATGAGGAGACCATGACGCCCGGGGACACTGTATCCATGGACCCTCAGCTCGAGCGACAGGTGGAGACTATCAGAAACCTGGTGGACTCCTACATCGGCATCGTTAACAAGTCAATAAGAGACCTGATGCCCAAGACTATAATGCATCTTATGATCAACAGTGTAAGACAGTCATGCATTAATACATTCATTTATATGTTCCTTTGTTTTTCATGAGAAGAACTGATCATCTGTTGGTCGGCACAAGGTCAGCTGTGAGACTGATATGACAATGCAACTGATAAAACAATGCATTAGATCCTCCCCAACTTGTTTTAAATAGATTGACACTGTAATGGTCCATGCCACTCAGCACATGTTTTGATTTTGAATTGCTATAACAATACAGTAGAGAACTGTTGCCATGTCAAATCATTCAGAACAGGAATGAATCCTTATGCTGTGAAGCCCATGAATATAATTTAATGATATTCATGTATTCATACATTCAAGAGGTATGGGTGTAGCATTAGTTAGCTTTAGATTTAAGTCAGTATTTACAATCACTCACTCTCACATTTATTCACTAAAAGCAAAGGGAATTTTACAGATTGATATTTTATTTTGCTTTTCTCCACAGGCAAAGGACTTCATCCACTCTGAGCTGTTGGCCTACCTGTACTCGGCCGGGGACCAGGGCAGTCTGATGGAGGAGTCAGCAGAGCAGGCCCAGAGGAGGGATGAGATGTTGCGGATGTACCACGCCCTAAAGGAGGCACTGGTCATTATTGGGGACATCAGTGCCACCACCATCTCCACACCTGTGCCTCCACCCGTCGATGACACCTGGCTCGTCAAGGAACCAAGGTAACAGCCACCGAAAAGCGAGGGCACAGTGTTGTTTAACTATAATCATCAACTCAGTTCTGAATAGACTACCATATCATGCTCGCTCAAAGCTTTTACCACCCAGACAGGTGAAGCAAATCTTTTAGTAAATGGGATTAAGTTGAAGTTTTGTGCACATTAGTATTTTGTACACAAAGAAAAGCAGCTCCTAATATTTTTATATTATCCCACGATAAGATGTTTTTTTTTTTTTTAATCATTGTAGTCACTACTTCAGTGTACGTAATTATTGAAAGTATTCACTGAACTAGTGAAATCTAAATGTACTAGTTCTGAAATAGCTCATGTTCATTCTAAAACAATTTAGGCTTTTTTTTTTCAGTATCAATTCCTGTTCAAATAGGAAATTTGTTTTTTTTGTACTTCTATCTATTTAGAATTGTAGTTAGAAGTGGACATGTAAATCAGACAAGTTTTACCTTATTGTGAAGATGAGAGAAAAGAGTGAAGATTTTGCAGATACATCATTTTGAGGGAATAATCAGTTATACAATTATAGTATACTATATTAAAATATAAGATTATATACTGGTGTAAATACAATTACATGTCTTACATAACATGGCACTTTAGCTATATCTATTCCTAACTGCTATAAACCTATGCAGTGACTTCATCTGCTTCTGCTGTCTGTATCCAAAACAGTATTTAAGTCAAATAATCTCTAATATATGTTAGTTGTATATTTAATTTGCCTTTATTTTATTGTATTTTACATCATGTGTCTTTCTCAGTCCACCTCCAGCAGCTAGACCCACTGCTGCAGCAACAGGACCCCCTCCAAGCCGACCGAGGGGCCCTGCTCCTGGGACTCAGCCTCCTCTGAACCCCTCTCCGGCATTTGGAGGTCCACCAGTGCCCTCCCGCCCCGGACCACCACCCGCCCAGCCCACCTACACCGACCCCAGCGCTGGACAGGTCCCACTGATCCCATCTAGACCGGCCCGTGTACCACCTGCTCTGCCCCCCGGAATCCCCAGGTAAAAGATGGCATTTCTCAGGGTGATTTGAATGATTGTGAACCCCCATTTCAAGAAAGTTGGGATCCAGTGTGAAAAATGCCATGACCTACAAATCTCATTTTGTTTAAATCTGGCTTTTCCCTCTATTTTATGAAAAAAAAAAAACTAAAAAAGGTCAGGGATAGCTTGGATTTATGCTAACTTTGACTTTCTACACTTCTAAAGTATCACAGATAAATGCAATAATAGCATAGATATATAACAGCAAATATATATCTGATGTGTTATCTTCTGCTGTACACTAAATTAGTGCCCATGTTTTACTCTGTCCTGCTTTGTTTTGAATTGGGGATATGGACTGCTTGTGGTATCTCGGGCCTCTGGTGCATGACTGCATGTCTCTCCTCTTTCCTGTCTCTTCCTGCAGCAGACGACCTCCAGCTGCTCCCAACCGGCCCACTGTCATTCGCCCCTCAGAGCCCTCCCTGCTCGACTAGAGACACAGATCCTATAACACACCTGGTTTACATTTTGTATGTACTAGGATGTAGGTGAACCCAGTATAAAAGTGTACTTAAGTGACCTTTTGCAGTTGGTGATGTGCTGTCTGTGCATTTCAGAAACTTTATGTATGTAATTTTGTCTGTATGTGTAGATAGCTTTTTTAACAAAAAGGAAACTTTATTTGGTAAAAAAAAAAAAGTTTACTGGCCTTGATTTTTTTTTAGAAACAAGATTTTAATGCACATATGTCTTAAAGTAATATTATGTTACAGTTTATATGATGTAATCAGTTGACATTTTTAACTAACAATTTCAATTATGAACTAAATTTTCAAAGCACCTCAAAGATGTTTGTATTTTGACTATTTCAGTGAAATAAGTTAGCCCTAGATGTTTTTTTAAACAATTCATTTATTTAGAAAGTTTCGGCAATCTACTTCCATAAAGGTTTGATACTTTTTTCTTGTATAATTGTCACAAAAATAAACAAAATACATGGGAGCAGCTACCTTTCAAATGTGGTTGTAAAGTGACTATTTCATTCAACTTTTAGCCTTAATATGGAAATCCATTAAAAAAAAAAAAAAGTCATCATTATTTTAAAGCCATAGTGTTTTAAGACCTGTGTCATTGGAGGATGTTTGAAGGGACGGACAAAATAAAGGGATAAAAAGTGACTTTTTGCTTCATTTTTAACATGAAAGTATCTTTAGTCATGGCTGTGATTAACACTCATAATTTTCCACATTATCCATTGCACAACATTGTATCCAGACACAAGAGGGCACAGGCTGGTGTGCTGAGGTCACATCTAGCATAATAACTATACTAAGCAATATGCAAATCTAGGAATATGTGACAAATACTTTGTTGGTCAAAGCAAAAATAAGAACCATGAGTAAGTCCCAGTTTCATTTGGAACTTGAGTTTTTCACAATTGCAGCAGTCTTTACATCATCCTCTAGTGGAAAAATTCTGAGGCTGGAACGTTAATACATGAAGTTTAGAGTAACACTCCAAATAGTATAATAAATGTATGTAGTAAAATGGTAAATGGAGTTAACTAGAAGATACACAGAGATGTTAAATGAGAAGCAAAGATAAATTTTTGGGAACATTTTGAGCATTGCAGCAGAGCATTTTCCTGGTGCCTTTTTTATTTCTTCAAAAGGCTCCGAGTTTCCATAGTAACTAAAGTGTGGGACATCATCACAGCTGGTTTGTGTCCTATTGTTGAGAGTTCCATAGACACAAATAAGGACTTGTTCTGAATGAAGAATTAAAGACATCTGGGGACATAAACTTGAACCTTTGTTTTGTGCTTATGGTCTCCTCAGGCCTGCTCCACAGATCCCGCCTCGTCCAAACCCCTGGTGAAGGAGGCTCACCATGGACCACACAGCACCCATACCAATGTCTCAGTCAAGAATGTATTATAAACTTTGACATTTAAGTTCAGGAAATAAACATTTGAGAAAATCCAATGTTGCACTTTCTCATCTTTACTCTGTTGCTTTGGATAAACCATTAAGAAGTGTTTTATAATACCAGGTATGAAATATTATAAGAAAATAAAACATTTAAATAAATTTTGTATTATAAAAAAGGCTTTTATTCAGTTAACTGGTGTGATCACTGTACCTTTTCAAAGTATATTCTTTGTGAAACAACAGAAACAGTACAACACTTACAACTTGCAAATGATTTGACACATTGCATATGTAAATTTTTTCTTGAAATAAAAATATAATTTTACATTCTTAAATCTCCACAGCACACAGCTGCCCTGGCACAGTCAGTAACAAAACTTTATTGATGAAGCTTCTAAAAAAAACAAAAACAAAATGAAAATGCACATTAAAATATGAACATTCTATTGCACAATAGTTTCCTCTACGATCGTTTAAGGAATAAACTGCATAATTTTCCTAACCACCACGAAGTTTCACATCAGTATTTTGTGACTTTTTTTTCCAAATGCATTGCAATTTGGATTGTACAGATTCAGACACAAGCCATCTGATAAAAGTATTGCAGTATAAAAACTCTGCAAGAGTTCATTTATGTGCAGACTCTCCGCTTATCATCAAACAGTTTTCGTACAGTGTAAACCTAAAACAGACAAGACAGCAGACATTAGTATCACTGTGTTTGTGAATGTTTTGATATTATTTTATCACAAAACAGTAGGAGGTTCTTTTTTTAGTAGGAGATGTATTTATCGTGTTGACATGTTTTTGCTGCTAACTACAAGTCTCAGACCTGTCACCGGTGTTGGTGGTGATGTGTCATATATCAGCTGTTGTTACTTCTTGTGGGGGTGTGGTCCTGACCTGACTCCTGTCACCTGATGGTCCCTGGAGGAGGGTGTTCCATGTGTAAGACCCCGCCTTCAAGAAGTAACAACAGTTGATATGTAACATGCCATCACCAACACTGATGACAGTTCTGAGGATGGCTCGCAACTAGTAGCCAAAACATATCAACAAGGTAAATCCATCTACTGTACTGTTATAAATCTTTGTTGATCATTTCAAAAGAAGACAGTTTTGATTGGTGTTGAGGATGTGCTTTGTTATGGCAGTAATAAATCTAAATGGATTTTCTGGTGTAATTTCTGCCACTTGCTTGTCTCATGGAGATGTTATTGCTTTGCCAGGACTCTATCACAGTGTGAAATTAAAAAGCTATATCTTGCTTTTTCCAGTTTTTCTAATACCTTGAAAAACACAGTAAGCATAGGGGTTACCTCTTCATAGGTCTGATGTAACAAAATATGCACCTTTTAGTTATGCATTTTGACACAGACATTGACAGTTCATTTACCTGAGTGAGAGCCACGCACAGCAGGACCACCACACTGGCACAGGACCAAAAGGACACTCTCCACAGGTTGTCCTCTAGAAGGTTTCGGTCCCTCGCCTCAAACGCTCGCAACATTACCTGCATTTGTCGACTGCGCTCCAAACGACGGTGCAAACTGTCCATGGACTCCTGCCAAGATCACAAAAGATGTTACACATAGCAGGATTGCAAAGGGGTAGACACTCTGTGGTAAATCTCCTACAGCATCTTAAGCTTGTAAACATTAGGGAAACAATAGGCTTATAAACACATAATATTTACAGACTTTTTTATTGAAACATAAATTTTTTGAACAACAAAAGGTATTTTAGATAATATAATCCACTACCCTGCTCAGAGTTTATTAAACTGTTGTGTCTGTCCAAATATTAAGTCCCATTTAAAGTATCAAACTAAATAAAACATACTCCGTCAAGTGTCTGCCGTGTTGATCTTCAGATCTTTGTCATAACCTTCTCATCCTAATCCTGTTTTTTTACCGGAGGTTGGTAGAGACTAAAGTAAAATCATCTGAGCTACATCACCAAGTGACATGAAGACACTGGTTGGAAAGAGTCCATCAATTTAATTTCCGACATAGATTTATTCCATTCCATTTACCCTGGAGCTTTTTGGCACTGCTTTTTTTTTTTCCTTTTTTTTTTTTTTATAGAGAAGCCTATTTCCATAGATCCAGGGACAAGGGTCTGTTATGTGAGACACCAATGCCACCCAAACGTAACAGATGTTATTCTTAATAAATAAAATCTAAATCTGTACATGAATTACACTTTTTAAATCATAAGACCAATGTCTGTCAACCATCTTAGGGCCTGGTACAGTTAGACAGCGGAAACATTTTCAGATTGTACTGCTCCGCTCCAAACCAACCCCTGAAAACAAAGCTTATGTGTCAAAGCGTCTTAGTTTTGTGGAGAAGAATGAACATGTCATAATACATTGGTAATTATAAAAGAGAAAACAAAAAAACAAAAACACATACCCGAATGTCATCAAGCTTGTACTCCAGTAAGCTCCCTTCAGGCTCGTCTAGCCCCGCCCACTCATCATCTCCGCCCACATCACCTCCTCTTCCCTCAATGATGATCTCAAAGAACACCAACTTTTCTGAAAACCGGCTGAAACTGTTGTCGAAGCAGATCTGGTAGTCCCCATCCTCTGTGGGTTCCACCCTGAAACAACCAAGACATACCTGATAAAGTCTATATGTGTGTAACTGTCACATGAATTACAATTAGCTAGGGCTGCAATGGTTAAATCGACTAATCGTGATGTTCATTAAATAATCGCAGTATTTTCATAATTGCAATCATTATCTGGGCTATACATGCACATACAAAAATTCCTTTTATAACAAGATGGCAGTATTATCTAAAAAACAAAAAACAATGAACAATTTCAGATTTTTATCAATAACACAGAAGCATTCAGTCACCATATTTAAACACTTAAAGCAGGGGTGTCAAACTCATTTTGGTCCAGGGGCCGTATCCAACCGACTTTGATCCCAAAGGGGCCGGATCAGAAAACTCATGGCATATAAACCCCAAAAATAACAATAAGTTCAAATATTTGTGCAGAAAAACGCAAATCTATTACAATCTATTATAATATTATAATATTATGAACAACCTGAAACTTTCAGAAAAATTCAATTTCAACACAATGTTTTAACATGAACTTGTGTGTAAATAGGAATAAGTCAATTTTTGTTGTAAAATCCTGCACTCGGCTCCACTTTTCTCATGTTGGACATTTTTCTGATGAGGGTGTCACGGTCAACAGTCAAAACGATCGTTCTTTAAGAGCGTTTGGAAAGAGACAAGTCTTCATTTGTGCTGCTCTGGTGGGAGGGGCCACGTACAGAGATGCTGCTGTGATAAACACCACAGAAAATTAACAATATATTAATAGAAAATATAATTAAAATATTTTAGTAGAAAATCACCCAAGGGCCACATTAAAGGTCTTGGGGGGCCGGATCTGGCCCCCGGGCCTTATGTTTGACACCTGTGACTTAAAGGATTAAAAAAGCATTTAAAAAATTCTAAATTTTTGTTTTATTTGGCTTAATATTTTGTAAATATGATGGGCTTACAGTATCAGTGTTTTAAATGTATCTTCAAGTTTACAGTAAAATTTTCTGTAGCAAGATCTTAAAATGTATTATCTTTAAGTCAGGCTTTATGAATGGGACAGTGTGAACAGCCAAATCTGATGTACGCAGGACATGTGTGGTAGACTTACACTTGAACTCCATCAGAGCGTCGAGATTCAAAGAACAGACTTATGCCATGCGGAGAGATTATGGAGAAGTCCACATCCATTCCAGCACCTGCTATCACCTGCACAAGAACATGAGAAGCAAGTCACTTTATGGTTGGTTCTTCAATTAAGACACTCCCACTAAGCAAACATCAAGCAGGATGATGAACACTTTACACTTTGTAAACAAAATAAGAAACACAGGCCAAATTCAAAATGGTTTAATATTGATACCTGACTAATCGAAAATATTAAAGGTTCAAATGGGAGTAAAAGACAAAGCCATGAATACATGAATAATACTTATTTAAAAGAATCAAGAGGATAGTTTTAGTTCTTGGTCGACCAATACATCAGCAACTAAATTAAACTTTTTGGTTGCTTGTTTCTATAGATAGGTCACTGCTCTGACTGTAATCTTCCACAAACAATTATATTTTATTTATTTATTTTTTCTTTCAATTAGGTGGTTTTATAGCTCAAAAATACCTTAAAAAAAACAGGCATTCTAACTGTGAGCGGGGTCGCCTCTCTACAGATCTGAAATGTCTATATTGACCTTGGTCTGGTTTGGTCTCCATGAAAATAGAAAGATTTAATGCCACACTGTGAAACATTTCAGACAAAGCAATAACATCTCCATGGAAAAAAGCATGTAATAGGAGGTAATCAGTATCATATTATATCAGTACTGTCTGTGAACTAATACAATTTGTAGTAGGCCTATTAGTAAAACAATATAGCTTATTGGTTCTGTACTTTTTGCATTAAAGAATTTCATAGTGACACATATAACAAGAAATAAAGTTGCATTAATTAATCAGCATTAGGCTTGTGCAATTAGCATCCCACTATGTAATAATAAGAGAAGGAACTGAAGACGAACGGGTAAATTACACATCAGGAAACTTGTAGCTAGCTTGCTTGTCATCAATTATTGTTGTGACTTGCAGCTAGCTTGCACCGCGCATGTTTTGGTGACCTGCAGAGCACACACGGCTCCAATGTACAAACCAAGTTCCCGTGGACACCTAAAGTGCATTTTAAGTCACCTGATATTCGACTTCCATTGTCCCATTTTTGATTGCAGGTTGAAAAAAACACTCAGATCTTCCGGGTGGTAAAAGATATGTAAATTCGCTGTCCAGGTTCCCACCAAAGCATTGCACTGGCCTCAAACAACATCCCAAGATCACGATCAGGACGAGCCATTGTCCCCACGCCCATGTTTTCCACCGGAGAGAGTTCATCTTTTTGTAGCTTTTTGTACACACGGGGCTATCTGAGTTGAGCCATGTCCTTAGCATCCTTCTTCCGCAGAATAACTTTGTGCCTGTGTGATTGGACAAGAGCTTTGCAGAGGGGACCCAATCAGAGGGCGAATAGTGGCCATCTTTCTCCAATCATCACAGCCTCATTTAAATAGAAAATAGCCCTTTTATAGAAATGCAAATACTTAGAATACTTAGAATAGAAAATGTGTAATCGTATAGGCCTACTTTAAAGGGCCTCTACTTTCTGATCTGTGTTATAATGTTGTTTCCTCATCAAAACCGTGGACTTGAAACTTGGAGTTGTGTTTTGTTTCATTCACATATGTTTAAAACACAAGCTCTGCACACTTACATTGAGCTCTTCTCTCAAATAGACAATACCCTGCTCCACCTTGTGATGTCATGTGGTATACAGGAAGTGCACCACTGTGTTTTTAAATTCCATACACAATTATTGGAATAATTTGGATGATTTCAGCCCTGGAATTGCCTATATCAGCTGAACAAAAGGTTAAAGTTAGCTGTTAATTTGAAAACTACCACTACATGACATCACAAGGAGGAGCAGAGCATTTTGAGTTTTGGAGACTAATAGTAAAGGATTACTCAAACATGTGTGAATGAAACAAAACACAACTTCAGGTATGTCTAACAAGATTCAATTATGCATAATATAGGACCTTTAAGTAAGCATACACTTTGAGAATACTATTATCCTATGGCCTTACAAAATGGATTGGGTAGTCTAGTTTTTGTTTCTTTATGTTTTTTGTTAGCTTGTTTGTTTGTTTGTTTTGTTTTGTTTACATCGCTCTATGCAAAGGGAATTCAGGGCATCCAGTTTATCATTGGGCACAACAGTCAACCACTAAAACAAGGAAACATTTTGTGTTCAAAGGTCTATATTACGTAGAATGTACTTTTAAATTTTACTTTTTTAGAATTAACTTTTTAGATTTTAGCCATGTTATAATGTTGTATCTCATCAAAAACATACCTGGAGTTGTGTTTTGTTTCATTCACACATATTTATGTAACCCTTATTTCTTATTATTCATCTGTCTACATCTCCAGAGCTCAAAATGCTCTGTTCCACCTTGTGATGTCACAAAGCCATATGAGTTTTCAAGATAAAAGATTCCTTTTACCTTATGTTTAGTAATGATGGGAAATTCCAGGTCTGAAATTGTGCAGATGAAAAGTGACAAATGAAAGTGTATGGAGTATAAACACACAGTGTAGTACTTACTTCCTGTAATACCACATGACAAAGCTTAAATATGCTAGGTTTGTGTGTTAAAAATGTAAATGATACAAAACACAACTTTGGGAATGTTTTTGATGAGGAAACAAACAACATTATAACATAGATGAGAAACACAACATATATGGTTATGTTTTTCACAATATAGATAGTTTTCAATCTTTGGTCTTCAGTCAAATAATAATTAATATCCATTATGTAGAGTAGTGGTTATTTTTAAGGACCTCAAGGTCTGTTTGAATGCTATAACGTGTCCGTTCATATGTGGCTATAGTATGATTTAAATGACAGGCATTTGATGACTGACTTCCTCCAGTACTCCCTGACTCTAGCTATCTTTGCTGTACACTTTGTGGCATTATGTGGTTTTCATTCACCCAAGGTACAAACAACCAATTGCACAGCATCACAGTTTTTCTACTCTCTGGTTTGTCACTATGTAATATGGGTGAGAGTTGAGAAGGGAAATTTGTGAATACTCACTTTGAAGTCTCTTAGAAAGTTTTGACTTCAATTGTTCTAGATAAATTATGTAGAGCAGACTCAATACATACAATATCACAGAATGTGTCTGCATTCTATTGCCTACATGTTTAACATAGAATTGACTTGACAGATAAATTCAAACTCAATTTTGCTATTTGAGTAAAAGTACAGATACTGGAACAAAAAAGTATTCAAATAAAAGAATCACATGAAAATATACTTCAGTAAAAGCATTAAAGTATGTGTTTGTGTGCTTAAAGAGTAAAAAATAAAAGTATTTCCCACAGATTATGAGATCTGATAAAGCTTCAAATATAGTGATTTTAATAAAGATTTGTGCTGAATTTGTTGAATTGAAATTTTTTTATTTCCTTAGACTATGAATGTGTGAAAAAATAAACCCTCAGCCTTTTCAGCAGGTCTCAAACAATAATTTTAAAAAATACTTTCACTTTTCAGTCCTGTTCCAAGATGCAGTGGAGTAGAACGTATCGATACTTGCTCTCACATGCAGTAAAATAAAAGTTAAAAATAGCCACTTTAAATTTACTAAAGTAAAGAACAGATACCTAAAATGTATATTTAAGTACAGTACTTTACCACTTCTACTTTGTACTACCACCTGAGTCAGATTTGCTTTTTTAAATACTGATTATAATATATGAATTTATATTTTTTGAACCCAGCTATTCATTGTCATGTGAAAGCCTATTTAAAGACATTGAAGACAAATGACTTGGGAGATAGTCATGGAACATCAACAACAATAATATCTTAAAAGCTAAAGAGGAAGTGATGACACTCCTGTGAAAACTTTTACAAAGCTGTTGCTGAAACCTCAAAACCTTTCTTTGTCCTTTTGGCAAATATTTTGCAAGACCACTATCAAGTTTCAGATTTATTATGACATATCACGACCAATGGGGAGGATGGGACAATTTTCAGTATTACAACATACTGCCTGATAATCAACAGTCTGAGAGTAGAGATCAAACTGTTTGCAAGATTCTCAGAAAGTGAAAAATAGAAACAGGCATAGAAAAATCTTCTTCAATAAGAGGGACACAAAAATGGGGGAAATGTCAAATACAGAATGAAATAGTAGTAGCTGCTACGGGGACTGCCCCTTAACAGCCCTGCTACTGCTTTCTCTCTTGACTCCGTGCCATCTTTGGTTCCTCCTACTTAAACTTACACACTATCAGCGGAGAGCTCAAGTATTAAGCTCCTATAGCGCAGAGGGACAGCTTTGTTTTAGAAGAGGTAAAATATTCAGTCCAGATGCAACTATGTATTTTGTTTTTTATATTGTTTTATTTTACTATTTTTGCCTTGACACCTGCCAATTTAATTATGATTATGTTTTAAGGGCAATCATGTGTTGCTGAATGAATGACTGAAGAAAGTTTTGAGTTGGATTCTAAAGAGTTGTTTTTTTCAAGAAAGTAAACAAAGGTAAGATCCAAACTTTCATATCTTGATGTCAAAACACAGGCCTATAGATAAGTGTGCAGGCTTAGCTGCTGCTGTTTGAATACCTGTTTTATATTAGCCACCATTGCTTATAGTTTAACACTGAGATGGAGGGCAAGTTGAATAGCAGAATTAGACTTTTAACTGTTTGTAATCCAGATGTTTTGACTCATGGTTAATTTCTTTATAATTACTTGACTTTTCCCAGTGGAGCAAAAACTGGCTAATGTCACAAATGAACAAAGGTGAAATTATTTGTATGTAAAAAGAGGTGCCATCATTCAAACACAAGGCTCTGTTGCCATATGAAAGTCTAGATTATTACTGCAAGTTTGTGTAACCAATCCTTAATTTATAATGATAAAGTCCAACATTTGTTTGTTTTCATAAAAAAGAAGAAGAGATCCACTGCTCATAAAAAATGTGAACACAATGAACAGAACTTATTGTCTTTCTTTCTCTGCTGTGTTTGTTGTTCAGTCTGACCAGTAGTTTGTCTATCACAGGTACTTCTTGTGTGGCATGGCAGAGGACCGTGGTCCCCAGATTTTTGTGGTGGACCAACCAACCAGCAACACACAGCTGCCAATCAGACAGAAACCCTTATGGATGAGGGCACAACATAAACTTATATTGCCCCTGTTTGCTGTGGTCATGTTTGGACTTGCCTTGGAGGGGATTTACATCTACAGACTGCACAAAAGGACAGAGGTGAGACCGGTGTCTGTCTGATACGATGGCAATGTGGTTTGGCCAATGTGGAAATTCCTCCCCTCTTTCCCTACGTCACTAAAGGCACTCTCAGCTTGCAGCCAGGTCACATATGACGAATGATTGAATCCTTCTCTAATTTAGTTCCCCCTTTCACTCTCTAGCATTGCTTCACTTTTAAATGACAACATACTAATCTGAGGCTCACATTTAACAAATAATGCTTCTAAATATGTGTTGTTTTCATTGGCATCATATAGGAATTGTTCCTGTCTCATCATCTCCAACTGCAGAACCAGTCAAGCCCCCATGAAGCTGCTGTAAGTGCATATCCTTTGCATATCCAGTGTTATGTCCAGTGAAAACATATTCTGAGCTTTCCTCTGTTTCAGGGTAATAAACTGGAACAAGTGGCACCTATAAGTAATAATTTATATTACTGGACAAATATTCATTTTGTAATTACTTAAATGTTCATAGTTTCTGATTTTTGTCCACAGTGTCCAATGAGGTCCCTACAGAACTATTGCATCCACAAGAGATAACAGAAAGACCAATGGCACATCTTCAAGGTTAGTGCTTTAAATAATAGAAATATAAAATTTAAATGTAATGAGTCAATTCTTTTCAGAAGCATTTTAATGCATGTTCATTCTTATTGTAGGCTCAGATACAGTTGGTGAAGATGGTGTGGTCCAGTGGGTCAAAAATAGTGATGGCTTCATCAGTCACATTGGATACAACAGCAGTGGGCTGGTGATAAAGAGAAATGGCTTCTACTATCTGTACTCTAAAGTGCACTTCCAGGAGACAGAGGACTGTGTGATGGTCAACCACAGGGTCATCAGAAACACCACGGAGTACGGGCTGCCCATCGAGCTCATGAAGTCTGAAAGGTACACAGCCTCAGACCTGTGCCTGCTTTTTCATGAATAAGAAGCTTACACATGCAGCTTTCATTTGTTTGTTTTTTTTGTTTGTTTTTTTGCTTTTTTTTTACAGTCTCCATTGCCGCAATGAACGTCAAAACCAGAAGAATTCAAGAAAGCAGACAGATTTGTGGAACAGTTTTCTTGCTGGAGTCTTCAAGCTGGAAACTGGAGATCACATTTTTGTAAAGCTGGACAAAGGATTGTACCCAGGGCCAGATGATAACTTTTTTGGAGCTTTCAAGATTATTTAGTGTAATTTAAAAAAATCTGTTTAGGGGCATGTTCATGGAGATACATTTTGTGCCTTGAGAATTTTTGTATGTAATAGCATACACCCAAGTAGCTGATATTCAGAATTATTATTTATTGTTTGACGTGAAAATAAAGTGTTATTGAAATTGCAGTCTCAACAGATTGTATTTGCGATAGTGCATTGTGCACAAATATCTGCATGTTTCAGCTCAACCGCAGGAACAGACTTGTTTGTGTACACAGTAAATAGACAGCAGCACCTGAGAGTATGGGTGACAGCAGGATGTGGTCAGAAGGATGCATTGAGAAAGCCTGAGTCAGCTCTTCTCACAGTTTGCAGGGAAACTTCTGCGCCTCATGGAAACAATGCTCTGCATTTACAAATAGTTTAACACCCGAAAGGGAATGTGCCAGAGAAGGATAAGAAAAGAACCAACAAAAGTGACCACAAGTGCAACCACTAAACTAGGAGCACTACACCTGCCCCATGTGGGTCATGTCCTGTTCTGAGAAACACACACATGTAACAAACACTTTCTGTGGTTACAAAATGCACCTACTGTTGACCAAATTCACCATATAAAATAGATGCTGCAGAGCTATTGTACTGTTTAGAATAATCAATATAATTCATATACTAATAAAGTAATATGTCAGGTTTCATAATAATACAATAACTCAAGATAGTTGCTTCAGAAGCTCTGACAATTTTAAGTCATAGCAAAAGCATAACAAAATAAAACAAGTCACAATCTACTCTATAATGAGCCTTCACGTGTTCTCACAATCAAATGCACAAAGAAAATGTTTACTTTGCACATTAAAAAATAATGGTTTAGATTTTCTTTCCATAACTTTTGTCTGAGGAGAACACGCATGCAGGCTCAGTTGGTAGAGCATTCGCCCACTGATCTGAAGGTTGGTGGTTCGAATCCAGCTCTCAACATAAACATCACAGGTTGAGCGGTCAGATCCACTGACCCACAGGTTGGCTGGTGTGATTCCAGCTCCCACAGATGAATGCTGCCGTTGTGTCCTTGGGCAAGACACTTAACCCACCTTGCCCACAGTGTCTGCGTACACTGGTGTGTGAATGTGTGTGTGAATGGGTGAGTGGTTCCTTGTTGTAAAGCGCTTTGAGTGCCTTGAAGGTGGAAAAGCGCTATAGAAAAATGTGACCATTTACCATTTATAAGAGCAGTGAATAAGTCAATCTCAATAGATTTATTGTTATTATTTTATGGACAGTACACACATTGGTCAGGTATTTTAGCATTTATTCAATATGTCAAAAAACACAAAATTTTCAAGAGCAATAAAGATCCTTATAAGTGTCAAATCATTTGTTACATACATTAAATATCAAATCTACACTAAAACAATATGTTTTGTTTATTTCTAGATAACTGAAAAATCAGCTCTTTATTGTGTACCCACAAAGTAAATAAACAGGAAGTTATGCTGATCTAGTTCCCGGCATGAGCTACTTCGACAGGGAACTTTCCCACTACAGACAACTATTCTTTTCCATTCAAGGGTTTGCCATGGTCACTTTCTCATATTGTTCACAAATTGTACAGAATTGCAGTGATATTCATGTAGCTTTCTTTAATTGTATAATGTGAATGTTTTAATACTCCCATTGATAATTCATGACATAAGGCAAGGACGCATTCTGACACCACTGATTTAAAAACTATTCAAGAAACAGCAGCAGAATAGTCATCAAGACACCCTTTATAAAATATAAAATAAATAGACCCATAAGGTCTTACAAAATATTTTTTGAGGAAGCGGAGACTGCAGTGTTTAACACTTAATACAAGTTACAACACTAATGTAGTGTAATTATTTTTAACATCTTAAAATACAATAAATAAATAAATACAATCATAAGTCTCAATAAATATAGCCCATAATAATTACATAGTTCTGACCCACTTAGACACTTAGATGAGCTTCTGTAGCCCCTATACTGTCTTTCACCAGTTACACAGTCATTACACAGTCTGGGTTGGTCGTGTTTTCTCCACCAGAAACAAACCAACGCCGGAGCCTCTGAGCTCCAGTTTCCAGTGGTGGAGTGGCCCATGGGGGAGGAACATGTCGGTTAGCAGGTGCGTGTCCTTGCTCACAGGCTTCACCGTCCAGCATTTCTTCTGTACATTGTGGGAGTCCGAGGAGTTTGGGAGCTTCACTTCGCAGCTCAGTTTGTCGGACACCTGGACCGTGAAGAGACCCGGTCGGCAGCGATAAAGACATGTGACATTCAGCTCCACGTACATGAAGTAGATACCGTCCTGCTTGACTGTCAGGGAGTGGTGTACAGGGTGGAACTCAAAGTTACTTCCCACAGATGTCCTAGACAGAAATGAGACATACTCCAAAGGCATAGTATGATTTTTCAGCTCACCTACAGGGGGGGACAAAAACACAGAATTTAGGACACTTGTAATTTTTCCCATAATAGTAACTAAAAGTCTTCCCTAAAGTGTTTGTGCCACAGTGAATTACCAAGAGATGTAATGTAGTGGAACACATACAGTATATTTTAACAGCTAATAATTAACCAAAATGTCCTTTTTACTAAACCTAAACCACTGCATCTTAAATGTTTTGTCCCCTGTGTGTGCACTCACGTATTAAAAAAGACAGCAAACAAACCAATTTGCCTTATTTAATAACTAAAGTAGGACATGTGCACTATCTGGAATAAAAATCAAAACACAAACATTTGTAGCTCTTTCTAGCCCCCTAAAGCATTTCAATATCCACAAATATTTAACATGGAACATTAAGATAAAAATTATGAGTAAAATAGGTTTTATTTAATAAGCATTTTGTTAACAGAAGAAAATGTAACTTGTGTGTAAATTGTTTTATGTAGATGAGTTTTTTATGTAAAATGTGTTGACAATCAATAAATACGGAGTGAAACCAGAATAATTATTTGGCTCCTTTTTTACTCCTTCTCAAACATATTGTGACTTAATGAGTGCTACACCGCATTGTTATTGTTGTTCTTAATGTTTGAGACAAATACATTTCGCCCATTAATTCATTCATATCTTAGGTCAGTTAAGTGAATTACTTACTTAACGTTGCTTCCAGATAAGCAAAATTCTTCATCTGTTAGAAGGAGAGAAAAACAAAGCCTGTCAATAAATGCAAAGTGTAGCTCCCATTAAGAGAGAAAAAAAACTTACAGGCTAAAAATTGTAAAAATATGAAAGAAAATAAATCTAATCACCTTAATGATATTGTCAGGGGCGTCTCCTGTGACCTTTTCCATCATGAACTCCGGGAGTGAGGATGGCATGAGCTTATGTTCCAGATCTTGAACCACTAGGACCCCTAGGACTGCAAGAGTCGCCATTCCAGTGAACAAAACTATGACCGAGATAACCAGGCAGCAGTCCAGACACCGGCCGCGGCGAGGGCCTTCTTTCTGCAGAGACTCAGCGTCCATCGTGTCATTTGGTGCCATTATGACAATGTCCTCTTCGTTCACGTATCAAAATTTAAAAACACAAAGCAACGACGTATAACCAATCAAGCATGTGATGTGTCCTGTGTCTATGCGGCCCCTGTGCGCCAGACTCCACAGGCCGTGGATTATAAAGCTTTAGAAGGGGTGGCGCGGTAAAAGGCTGTGCAGTAGTCGGTGTAGTGTTTGTTATGCCTCTTACAGGGACTTTTATGCACCCTATAGGCTAGTTTCAGTGTGGGAGGATAAACGGAAGTCATGGGTTTCCCTCTCGCGTTGTCACATACGCCCCGGACCTCCATCACAGGTTTTAGAGGCTATGAGGACACGAGAAAAGTAAACTTTCCGCGGCTTTCTCTGCCCTTGCGCAAGGAGCGCAAGTGGAAAACGAAAACTCTCAGTCGGAGGAAAAGCTCTCAAGACACCATCATCGCTGAATAAGACCGAGAATGAAGATTGATAAACTCAATTTAAATATTATCTAAACTACACAGTATAGCCCATATAGCCCATTCAATAGGTCACAGCCTGAATATTTATTCGTCTAAACTCATAGCCCATTTTTTGTGTTTCAAAAAGCTTATTGCTGGGTTTCAGATGGCATCCCAACATTCTATATGCCAATAATATTTTATACAGATGGAGACATATGCATATTGTTAAAATGAGGATTTTCTTTTCTTTTTATAATACAGTGAGTTCTTACAGGGGCAAAACCTACCACTGTAACCAATGGAGAAAACTGTCTCTTGCCCTCCATCTGGCAGTATGGGATTATCACATTCAAGAATCGTTTTCCTACTCTTACTGGCTGTGGTTACATGCAGGTAATATTATTAAATGATTTCTGGACCTATAAGATGGAACTTAACTCACATGCAAACCACAAATCCGGCTTGAGTGACCAGAAAGAAATCAGCTGATTTTGCTATTTACATCAGATTTTTAATGGTCTTATAACTTCAAAAATCAGGTAATTATATTTTACAGTGTGTATATAAAGGCAGCCGCTGTCACTGGAAAAGGTGGTGTAGTGTGCGGCCTACACATACAGACTATTCTATTCTATTCTATTCTATTTCTATTCTATTCTATATTTTCATCACTGAGCAACCTGAAGTAGCCTGTGCCAAGTGCCTAGCAAAGCTCATCAATTCCCAGCCAGGGCCAGGAGACCGGGTGTACCGCAGAGCCAAAGGTGATTCATCCCCCGTTTGGACTAAACCATTCTATGGACAGAGTAACATAGATGAACACTTTGCACCTACTCATTCATGTGAGATTTGTGTGGATATCTCTCTCTTTCTTGTCTTTTTACAAAATTCACAAATTAATGAGGAAATGGAGCTTTGTGGAGATGTCCTAAGCACCTGGAGGATGGCCTCTCCAGGAAAATGATCGTGTGCTTCGATGACAAGGGCAGATTCAGAGTCAACTTTAAATCTCATACTTATGATTTTTAAACTCGTAATTATGAGTTTAAAACCCGTAACTATGACTTGAGTTTAAAACTCAAAATTATGAGTTTAAAACTCATAATGATGATTTTAAACTCATAATTATGAGGTTTTAACTCGTAATTATGACTTTTAAACTCATAATTATTACTTTAAAACTTGAAATTATGAGTTTAAAACTCGTAATTATGAATTTCTGTGAGGCTTTTATTTTTTATTTACTGGTGGAAATGGGCTTCCATAAGCACCAGAGGGTGCAGTGAGTTAGTCACACATAAGACACAGGGAAATCCCCAAATGGTGAGAGTCAAAACAGAGAGAAAATGCTGCAGTTACTTGTATTTCCCTGTAGTTTTGCCAAATGCTCTGAACTTTCACTTTTAAATTACTGTGTGTAAGCAAGACTCATATTTGTAAACAGATATTCACACAGAACACACGGTTATGCACCATTTCATACAGGCTACCTTTAGGCATTCCTTTGAACAAAAAACATGTTTGCGTATAGCTTCTATAGAGTAAACCTTCCAGCAAACCAAGTCCAGACTCTGACCATTGTGTCTCAGAATGGTTTTCTGACCAGTCTGAGCATCACTTAAGTTGGGTTACTCTGTAAAAGAGGGGATATTACACTTTTCACTTCTAACATTTTTAGATCATATTACCTTTTATTGTTATGAAAATGCAAAGTCCGCCTTTCCTGTTGTGTTCACCTGACTCCCCTGGACCCTGCTGTGATGCTGCAGGACACAGAGCAGAGGAGAGAGACTTTTGTCCTCCCCTCAACACAGGATCCACTGACACTCTTAAACTGCTTTGAGACTTTTGACTGAGATACAAAGGCGAGTGAAAAGTGCAGTGTAAATGTTGTAGAAAAACTTAAATTTCCCTCAGGATCAATAAAGTATCTCTCTCTCTCACTGTCTCTCTCTGTCTCTTTCTCTCTCAGTCTCTCTCTCTGTCTGTCTGTCTCTTTCTCTCTCAGTCTCTCTCTCTGTCTGTCTGTCTCTTTCTCTCTCAGTCTCTCTCTCTGTCTGTCTGTCTCTTTCTCTCTCAGTCTCTCTCTCTGTCTGTCTGTCTCTTTCTCTCTCAGTCTCTCTCTCTGTCTGTCTGTCTCTTTCTCTCTCAGTCTCTCTCTCTGTCTGTCTGTCTCTCTCTCTCAGATTAGCAATTTGTGTTGAGGGGATGTTTGGAATCGCTGAGGAAAGAGGAACTGTCTTGGTTTGACACACAGAAAGAGGTGACTGTTACGGTATTTATGCTGCTGCAACTATTTTAAGTAAACTATGAAATCATTGCAGAGGTGCATGTGGTTGTTTGTGGTCATATAATGTAATACAGTCATGTTATACTGAAATAGTGTGTTGTCCTTATCTTAGATACCACTTTTTTAATCAGACAGACATATTTGTGTGAGTGTGACTGAACATCTAGAGATGGAGGAGATGGTAAAATACGACTAATTTAAATGCATCCTTAGACATCCTTATATGTAAATGAATGAGAGAGTCAGTTAATGATTGTCTGTTAACTCTGTCTGGAATGGACACAGGTTTATTTTAGTATGTATCACACACTGTGGACAATTGGACTTTTTTCAGCAGTGGGTGTGTGGGTGTAACGCAGGCCTACTCATATACTCTGTCACACAAAAAAACCCTTCCCTCATTATTTTAATCATTTTATATACTTATCTTTCACAATTATAGCAACATGAGTAGTGAAAGTGAAAGGCATAAATCCAGGGCGTTATTGCTGTCATGTAGCTGCAATGATTCCATTTGATTACATAATTATGAAATGTTGGTTTTGCATTCCAAGGGCACTGTGTTTGTTTTTGAAGATTTTAAGATGTAATGATATTTTTTGTGTGTTTTTTATTTCCCAGTTTGCTGATTCACAAATAATGTTAGAAACCCTCAAAAAGGAAGTGGTTTGAGTGAGAAAAAAGTCACGCTAAAATAAATGAAAAACCTACTATTGCTGTTATGATCATGTGTTTCAGGGCAAATCCAGAGCTTTTGTTCCTTTATGAAAATTTGAGAATTTGAGAAGTAACGAAAGTCTGAACAAATATTCCACAAAAATTTAAGAATGTCAAATCCTCCAAAGGTATGATTGCCACTGATGATTAATAATAGACTTCATAAATCTTTTACAATAATATTGTCCAACAGTAATTGAGGGAAGTGAAATACTGACAAAGGTTTACTCAAACAATGTGTCAGATGAAAAAGTCTGCCTGGAAGTGAAGTAATCAAACTATTCAGTATTGTACAAGCATAGTGCAATATTCACACAAATTAACTCGAATAAAATAGTTCTTACTATACATGTAATTTAATTTAATATTTTGACATGACGCCATTGCTGTCTCTGTCACCACTGCCATAACCAAGATTAAATACACTGAGCAAAAGGTTTAGCATTGTGTGGCCTTTTTGATGAAATCAATGTCATGTGTGAATCAGGAATTCGTTTGATGCAGGCATATATAGTTCTTTACATTCTTCCATCTAGAGCTAAATCGCGAGGCCAGCAGTGTTTGCAGAGATGCCCAGAATTCCCTCTCCATGCACACTTTCTCCAACACCTCCAGGAAGATCACAAGATGCCCCCCCCCCCCCCCCCCAGCCGTCACAAATCAGCACACCACATTATTTAAACTATAGGCAAGATGGGTAAAGTGTCTTCTTGACTAAGAGTCCTGCTGTCTCAAGAGCTACTCAGGGCCAACTCTGCTTAGCTTTTGAGATCAGAGACCGGGCATTCTCAAAGTGGTAAGGCCGCAAATAAAACACAGAATAAAACGCAGACTGAAATGACATAGATATCTGTAGACAGGTATGAGCTATAAAAGTGTTATTCATCAAAGCTGTTAAAACGTTGTCGAAAAGTGTCAGATTGGCTATGCAATAATGTTGACTAAACCTACTATTGTGAAAATCTTGCCTACCTCTATAAAAGTGCATTTTAGTACAAATGACGGAGCATTTGATGTAATTGATAATCACAGTTCACGTGAACGAGGGAGGGAGGCAGACGCTCCTGCGGGACTTTCGCAATTCACTTTCTCCAGGGTACTATGCACATTGCATAGCTGCGCAGTGACGGCGGCGCGCAACCAGTCCGGACGAGTCCTGCTCTGATTGTGATGGAAGAGGATACGTAACACGTAACTTTCTCAGAAGTGACACATACAATGGGAATTATATGCAACTACTATAAAAGCGTGACAGCTTTAGTGAGCATGTGCACATCTCTGCGCTGACTCCCTCAAAAGCGCATATTTTTCCATGTGAACAAGCTGTACAGTGTGAACTCGGCCGTGATGTTGGATACTTATGGGTCTTCGAGCGCCGCAGTACCCATCCCGAACAGCGCTGACCTGCAGCTCAAAGTAGCGGCCGGCGGAGGCAGCCTGACAGCAGGAGGGATGGGGCTGGAGACTGGCGCTGGAAAAAAGAAACTCCTGGAGCTTACTGGATCAACTTTATCCAAACGAAAACTTCTGGTTGGATTGGACCTCCTATGCCTCTTCCTCGGTGAGTCTTCTCCCTTTGACACTTTGGGCTGTTGTTATTTATTTAGGCCTAATCAAGTTAACTATTGCTACAGCCTAGTGTAGAAATTAAAAGGTTATCTATAGGCACAAAGTTGTGTCCTTGTGTTTTGAGTTTCCAGTTCATAAGGCTAAATGCCTATAGTATAGTACACAGTGTAAAGTGAAGTTCTACCAAAATTGGAAACAAGAGCGAGGCAATCGAATAACATTATATCGTATACACTTGCCTAAAGCCTGAGACTGTCTTTTGTAATAATAGTGGTGCAGAAAAATGAAATTTAGTTTATTTAAAATTTATTCCAAGTTAAACTTGTTTAGATCACTCACAATCACAGGACGCCCCTCCCTCTGCCCTGGTGCATGCTGGGGGGTTTAGTGCCAGCTGGTTAGTGCGTCGATTTTGTGCGTGCCCGGGGAATTGTATAGTTTCCATGACAACCCGCAGTTCTCACAGCAGAGCTGGACCGTGGGGAATAAAATTTGGATTAAGTAAATTATAAATAGACCACAAGTGGGGATGTATTAAAGCAATAACAATAATTGCATCATGGCCTTCAGCCCTGTCCTTTACAAATGTGATTGTGTTTTAATGGAAGCAAATCTGAACATATTTTTTGTGATATATATATGTGTGTGTGTATATATATATATATATATATATATATATATATATATATATATATATATATATATATATATATATATATATATATGTATGTATGTATGTATATATATATGTGTGTGTGTGTGTGTGTGTGTGTATATATGTATATATATATATACACACATATTATTTCCCTCTCTCTTTCTCTCTCTTGTACTCAGGCATGCAAAACAGAAAGGTCCCGGGACAGTGAGAGGCTTGCCCAGGCCGTTCCTCTGCAGATCTTTTGTTGTTTAGAGTTTAACTGAAGTCACAAACAACCCACTTTTCTTCCCTCATTAACATAATGGGACACACAGCACATGCGCAGTTCAAACTAGGTCTCTGTCAGTATACAGCTCCACTCAGTTATTTTAATCAAGTCTGTATTGAGCTGTTAAAGGGGAGCTCTCTGGGTCTGTGGTCCCAGTGGAGCAGTGTTTTGACCCTTGCATTCCTTATACTTGTCAGAATAGTTCAGTTTTCCAAAGAAGTGAGGGTTCCCATGCAGCACAACCTTTCTCCTAAAGAGCCCTAAATATTTAGTTTTGGAACAACTTACTCAAAAACAACATGAGCTACATTATTTGAAGCTTTTCTTTGAGTACATTTTCAGTAGGCAATATATCTTTTAATTTAAGTAAAATTTTTGTATGAGTTTTTTGAGTTTCATAACATGCTGTCTTTAACACTTGCAAAGCATAACTGTATTAGAAATATTGAACAAATCGAATTCTTCTTTTTTGTCTGTTCTTTCAGCATCCATTCCTTTCTTTGCATGTGAGCTGAAGGCTGTGAGTCCTTACAAAAGAGGGTTTATCTGTGGAGACCCCAGCATCACATACCCATACATCCACAAAGAGGTGATCCCAGATGAGCTGCTCATTGCGGGGGGCATTGTCATCACAGGCCTCACAGTGAGTACCATGTGCAGTATCTTTGAAAAGTACAACTGTGGATTTTGGGTCACAAATCTGTCTTCAAGGTGTACAGATTACATACAATATTCATAAAGATATACAAATAAAATCTATATAGGCTTCTCAGCAGTGTGTAATGACTGGTTGCTGTATCGTTGGGCAAGACACTAAGTCCAGCATGCCACCAGTAAGAAGAGGTGAGTGCCTTTATATAAAAACACTTTGAGTGCCTTGAATGTAGAAAAACACATTTTAACACTTTTACAATTTTAAATGTGTCTAACTTTGCCAATACGTCATGTTAAAACTGCAACTCAAGTAGGACTAAACTGGGAATTGGATCTGGACTACACCAGGACTAGAACAGGATTAAGTCTACATTAGAACTAAACTGGATTCAAACGAGGACCAAGTGAAAACACAATATTTTCTTCACCATTTGATTAATATGAGAAGTATCAGCAATATCAATATGTTATGTAATGCGTTAAGTGTTATGTAAACTTCTTGTTTTTTCTATGTCCAGATTGCACTGGGAGAGTGTTACCGGGTGCGTTTTCATGGCGTGAGTTCGAAGGCCTTCATAAGGAATGTGTATGTGTCCTGTCTGTACAAAGAGCTGGGTTGCTTCCTGTTTGGCTGTTGCATTGGCCAATCATTAACCAACATGGCCAAGCTGAGCGTAGGACGGCTCCGGCCCCATTTCCTGTCTGTGTGTGGCGTGACATATGCATCACTCAACTGCACTACAGGAACTTACGTGGCATCAGTGATCTGCCCTCAATCTGACCATCGCCTGGAAGAGGAGGCCAGGTGAGTGCGGTTAGCAGCAAGGGAAGTAGGCCAGTATCAACACCGTAATTCGTGAAAACAGATAGGTGAATCATCTAACAATACCTTGTTTACGATTGATGTCACCTACATAAAAGGTCACTAATGAGAGGTGCTAGTACTCACTTACATTTACTACTTTTGTTTTGACATCACCATACTTCCTACTGTGAGTAAGGCTAAACTAACTAAACTAGTGGTACTAGTAACTGACAAAAGCTTTAACAAAAACAAAAGCTTTAACAAAAACATTGACAATATTAAAAGATTTGAACATTTGTGTGTTTAAATACTAGGTTTGTGCATTATTCATGTTATGTTTTGTTCTTCCAATTACATTAACTTAAAATTATAAATCAGATGTTGCATCCCAACTTACTCATTAAGTTACTTTTACTTGAGTAGTACTTTTCCCAAATACTTTTTTACTCTTAACAATGTAATGTCTTGGACCACTACACTATACTTCTACTTGAGTAATGTTATTATTACTAATAAGTAATAGTAAGAAGTAGTCTAATGTAACTCTTACTTGAGTACAATTTTGGCAACTTTACCCACCTCTGCCATTGATGAGACTGCTATGGAAAAGTCTTGTATATCTTGAGTATTCTTATGAATATTCAGATCTGTTATAGTCATTACAAATCATCTGAATGTGAGTGAGGTACTAAACAAATTAGCTTGGCGAGTTTATGAAAATGCAAGTGAAACGTTTTGACCTCAAAACCTGGTCCAGTTACAGTTTGTTTGTTTTTTTACAGTTAGCACATTTTTTGAAACTTGGTTTCATGTATCTGAACAGGGGCATGGGTGATTATGGAACAAGTTTCATCAGTTCACACAGACATCCTACATACAGTATATAGGCCGTATATTCAGTGTACCTGCAAATGACTTGCTTGATTTTCCACAACACGTACATTACATATTCTACATAATCTGATTCAATCAAGTATTTTGATAAAATACCATAAAATCCAGTTGGTAAATCAGTAATATACATATTTCTTTATTTGTTTATTTATTTATTTTTTATTTTATTTTATTTTTTACCAAAAATGCTTTATGTACAGTTTTTTCTATTGTTTTAGCACATTTTTTGAAGCTTAGTTTAGTCTGATCAGTTGATTCAAAAACATATCTGAACAGAGGCACAGGTGGTCAGGTCACAGGTTTGGAACATTTCTCATCAGTTGACACATTTCTTGCATCTTCTGAAACAATTTAGGCTTTATGCCAGTATAAATTATTAGTAGTCATTAATGCTAACTGGGTACACTGCCCAGTTAGCATTAATGACTGCTTATCATTACCTTCACTGGGACGATTGACAAAAGCTTTAGGACAACTGACTCCTAAGAGGACTTACATGGAGCATGTTCCATGTGTTGTTTGATTATAATTCTATGCACCATGATGGTTTAGATAACATTGTAGAAAACCTCTACTATATATACAAATTTTAGTTTAGCATACAAGTGTTGTCCTTTTTGTTTTTAAATATGTTTTCCTGTCATTTCAGAAAATCATTTTTCTCTGGTCACGCCTCCTTTGCCATGTATACAATGCTCTATTTGGCAGTGAGTAACTTTCCATCTAATTTTCTTTCACAAAACTCTTGCATACACAAAGCATGGTTTCTCCAACTTCTAATTACATCACATTTCTAATAAATATAAAAAAATAAGTTAAAGTCATCCTCACAGTGATGAAGCACTGGCAGCAAGAGGGAGAGGGTGCGATCTGAATGGACACAAACAGAGCAGTCTTTGTTGGCCTGTGGGAGGAGAGTGACCTCGCCTCACTGCTCCTCTATTGTGTTAGTGTAAAGCCTTGTGCATTTAAATCTGCATATAACATCCCAATACATATACAATGGGCAAGGCCTGTCTAAAGTTTGCTATATGAGCTGTACAGTACTTTAAATGTTGGTGGGGTCTGAGTTCAGGTCAACTTCTGAATTGTTTGAAAGAATTGTATTGCATTCATGTGAAATAATTAATGAAACTGTGTAGACTATGAGGATAGGATAATGTAGATGCTAGCAATAATTTGGGGTGAGAGTGACTTAGTGGTTAGAGCACTGGTTCCCCAACCTGACAGATGGAAGATTGATTTTTGCTCAGACCAATTTCTGTTATTGTGTCCTTAGGCAAGACACATCATCCACCTTGTCTAAAAAGTGGTATCTGTGTGAATGATTGGTGCTGGTGGCTGGGGACGATGGTGCATCAGTCTGCCACAGGGCTGCTGTGGCTACAATAGTGGAATAATGACAGTGTAGTGCTTTGAGAGCTTCAACAGGCCTGTACAGCACATTGCAAGTATAAGGCAATATTATTATAATTATAATTACTATTAACACAAAAACAGGTTTGTAATTGCTGTACTTAACAATACAATAACACATTACACATAGAGGTGGGGGATATAGTAGATTCTATAGTAGTCTATATTAATAACATCTGTGATTTACGGATCAAACTATAAAGCAATTGTTAGTGAAATGTTGTAATTGACTGTACTTATAAGTACAAAGTAATAAATGTGTCTTCTGTCCTCAGTTCTACCTGCAGGCACGCTTTACATGGCGCAGTGCTCGTCTGCTGAGACCGATGCTCCAGTTCATCCTTATCATGCTGGCTGTCTACACTGGGCTCACACGCATCTCCGACTACAGACACCACCCATCTGACGTGCTCACGGGCTACATACAGGGGGCGCTCACTGCCTACTGGGTGGTCAGTACATTTGCTTATTTTTCTGTCTGTAATGTCATGGTCTGAGTCTTACAATATTTATTTGTCTTTTCTAGGCATTCCACATCTCGTCCATGTTTAAGACCACAGGTTCGGACCTCTCTCTGAGTGAAACCTCCTTGGACAGCCCCCTGTCACCCCAGCACACGGCCTGCTGAAGCACCCACTGCACCCCCGCCCACACCCCCACCCGCACCTGGTTTGAAGAGAGTGGAAACTTGAAGAATGTGGGACTGTTTCCTGTGAAGAAAAGCCACATACCTCAATTAATGAACAGAGTGCATGGTGCCACAAAACGTACTGTGCACTGTGTAAGATTGTAGCCTCTGCACATAGAAAAATGTATTGTTGTACTTGTATTCTTGTAATGTATTTTACTTACACAAAGAAGTTGAAATGGAGAGTGCTCTCACCTGACTCAAACACTGCACTGTATAATTTTATGGTGGAGAGTCCACCACCTACATGTCTCTATGGGTATATTATTATTTTGTGTAGAATTCAACTTTTAAACTAAATGTAAATCTCTGAAGAAAAGCAGGTAAAGTTTTTTTTTTTTTTATCAATATAAACACATAACTGAGGAAATGCAAGATAAATAAGATCAAAATTATACATTGGAACACTCCTAGCAAAGTAATGACATCTCCATAGAGACAATGAGCAAAGTTACATAGTGTACCTTTAAACAATACATCTTGATATCTAGCAATGGTTTGGGAATCTACTACAAAAGTAGTGTTCTACTGAGTTTAAAAAAAAAAAGGTTTAAAAAAAAAGGTTTAATGTTTGTTGTCTGAAAAAAGCATCTTATTTATCAGACCAATTTTAGTTAATGCCATGTTTACCTCACAGAATGCACACTAAAACTAAACTAAAACACTGAACTGCAGATGCTCAGTGCACTTGATCTGTGGACCCATTAGATTCACCTAAAAACACTTATTTTGTTTATGAAAAAAATCTGTAAAGCACTTTTGATATTGTTTATATATTATTTAGATTTTTAAATAACATTTTATATAGTGTACTTTATATTTATAGTTTTTCGTAATCTCTGTGAATGTAATGACATTGAAGGAAAGCACAAGGCACAGAAAAAAGTAATATTGTACTGTATTGTACTGAAATAACTTGCTGAATGACTAAATGTTACTGCCTTAATCATATTTGAACAAATAGTTACAAGGCTGTCAATAAATGGAAGCTGTTTTTTTAACTGGTGCTTTCTGTTATTTTTTAAGATTGCAATTTTAAAAATATGGGTGCATTACCAAATGCAGATGTTTTGACCTAGTCTGTAACTGATATAGCAGTAATTACTGGGCCTTTTCACAAGAAACTAATACTAGCACAAAATATAACATTTATTTTCTCAGCACAAATGAAGAAAGGCTACATTTCTTACAAATGGATAAAAAAATGAGTTTTATTCAATAATAAAATCGCAATTTCTTGTAATCTGAGTGGATTTTACGTGGACCCAATTCCTATTCATACTTGGTTTGGTCCTAATTTGAGCCCAGTATTGTTATGATGCAGACTTGGTTTGGTTCTGAAGGTTTTCTAAAAACAGGTTTCCTAAAAACATGATAAGTCACCCATAAAGTAATACTTGCTCCATACATAATTATCAATCATCAAACTATAGAATGTGAACCCAGCCTATTGGCTCATTATGGCAAATTGGACAAGATCTAGACTGGTTCTGTCTGTATTTTCTTAAGAATGTAGCCTTGACTGGCCAGGCAAAGAAAAAATCATAAAAAAGGAAGTAATTTATTTTAAGTCAAACAATGCAGATTTTTGTTTGAGTACCGTATTCCGCCTAAGCCTACAAACAAGCCTACAAACATATACTTCTTTCTTTGTTGGAAGTAGTGACACTTTGAATATTACATTTTGAAAACCACAGTTTATGTCCTTTAATTACATATTCATCCATTACCTGTGTTTGGCTTTAGTCCTATGAGTATTTTTATTTAGGTTGATACTCCAGTTTGCAACAGGATGTAAACAGAACACTTCACTTCAAGTGTCTTTACCTTGTGTCTAAGTCTATTCACAAAACCAAAGAGAAACGTCTATTTCACATGTTTACTTGAACTTCAATAGCAATACAAGACAATCAGAACACTTGAGGCCGATATTTACAGGGACTGGGGGCAGTTGCAGAAAAGTTTTGAGGTCTATAACATGATTGGCTTTGGAGACAAAAGTTCAGTTGCAAAGTTCATGTCAACGGTTCCATCACCAAAAGTCTGTGGCAGAAGGAGGCAAAGTTTTTTGGCCTTGTGGTGAGATGAGATTGGTTGAAACAGTTCAAAATCAGAAGCAGGGGGAGTATAAGAGCCCCCCTATTAGTATATTGATAAAATGCTTCACTGTGATACATTAATTATACAAGAATGGTTTATTTACACACAGTCTCTCACCCATTCACTCTCACATGTCATGCTCGCTGGCACACTTTCTCCCTATAGTACGTAGCCTGGTAAAGCCACTAAAAAGTCATGCACATGTTCTTTGAAAGGATTTTTTGGCAACACACAAGTGCTTTTCTTTGACACACTGTTTGCTTTGCTACAGGGGAGGGCGACACCAGCCAATGAGCCAGTAGAAACTTAAGACAATGATGGGCTAAGAAGAAAGCACCAATGACATGGGAAGACACAGCAGGGCGCAAGGAGAAGAGAGAGAGAGAAAGGACTTGGGTCGAGTTCAACATGAATCACAGTCTTAAAAAAAACTAACTAAGGATGAAACAGGGATAGTCTCGTGGTGATCAGGAGATAGAAGCAGGAAGGAGCCATCAAAATTAATATTATATAATCCTTTTTTCATTGTAGTAAACCATAGACTTTACATAAAGATAAACATTGTCTGTGGGTTATTTACTTTCTAGCTGGGGTTTCTATGAATTGGTGCTATGTGTATGCATCCTGTATGTCATGTAGACGCAATAGTATAGTTTAGTGGACATTTGATAACCTCTAAATACTATGTCAACAGTCTGCACTAAACTGCTGCCTAGCTGTCATTGATCAAAACACTGTTAGCTTAATCAGTGATAGCTTTATTATCTATCTTTATGAGAAGTCTATGCACAACACAGCCACAGTCCAGATAAAATTCAGTCTTAATTTATATGATAATTTGACGTTCCTCCTCCTGCCTGTTTCTATGCCCCAATCACCACCGCCCTAGTCACAGACTCGTCACCCGTTGCATCTGTCCGTCCTCTCCCTCTGACGTGGGCTCCGGCGTGTACACTGCGTCACCATTTGAGGCCAGTGGAGGGGGCTGGTAGAAGGTCTGCATGTGATTGGGCCGTGGTCCCAGTGGGGGGCGCCCCAGGCTGTAGGGGAGCTCAAGAGCAGGTCTCTGTGGCTGTCCTCCGGTGGGACTGAGCTCCTCTGGACCCTCAGGGCTGCTGTCGGGGTAGGACATGGTGGGTGGTGAGGTGCGGGTGTAGAAGCGTGGGGGGGAGCTGCTGCGGCTATACACCTGTGGGGAGTGGCGTGAGTACAGGTTGTTGGGTGGCGAAGTGGTGTCTCTGGGAACAAAGATGTTGGTTGGAGGAGAGCTTCGTGGGAAGATGCTGAGAGGAGGGGAACGTCGATCACCCGGATACAGCGGTGATGGGTTTGAGTCTCGGGCATAGATTGGAGAGGAGTCAGCATCAAGATCGAGGTCAGGGGTCAAAGGTAAAGTGAAGCTGCCCTCAGAGTCCTCCCTATCTCCATGGTAACGCAGTGATCCTCTGTCTCTGCCACGTTTCCTTCCGTCTGCCCCATTGTCTTTGCCCTCAAACATGAAAGTGTCCTCTCTATCAATGTCCACGCCCCCTCTCCAAACATCCAGTGCCCGATCCTTCTGTACATCACCATCGCGTTCTATGCCTCCCCTCCAACCATCTCTGTCCTTTAAGAAGGGCTCTTCTTTGTCCCTGTCCATGCCGCCTCTCCAAGCATCAATCCCAAAATCTTTTTTCTGGGTGATAAATGTCTCTTCTTGTTCTATGTCAGGTCCCCCTCGCCAAACCTCCATCCTGCAGTCACGTTCCTCTCGTGCTCTGTTCACTGCTGAGCCCCACTCAGCCATGTCCTCCATGCTCTTCTGAGAACTGAACGACTCATCCCGCCTCCGCTCCGCACCCCTCCACTCCTCCACCACAGCATCTCGTTTTAATAGATACGTTTCATCCTTGTCTCGGTCAGGGGCCCTCCATGAATCCACCTCTCGCTGCTTCATAAGTAGAGGTTCCTCTAGAGCTTTGTAGAGGGGCTCAGACTCCTGGGGCGGAGGGGGAGGAGGAGGAGGCAGGGGACGATCTCGATAGCGCTCCCGTTCCCTTTCGCGGTCTGTCCCACCACTGGACTCCACTGTGCTGCGGTGGCGAGACAGTGTGCCAGGTGTGCGGCTCAGAGTGGAGTAGGGCCTTGCCTGAACCTCTGGGGGACGCACTGACTGTTTGTCCGGCAGTCCTCGGCGACCCAGAGTTCCCTGAAGCTGAGACCTGTCCTCTTTATCAGGGTCCCCAGTGCTGCGGGAGTGTGACCAGCCATCCTGTACACGAGGAGTGGTCATGAGATCCTGGGTGGTTCGAGGTGGTGGGTGAGGATCCTGATCTGTAGGGTGCCTTGTCCACCCCTCCTGTGCATTTGGGCGGGTAGTGGGCTGTATGGTGGAGGCCCAGGCATCCTGAGGTGGTGGAGCATGTCGTGTCAGAGTGGCAGAGTGTGTGACGGTGGTTCGGTCGTGGTGGGGTCGGGCTAAACTACCGTACCGCTCTGGAGGAACAGGCATGGGCACAGATGGTCGAAGGTTGCTCTGCACCAGTTCTGAGATGATCATCTTCTCCAGAGCTGCTGCATCGGACAGATTACGCCTCATCCCTGTCCCACTGCTAAGGTCTGATGCTCCATGAGGAGTGAGGAGACCTGGAGAGATGTCATCTGCCCCCATCCCGACTCCACCGTCTCTGAGGAGGTCAGTGCTGCCCACCACTCCAGCTCGGGATCCCGGGGTTGTTCCTAAACCATGTAGGGTGAACGTGTTGGGAGTGTAGCCACCATTGAGGCACATGCTGTCCAAACCACAGGACTCCTGGCTCTGGGAAACACCGCCCTCTGTTGGATAAAAGACAAACATCAGAGAAGAACATGACACAGGTGCATGTTGTATGAACCATTCATGAACGAATGAGCAAAGAGTTATGTGCCTGCTTGAAATGTGGACCAAAGCGTCATATTTGATGAAATGTTGATTAATTCCCACATGGAGTGGATGCTTTATGTTTATGGTCTATGCATAATTATTTCTGAGCGTAGTTGTCACACAGAAAATCAAGGATGTGGTGCTCAGTGATTGATTAAATGAGCACAATAAAAGAGAGCTCATACTCGGCTTGTTTCTGAAGGTTCCTATTGGTCCGAGTTAAAAAAGAGGGACAGAAAAGGCAAGTGTCAAAACAGTAACAAAGACAAGAGGGAATACAAACTACTGTGTTTACTCACAAAACACACAAATAGTACAAGCAGTAAGATACATCACTATTTTGTTACATAGATAAAAAATAATCACAATCTAGCAGTGAAAGTTACCTGTGGAGGTGAAAGGTTGGTTGTATCCTTGGGCTAACATAGTGTCATAGGGAGAAGCCCCAGCATGAGTCTGCAACACTGGATTAGTGAGGAAATGATTTCCTAAAGCAGCTGGAATTAAGTCAAACATAAAAAATAAGTGTACCTATTGAATACAATAACAAGGACATTCTCATTAGAATAAAAAAAAAAAGTACCCCGGTTTAATGTGGGAGTGTTGTTAACATCTGCTGCTATAAAAGATGATTCAGTCTGTCTGCGAACTGTGTCGTTCCACATCCTCCTGATGCGGCTCTGTAATAGACATATTTGTCCAAGGTCAAATGTGAGTCAGACAAAAGGAGACGTGCCGTGAGTGGTAACAGACCTGTCTATTGGCTGTGGCTCTGCGGCTCTGGCTGCTGGTGTAGCGGCTGTTGGACCTCAGAGCGCTGCCTTTGACTGAGTCTGGGGAACTGCTGGACGAAGGCACGCAACACTGAGACAAACGTAGGCACCGACCATACTCTTTCTGACCCTGCGCACAACAGAGGGACATGTAACTCTGTCGCAAATCTAAGTCTGACCACGGCTATTGCTGCCACTAGGGGGCTGACCTTTCGAGCCAGAGTGC